TGTGTACACCTCGTCGTTGCCTGCCCCGTCATCGCCGCTATGCACGCCCCCGATCCTCTGCTCGCTGCTCCAGATTGCTCGGCCCTACCGCATAGACGGGCTGCTGGAAGCCGTGGTTGAACGTCTCCACGTGCTTCTGGATTCGCGGAACGCCGCGGCCGTCTTCAATGCCACGGCCATGGCTGCCGGTGGCGGCCGGGGCATCGATGGGTCGCTGAACCCCAACTTCTTCGTGCCGCCCGTTGACCTCATTGCCTCGCTCGAGTCGGCACCCGCATCAGAGGCCTCTCGCGACAGCGACAACAACAGCGAAGCGCACAACGCCGCCCTTCGCCTCAACACGACGGTGCAGCAACAGTCCAGCCGACCCGGCAGCGGCGAGCTCAGCGCGACAACGAGCCAGAGCGGCTCTGAGTGGAGCTCGGAGATTGGCGAGTCAGAAGGCGGGGGCGTCAGGGAGATCTGGAGCGGCGAGCTCAGCTCGGTCATTGGGCTTCAGAAGCGCGGTCTCCGGGGGCTGATGGAGGGTAGGCGGATGCGTGAAAGGACCGGCACCGGGACGGGCAGCGTCAGCCAGTACGGGCCGCAGTCGCGGGTGGGGCTAGGCATTGCCAGCTCGTAGGATGAGTCGGTTGCTAGTCCGAGCGTGATAATGAGTAATGAATGTCATGAATGTTGCATTGCCATTGTGTGTCATCCATGAGGCTGCGTAGGTCCTGCAACGTCGTACGGTGTTCCCCACGATGAGTGTGGTGGTCCGTGCGATTGCTAGTTTACATGTCATGACCCAGTGTCGTCTCATCCGCTGGCCTCCATCTTTTACAGTCTCTCAGTCACATGAGCAGCCATATTCGTAGCGAGTCAACGGAGAGACCGATGCAACTCCGTGCTTCCCGGCCGGCCGGCCCCACAACGCAGGCCTCGCTCACACTCACGAAAAGGGGCACCGGCCCCTTTTCCTCGCCCGAAGCGCCTCGACGCCATCTGCCATCTCCTCGACGCCCTGCCCAACTTCGCTGGCGGGTCCGACCTCCTCGAATAGATAGCCCTGCGGCAGCATGTCGACGTCGCCAGGCGGGAAGCCACCGACCGCGCGTGTCAGCCAGCTTGTGGGGCCGAAGCGTGTCCAGAGGGTGGCGGGGATGTAGTAAGGGTGGACGAGGTAAGTGTAGTGATTGACGCGGCCCGTGGCGGGGTCCTCTTTTGAGAAGTACCGTTTCGGGAATAGGCGGGGGAGGCAGAGGTGGCGGACGGCAAGGCGGCGGACGGCAAGCGCGAGGTAGGCGAAGAGGGCTGCTGAGATGGGGGGCTCGGGATACCTTTTTTGTCGGCTCGTGTCAGAAGAAGGGAAACACATGAAAGAGAGGAAAGGAGTCCATCTGGTTGCAGGTGAAGGTGCTTACATGAAGGCGTCGCGGACGCGGTCGCCCATGAGGACAGTAAGGACGTGAACAGCGAACGGTTTCATAAATCCAGGTACGTGCCAGATCATGAGACGAGCAAGCTCACGGCTTGGCTTAATGTTGGAGCGAGAGGGTTTCATGGCCTGGAGCTCGTACATTTTGGCCCAGGCGGTGATATCCTCGGCAAAGTCGATGCCGTCGCGCCAGGCGCCGGCACGATCAAGATAGCCGTCGTAGCGGATGTCCATGGCGTCGCCGATGGCTTTCCAAAATGTGCCTATAGCGCAGACCTCGGCGTCGGTGAGGGCCCTCCATTCGTAGAGCCGCATGAAGCGAATGGGCTCTGTGACGCAGGTGGAAAGAGTGTAGAGAAAGTCCTCGTTGGAAATTTTCGAGGCGGCCTTGTAGGGGGCATGGAGATAGTTCATGCGGGCAATGGCTTTGAGGGCGCGTGTCGAGCTTGGAGGATTGATAGAAAACCTGGCGCGTTAGGATGATGGATGAGTTGGACGGAGGGAGGTTGGCTTACTCGCCGAAGATGACGACTGTGTCTTCGTATCTGATGGGTGTCAGTTAGTTATGAAACTCTGGATCAGGGTGCAAAGGCAGTGGCAGGGGATGAAGTGCAAAATGCCACATTCTACCGCCTCTCTGAGTGGCGAAGGAGTCTCAATCCATCGTGGTCTTGTCGAGCACGTCATCCGCCTGCATCTTGTCTAGGGGCGCCAATACCTTTTGAAGGAGTTTTTGGGATCAGCCAATTCCTTGGTGGAGTTGATGAGTTTGGACATTGTCTCGAAAGCGTAGGTCTGGCAAAATGTCAGTCCTGACACGAAGAAGGAGATTCACGGAGCAAGAGGTGTCACCTTGAAGATGGCGAACTGCAGTGCCAGCTCGTAGAACATGGGAAAGTCGCGCTCCATGATGTGCTTGAGAATGATTTGGGCATCGTCGTTGCTCATGCCCGCCAGGGAGGCGCGATCAGTGTAGCCAAGGCGCTTCTGGAGGGCGTTGATGTGGTAGAAGCGGAGAGATTGACAGAGAAGAAGGTAGCCTAGGAAGATAGAAAGCAGTATGGGTACTGACGGCCACGACATGGAGATGTGCGATGTTGGAATCATGTCGCCGACAGTCTCCTGCGTGGAGGATACGTCGGGGCCATTGACGACCGGATTGCTGGCGTTCATCGTCATGGTGAGAAGTTGTCGAGCCCAAGTTGTGATGGATGAGCGGGAGGCGTCTTGGGAACAGAAGTGCTATAGCTGTGGAAAGCGGTCAGAGCGAGGAAATGGCCACCTTAAATGCAGTGCCGTCAGATGGGAGCGGAGAAGGGCGTAGATGGGTAAGATTGACAGGCAGGAGTGACTGGTCAGTGTGGTAAGCAGTGGATGCAGGGCTGCATCTCGACTGGCGGTCTCTTCTGATCACGGCAGGTCATACACGTGTTGCTCGATGGTTGTGGAGTGCCATCTCGTTGTGTGACATCGATTCTGGCCACGATTGTGTACAGTGAGCTCATGAGAATTGTAGTGACTAAGACAAGACAAGTTCAGTCGTTGCATCCGTGCGGAGTCCAACTAAGAGCCGTGGTGTACAAGTGCTAGCTACCCACCTAGCTCCCCATCCAAGTTGGGCGAATTGCAGGTGCGTACATGTTCATGGTCCACTGGGAGAGACGGTACGCGCATACGGCGTGGCTTTTGATGGTGGATTTCAGGTCAACATGAAGCTATCGTTGATAGTTTTATGTCATTTATTCAAATGACAATATCCCGACACGACGGCACTCGATGATCAGGAGCCGAGATGCAATGTATGGCTGCGGCGCATGCACAGGGTGGTCGCTTTCACCTCGGTGTAGCAGAAACAAGCATTCTCGGTAAGAAAGGTAAATCTCGGTCGGCCTTCGCTTCAAATGGCGAGAAGTGGGTGGCCACACAGCCAACCAGTCCAACCAATGAGCCCCCAGCAAGGTACCCACTGCAGGCGCGCGTCTAGTAGCCCATTGTTCACGTAATTTCCTCGAAGCGACTTTCGAACTCGGACCTTGCAATCGACGTGGACGTGGACCAACGTGGACGTCCTTCGTGCTGCTCGTGCTGCCGCCGCTGCCCATTGAGGGAAGAGAGTCGGCGCCAGTCTGCGCTTGATGCCAAATCGGGAGCCCGCCTTGAGTCGCCTACCTACCTTAAGGTACCTTACCTTACCTTACCTACCTACCTAGGTAGGTAGGTACCTTAGAATGAATGGACTCATCGTGAGCTGGTTCATGCAGCTACGACTCGGTACCTTGCAGCTTCCCGCCTCCCGCCGCACCCCTTCGCAGTGTCGTTCCTGGCTGCTTTACCTGTGGGATCCTGGCCTAGTCCTGCCTTGAGACGAGTTCACAGCCTGTTCTGCCGGGTCCTGGATTCGGGTAGGCTGGCCTCATCGTATTGCAACCCCTCTCTCCTCCCACCTTGAATGTTGTCTTTCTTCACAGCAGATGCTCTTCCAGATCCGTGACCACAGACGCATTCTCTCATCCGATGACACCAGCCGGCCACACTCCGTCGATTTGACAACTGTCATCCATTCCTCGGGCCTGACCTACGGCCATCCCTCTCCGCGCTGGCCGGCCGAGCAGCCTGCTCCCACGCGTGACCCCTGCCGTTCTGCCCCATCTTCGTCGTCCTATCTCTTCCACCACGGCTGGCGGCTACCCATACCCAACGGGCCGGCTATTTTCGACCTCTTTTTCGAGTTTTGGCCCCATACTGTGACAGTCCGGCGTAGCTGTCCAAATGGGAGGCGGACCCATTTTCTGGCTGCCATCGTCGGCGGCCCATCGTGGGACCTCGTAGCCGCCGCCCTCGACCGGCCTGTTCTACGCGCCCAACCTCAGACAGCCGCCCATCCATCCACGGCCAGCCAATGTCCTTTGCCTCTTGTCTTGCCATCAATCTCTCTAGACACACAAGGCGAGTTTCATACTGCGTTCGCCAAGTTGATCGTTTCAGATCCACCTGCCGACCCCAGCTTCAGAGTAACACTCGCGCTTCTTCGCCCGTCTTTGTTTCTCGCCTCAAGCGCCGCCGCATGCCTGACAATTGTCTTTAAATCCACCATCGTGTCCGCCCCAGAGGTCACTGACATCTCTTGCCTTGCATTCCCTTCCTCTCAGACGACAGACCTGACCGCTGCGACCGACCTCTCTGAGTCGCTTCCTTTTTCTTTCTTTTCCTTTTTTCCTCTCTCTCTATCTCTCCCATTTCCTTGTCTCCTTTCCTTCGTTTCCTTCTCGTCGACCAGTCTCATCTCGTTTCCAAAACCAGGTTCCTATCCTCCAGTGCTACATTCGCTGCATAGCCCTACATCAGGTTCTGGGCATTTTCCTCGTCACAGCCTGCATCTCTCTTACTCTCCTGCCTCATCGGCCTATCTCTGCAATTAACGGACAACTTCATCATCAAACAACCTCCGGGAGAGGCTTTCGTTTATCATCACAGAAGCGACATTGGCTTCTTGAGACCACGTATAATCGGTCTTAATCGATAATCTACACGTCCTCCGTCACCATTCTGGCTCTCATCACTCATCACGCCTCGTCCACACAACATGCCGAAGCACACACGGTCATCCAGTTCCAGCCATCGCTACAACAACCCCATGCCAGTCTCTCTCGCTCCGGCAGTCAACCCCACCCCAAACATGTACAACCAGCAACGCCTTGCCATGCCGGATTACTTCCCCGTGGCCTCGTCCTCCTCGGCCGTCATGCAGGCCCAGCCCCAGCCCAACTATGACGCCTACGCCGCCGCCCCCAACGTGGGCATCCCCCCCATGCAGCACCGCGCCTCCTCGGGCGCCTGGACCCCACAAGACGACCAGACTCTCCTGGCGGCACGCGCGCAGGGCCTCAACTGGGCACAGATTCAGATCACCTACTTTGGAAACAAGACGCCCAATGCCTGCCGCAAGCGCCACGAGCGCCTCATGGAGCGCAAGGGTGCCGACGACTGGGACAACCGCAAGCTTGAACGTCTCGCCAAGGAGTACATGAGCATGCGCAAGGACATCTGGTCTGGCCTAGCTGCCCGCACAGGCGAGAAGTGGAATGTCGTCGAAGCCAAGGTGTGTTCTTCCTGCTCCTGCGCCGTCTCCTCCAATTTCCGTCATCTTGATGCTGACCATTTGCAGTGTATGTCCAACGGCCTCAAGAACTTGCAGAGCGCTGCCCGCAGCGCCGCGCGCCGCGAACGTCTGGAATCCGGCCAGCCACTACCACCAGGGTATGACGATGATAGCGGAATCAGCGGCATCGGGTTGACACCTGTTGACGAGCTAGACCCGTCCTACAGTAGCCCCGAGACGGCCTCGTCGGGCGGCCATTCGGCCAGCGGCGGAAGCAACGGTTACGCCCCGCAACACCACCAACACCACCACCAGCACTTTGCCATGCAGCCCATGCCTGGGTCCTACTACAGCCACCACCATCAGCAGCAGAACCACCATGGGTACACAAGCTCGGTCTCGTCGAACGGGTCAGGTGCTGCGTACAGTGGCTCCGGCCACACGGGGCACTCACAAAGCCCGAGCCCGTACATGCATCCGCACGGTCAGAGGCTGCCGAGCGTCGATATGGGCATCGATGCCATCATCAACAGACCTGGCGGCGTGCAGCAGTTGTGACGATGACGCAATGAGCGTCTCGGTTGTCTCCCTCCAAACCTTTGGGACTTTGTTACTTCGTGTCTTCTCGGGGGTACCGTGCCAGTCGGCTCGGGCGTTGGCGGCGTTTTCTCCTCTGCTCTTTTGCTTTCTGTCTGATTTGATCGCAATATTTTGCTTCCTTCGCGTGTTCCTCAATTTTCTTTTTCTTTTTTGGCTTTCTGTTGCAGAGCACTTTACGGCCGATTTGTGCGAAATGATCATAAGCAGGCAGTGTTGGGGTCCAGAAAAGGGGACTGGGGCCGCACTGAAACACACACACACACTGATACACACTCATTTATTTGCGGCCACAGGGTCGTAGTGGCGGCGCACGAAGCGCTTGCATGCTTAATGACAGATTGTCGGGGGCGGGTTGGCAAGGGGCCAGTGATTTATTTGTATATTGGCATTTTATAGATCCCACCGCGCGCCAAAAGGGTGGTCGAGAGCTCTGCGGGTGTGAGAATATGACGTGGCTGAGTTCTTGTCTGATTTGACTGGTTGTTATTTTGGGCTCGTCTTTTGCATATATGTTCACGTCATGCGGCACCAAGATGATGGAGGCTGTCTCACGTGGATCAACGTATGATGAACGAAAATGAATTGTAGGGAATCTGGAGAGTACGGAACACATGGTGGTGATACATTCTACCGCGGCCACACACTAGTTGAGCATACGCCACTGTTACGCCTTGCGAGGCGGTAGCGGCAAGGCTGGCGTCTCGTCGAGCTCATCCCACTCATCGTCGTCGTCGTCGTGCGGCGCGCCAAAGAGCGAGGCCCAGACGCGGCTCCACATGCCCTTCTTCTGCAGGGTGGCGAGCCCGAGGACCACGGGCAGGTGCCAGACGCTGGCCCAGAAGAGGCCGCGGGCGGTGCCGGCGTGGCCGGCGGCGCGCCAGAAGCGGAAGGCCTGCCAGGTGAGCCAGGCGTTGGCGGGCAGGCTCGTGACGGCAAAGGACCACTCGGTGACGCCGGCGGCGCAGAGGGCGAAGCAGAGGGGCGCAAAGGCGAGGCTGTAGCGCAGGGCGACGCGGCCGTTGCGGGCGGGGTTGGTCCAGGCGAGCATGCGCAGGCCGGCGGCGCGGTACTCGTCGCGGATGGACCAGGAGAGGGCCATGAAGTGGGGGAACTGCCAGGCGACGAGGAGGCCGGCGAGCAGCCAGCCGCCGAGGGAGCTGCCGTCCGAGGCGAAGAGAAGCTGGCGCCAGGAGCCGCCGTCGAGCGTGGCCGACTCGCCGGCGGCGGCGGCCCAGCCCATGAGCGGCGGGATGCCGCCGACGACGGCGCCGATCCACGTGTTGAGGACGGTGACGCGCTTCAGCGGCGTGTAGACGCCGGCGTAGAGGACGATGTTGGCGGCGCCGAGGAAGGCGACGGTGGGGTTGACGCCGAAGTAGAGGGCGCCGATGCCGCCGGCGGCGCCGAGGAAGGCGAAGAGCAGGGCGACGCGCGGGGCGATGATGTTGCGGACGAGCGGCCGGTTGCGGGTGCGCGACATCTTGGCGTCGGTGGCCGGCTCGTAGAGCATGTTGAGCGCGTTGGCCGAGGCCGAGCAGAGCGTCGTGCCCGTGGTGAGGAAGAGGAGGGTCAGCGGCGAAAGCGAGGGCAGCTCGGTGACGGCGGGCGACAGGAACGACGGCACCGGAAACAGGGCGTAGGGGACCATGGCCGTCAAGACGACGAGCACCGTCAGCCTCGGCTTCGACAGCGAGAGGCAGGCGGAGAGGATGCGGCGCAGCGAGCGGGCCGGCTGGCTGGCGGCCACCGTGGTGAGGGCCGAGGAGGCATCTTGGGCGGGGAGGACCGCGGAGGAGGAGCCCGAGTCAGCTTCTGCTTCGGCGGCAGCGGCGGCGGCGGCGGCGGCGGCGGCTCGCCGAGCAGCCTGGCGACGTCGATGTGGTAGTGCAGCATTGACGGGGGGCTGTGTTGCGTCTAGACGACTTGTCGAAGCCGAGACTTTTGCTGTTGTTGCTGCTGCTGTTGACGACGAGTCGTTGGTGACAGTGGCAGACGTTCGACTGCTCTGGCTCTGTGTGCGGGCCTTGACGGCCGAGGCGGCGGCGCGCTCGAGAGCATTGTTGGGGAGGAAGTAGCTGGCGCTGAGGCGACTAGAGGGCGTTGTCGACACGGCACGGCGTGCGAGGAGTGACGCGTGGGATGGTGCGCGCAGCACGGGGCGAAGCTGAGCTGTGCATCGTCGACAGATGGTGGAGGGATCGAGGAGGTTGATGCGAAGGAGGGTTCGGTTCGGCGCAGGCGGCCGCATGGTAGGCTGGGCGGGGGGGGCCGACGATCACGCCGGCATCACCTGTAGAAGAAGTGTTTCCGTATCAATGCGCCATTCGGGAAGCGATTGATGGGCGGGGGATGGCCAGGGGGGGTTCGATGATAGATTGATAGGCGACGGGACGGTGATGGGTGATGGTGGTTCGTTCGACAGACCTTGGACTTTTGCTGGTGTCCGAAGTAGACCGAGCCGTGGTCTGGCAGGCACGATCGACGGTGGTGGTGTAACCAATGAGGGGGCCTCTGCTCTTCATCCACCGTCGACAGCTGGTGCCGATTCTCAGCTGGCAGGACCCCTCTCTTCTTCACTCTCCCTCCTTCTCTCCTTCCCTCCTTGTCGAAACACCATGGCCGATACCATGGCCAGACATGACGACCTACCATCCCAACACCACCAATACTTCTCTCACCACACCATGTGGCCAGTGTGTAAGGTAGTACAGGATGGGCGATGCTCAAGTCGACTCTCAGAGCTAGAGTCCGTAGCCTGGCAATAGGACAAGCGTCCCCATGAGCTACCACACTGCTTTGTCTGCTCTTCAACCTCGAGAGAACCATTGAGATCCCTTTTCGCAGCATCCGCATTCCTGGAATGTCCATCGAGGCCTACCAGACGCTTTCGGAGACTACCATACAAAGTTGCTCTTTGTTACCATCAAGAACGGAGCTTCAAAACCTCCGCCACACTGGCAACGCCCAGATCCCCCTTATACACTGCCTGCCTTTGTTGACAAGGGTGAACAAAGGCAGATTTTCATTCATAAAGAATCCCCCCTTCAAACCCGAATACAATGCTTCGCCACACGACGACTCCATGGGGCATCTCCGTGGAAGAAGCTTCCACCTGTTGGTCTTTGTCCACCTTGCCATCCATAACATTGCGCACCTGCTTCACCCCACGATGCCAATTCCCGTCCCCTTGCCATATGCTCTCTTCGTGTTACTACTGTCACCGCCTTGTTGGGTCCATTGGCCAAACCCCATATCTCTTCGCAACCCCGACTGATACCGCTCTCTCGTATATGCCGCAATCTCGTGCTGTATCGGTGCCCCCCTAGACCAGCTTTACCCTCGCCCATTTCCCTTGCGCCATGACCCAGCTTTTCGGAGGCTTGGCCCTCGGAGGACATGGCGTTCGTGAGCCAAACATCCCACAAGTGGCGCCAGAGAATCGTTACAACGCCCTGATCCTCCCCTCGGACGCACTGTACAAGCAAATCGAGGACGAGTTCAAGTTCCATCTCGCTGATCCCCGAGTCGCCGTCGGTGACGTCCTCGACAAGTACTTCACACCTCATGAGGCAAAGCTCTTTTTACCGATAGCCGAGTCCACAAGCCTCGTCCAGATACAAGACGAGAATACGCAACGCTACAGAGACATCTTACGCACCAGGTTTAGGGGCCATCCTCTTTCGCTGGCTAGCAAATTCGCCATGCTCTATTTCGGCCTGCCCATTGAGCCGGCCATCTCGCACCTCTTCGACGCGCAGCGACCTAGGCTCGATCTTCTTGATGACAATACAACTGAGGGCGGCATGGCTCGCCCGCCTCTGCACTTTCTCACCGCTCACGATCGGCGCAATTACGGCTATGACCACCGACGGGGGCGAGAGGCAGGGTACAGCACGCTACCCGTAGCTGCATTGAGTCTGCGAGGCACCGATGCCGAGCCCGTTCTCGGCCTGCGAGGCGGCGCCATCGATGACGAGCTCCATGATGATTACCCTGACAATCTACCAGTAGAAGAGGGCGACGAGAATTTATCAGACGACAACGTTGAAGAACCATCTCCGAAGAAGGACGTGCCCGAGACTGCACCAGAAGGTGATGTTGTCATGAAGGACGTTTCCGACCAGGAACAAAGAACATACCGGCCCCCCGCAACAGCATCCCTCCCCTCCCAGACTTGGCTCTACGGTTTCCAGGGACGTATCTACATTGACGTCATGAAAAGAAAGGAGGCGGAGAAGGGCCTCGAGGCGTTGCTCTCGATGCGTCCCGGGCACGATTGCGACGTTATTCTCCAACGATACAACGCAACGACACACCAAAAGCAGGAGGAGACCTTCTTCCAGACCCACGCTGATGTGATCAACTACATTGCCGACCACTTCTCCTCGGCGCAGAATGCGTGGTTTGTTCACCGTGCTGGCGAGAGTCCGCCCGAGACATATATCCCCTCGACCAGCACCTTCGACACCCTCGTCGAGCTGAATCATGTCGCTGGGGGGCAGCCCCGTGTTGCCTATTTCCGCACGCCCTCGAGAACGTGGTTCAACGGCCCCGACGGCAACGCCAATTTGTACTGGGCCTTTGGTGCCAACCATTACATGCCCTTTCTGCAGAACGCGCAAGAGGTCCTCCTCGGCCGCCCGCCAGAGGGCCGCAGAGGTCCCCATGCTCTCCTGCGCTATGCCCACGGCGACGGCAGCCATATCAAGACGAACGAAGGCCAACCTGTCACCACGTCGTGGTACGGCGGGAACGAGACCAACGCGAATGTTTTCCATTGGATGGTCCCCCAAAATCCGGACACGCGGCACACTCTCCAGCTGCTGCGGCGTGATCTAGCACCCCGCTCCGCCGTCCTCCTGGCGCCGGGGAGCGCCAATGCCAGGGGTACCTTCCAAATCGCTTGGCCGTACAGCAATCTCCGTCGTAAGCTCGACAGCTTCTGCCACGACGAGTACCCCAACACCCAAATTGAGTCATTCTTCGTGTGGTCCCACGACGAGTTTCTGACGGGCCATCGGTCCATGCCCATGGGGCAGTGGAACCCTCGCGAGAGCGACGTGGACAAGCTGGCGGATCATGAGCTGCACATGACCAGACTCATGCAGGCCTACGTCAAGGAGACGCACGGCAACGGCTGCGCGTTTGTCTTCCAGCCTCAGTATGAGCGCGACATTGCCGACGACACAACATGCCAGCTGCGCTTGAAAGGGTGGGAGGGGACCGCTCCCTTTCCGGAGCAACTGGAGAGTGTCGACATGCTCTACGAGCAGCTCATTGTCGCTTCCACAAATGTGGCTGAAGGTCAGCCTGCGTCGCGAACCGGTGCGCTTACCATGGCCATGCTGAAGAACAATCTCGTCTGTCTCGCCGATGGCCCGGTGGATAGTCCTAACACGCGGACATTTGTCGTTTTGCCTACCACGAGCCATGACGAAATGCGTGCCATGCGTCGCCAGATGACGAGCCAAGTCATCACCGCAGAGCTGCTCTCCAATAATCATTCTGATTTCATCGAGCGTATGACGGCTTCCAACAGCTCTTCGCACCCATGGGGCCCACGCTACGGCCTTGTCAACCAGTGGCGGGAGCGGATAGGCTTCGAGAAGCTGCCCAAGCCAGGCGATCCCGTCTTCGAAGAGCTGAAGAAGAAGCTGGGCCCCTCTTCCAAGAACGGACCCAAGGCTGGAGACAATGGCAAGCCAAAGGACAGACCTCTCACGGACGAGGAGATTTGGGGAAAGGACGAAGAACCATTTCTCAAGCACGAGATTAACCAGCGCGAGCTGTCGTGGGCCCGGCAACCGAGCATCTGGGACTCGGGCACGTACAACCCCTCGATCCCCACCAACGCGCCTCCCCGGGAAGCCATCTTGCGCACAGGCAAGGGCCGGATCCCTGTACTGTCCAAGGGGACGCTCACGCCGACAGAGGTGGCCCGGATGCAGCGAGACTTCCACGAGCTTCGGAACCTGAACATTCAGAGAATCGCCTTCTGTCCGTTCCCAAACTGTAAATTTAGCTACCGTGTTGACAAGATGGACAAGATCAGCAGGCATCTGAGGCAGCACACGACGAACAACTGTCCGTGGTGTCCAGAAAAGCTATATGAGCACTGGGACAAGCCCCAGCGAGACCGCCACTTCAAGAACAAGCACGAAGCGGAACTGCGTTCGGTCCTCAAGCAAGCGGCCAACAGACCCGTCACGGACCCGTTCATCGAGAAGCAGCAGCAGCAGGAGGCCAATGGTGCCATCGTCACCAGAACACTCATCCCGCAACCCTTCTCGTGGACGGCCAAGCCGAACTCCATCTTTGAGCAAGTTGTGAAGAGGCCTACCGACCTCAGGGTTGCTCGCCTGCCACCCAACAGGGCCAACCCCAAAGAGATGGAGTTTAGCTTCTGCGACCGCTGCGGGCGCGACCACAGTATGCTCAACGATGCAAAGGACCGTCGGCACCACGACCGAGTATGTGTGCCCCATGCTGAAGGTGCCGGTGCCTGCACCTTCTGCGAGACGTGCGGTTCTCATGTGTGGAAAACGGAGAACGACGCTCTGAACTGGGATCCCACGGCCAAGCTCCCACACCGCTGTAGGGGGCTCGCCCACTCGGGCAAGCCATTCTGTAAATCCTGCGGACTCTCACTAGGCCAGTACTCCGACGAGTACGTTGACAAGCACCGCAAGTTCTGTGGCGCATTCTTCAGCGTCATTGGCACCTTCTGCCCCTACTGCCAGCTGAAATTTGATACCGTGCCCGGGGCCGACAAGGTCGAGGACGTGATCGAGGCCAAAAAGGTACATATCAACACCTGCCGAAACGATCACGTGCATCCAAGTTTGCAGGTGCAACGAGGCCAGATGACGCCCTTTGATCTCTATGATGAGGACTATTGGCGCGAGTGGACGCGACCGTACGATGAGCAGTACGACGGACCTCGCGCGTTCAACGAGGTGCTTCGGCTGCCCCATAGGGCGACGAAGGCCCTCTTGCCGCCCCTTGCTTGGTGGGAGAAACAGGGGCCGCGGGACTCGGTCGTTGACCCGCCGCAGGATTGCGGCGTCTGCAGAGCGGCTCTTGTTGGGCTTGACGCGTCAAGCGTGCTGCAGCACTTTGAGGCCGACCACAATGACGATAAGCCCCTCGAAACGTGTCCGTTGTGCGATCTATCTTTCACGGCGCCGGTCGCTGAAGGCGAGACGCAAGTGTATCTCGCTTCACGCGCACAGCAGCAGCGGCACATGGAGTGCCACGTTTTCGACCTGTGGAACGACATCCGGATGAACTCGAGCAGGCAGAAAATCACCCACCCGACGGAGAATCCATTCAGGCAGGGCCACCCTCTGTGGGACCCCAAAGAGTACGGGCTCGACAGGCGCGACAAGCGATGCCCGGCGTTCGCCGTGTGCGGTGCCATGGTGGGGTTCATGACGCCGGAGCAGTGGCGGCTACACAAGAAGCAGGTGCACGGCAGCGAGGAGTGGCAGCTCGAGACGCCGGGACAGATCGCGTCTGGGACGAGGGCGGCCAGGGCAGCAAAAGAGCTTAGGGCAGGGAAGAAAAAGGGTTCGGACGACAGCGGTGGTGACGGTGGCGGAGGTGGCAGCGGTGGTGACGATGGCGGAGGTGGCGGCGGCGGTGACGGCGGCGGTGACGGTGACGGCAGCGGAAAGAAGGCGCCTCAGGAGAACACGCCTGGAGAAGAAACGACATTACCGAAAGAGCTCCCCAAAGGCGACTTCGCCGTTGTGGAAACAGACTACTGTTCACGATGCCTCCGCAAGATGCCCCGTAAGAATAATATTGGTCCGGGGAAGCTCTCGTGGGAGCAGCAGGTCATGGTACGTCTAACACAAAATACTTCACCTACCCTCTCCATCACACTTGACGATGGGTTACTGACAAGACATGCACAGGCTCACTGTGACCCGAAGCGCAGCTGCCGCGTCCCCTACCAGCGGGGCAGCGACGCCAACTCCGTTCCTAACATGTCGGGCTTCTTGTCTAAGGTGCAGATGACCAACCTGGGGGGAATCACCAAGCTGAGGAGGAACTTTGCGACAGGCCATCCCACATACGCGCGGACAATTTACCCTACTGATGGGAACTTTGCGCGCAGCACGACAACGTGGGAGTTTGATCCGAACCGGAACGAGAACAGCAATGCTTGGGGGATGCCGTTCCCGCCACCGCCACCTGGGGGGACCCAGGCCGGAGGAGGCGATGATGGAGGCGGTGGAGATGGTGGTGACGGCGGAGGCGGAGGTGATGATGGAGGGGATGGGGGCGGTGGAGGTGATGGTGATGGCGCAGGCGGGGGCGGGGGCGGAGGCGATGGTGATGGCGGTGGTGGTAGTGATAGTGACAAAGGCGGTGGTGATAAAGACGGTGGTGATGCTGGCGATGAAGGCGACACAGCCCCAAGCAGTCAAGCCGGAAAAAAGCGCGCCAACCTTACACCAAAAACACCAGCCTCCAGCAGGACAATGGGCGATGGCGGAACTAGCAGCGGCGGCGGTCTCAGCAGCAGCAAGCGAAAGCGAGGCGACGCGCAAACTGATCCATCCTATCGACCGAGCAAGGAGGAGCTCGCGATGGAGCAGCAGGAGGTGCAGAAGGAGGTACAGGAAGAAGGAGAAAGGCAGAAGAAGGACTCAGCCCGGACGGCAAAGAGGACGAAGCACGTCTGATGAGGGCGAGATGAAGTATTCGACGGATATAAGGGGTTTGGCGATGCTTTTCTTTTGATACCTAGATATTAATGCATGTTGTTCCTTTCTGTACCTTCTGGGGTTGTGGTTCACTTCTCAGGTGATGGTCAGTGAGTTGGACTTACCCCTGACCAGCCGGTGGCAGCTGCCTCTCTAGACCAGCAACAGCTCAGGCCGGACAGGTGCGGCCAACAGCAAATGCCGGTGACGACACGGGTGCAGCACAGGTGCAGCGGCAGGTGCATGCCGCCAACAGGGAGGAGCAAGCGACGCACCTTCTGAGTCGCGGAACCGGCAGCGGCAACCATCGGCCGAAACGCATCTCCAATCGGGCAGGCGACACGGACAGGGACATGACAATACGTAACAAAGTCGCCGACCCGAGACACCAACGATGCCCGGTGACCATTTGGGTTTCTCCCCTTGCTCCTCTCGCTCCTCTCTCTCCTCTTCAGTCATACGAGGTGCAGGCAGAATCGGTGTACAAGAAGGTCGGCGACCTCCCGGCATCTGTTACGGTTTCATTGTCGTTGCTCTCCTCGCCGACTGACCTGACCAGCTTTTGACTACCTACCTACGCTCGCCCCTGACACCAAGTCAGGTACAAAGGTACCTGTACCGGGGAGGTAGTCGACCCTGCGCCGATCGCGGTCCACCTGATAAGAAAAAAAGGGTTCATTATCTCTTGCCTCGCCGTTCGTTCCAATTGAACTGGGCCCCATCAAACCCCGAGCCGGCATCCCTGTTACCTTGTCCACGCATCGTCACGAGGTGCCTCACAGACACCAACTAGGAACTGACTCTTACGTATAACCTCCCTTGCCCTCTGTCCTCCCGACAGCGCCTCGTTTGACTTCCTCCTCACAGCTCCAACAAGGAGACCTCCTGCACCGACGGCAACCCGCCAAAACCACCAGCTCCAATAAATCAAGAACAACGCCACCAACAAAGGCAACGACCAGCAATACGTCACACTCAACGCCCAATGAAGGCACCTCGACGCCTGACCTGCGAACTCTCGCAGCTGGCGACGACCCGACAATACCTTGCCTCGACCGTGCGCCCCTCCTCCCGATGTTGCCAATACCTTCACACTTCGCCCTCACCTCGCGCCCCACCAAAGTCGTCCTCGCCGTCGTCCAGACCACGAACGTCTTGGTGGAGGTCGTCTCGACGCGCCAGGCCAGCAACCGTCACCCTCATCGCCAGCGCCGGGCTGCTGTCAGCCTTCGCTGGATTTGCTGAGCCGACGAGCACCACAAAAGACGAAGCGCCACCGCCCCCTGAGAATAATGACAGTCGAGACCCCAAGCTACCTCGCTTCAGGTTATCTGAGGTCAAGGAACATGGGCCCGACTCGGAGAGGCCGTGGGTCACCCACGAGGACAAGGTCTACGACATTACAGACTGGATCGGAGCACATCCTGGAGGCGACGTCATCCTGCGCGCCGCCGGAGGTAGCATTGACCCCTACTGGAACATCTTCACCGTCCACAAGGCCCCCTACGTTCGCGAGATTCTTGCTCAGTACATGATCGGACTCATCGACGTCGCCGATCTTGTGGATGGGCAGCCCCCGGCAGAGCTTATCGAGGACCCTTTCCGAGACGATCCCACCCGCGACCAGAGGCTGGTCATCATGACCTCGAAGCCGCGCAACGCTGAGACACCGCTGGACGAGCTGGCCGAGACATTTGTCACACCGCAGGAGCTGTTTTACGTGCGTAATCACATGTGGGTGCCCAAGATCGAAGACCCAAAGCAACACACTCTCACCATTGAGCTCCTCGATGGCACAACCAAGGACTACACCGTCGAAGACCTCAAGACCAAATTCAAGCCCGTCAAGATCGCCGCGACTCTCCAGTGCTCTGGCAACCGTCGCAAGGACATGACAACCCATGCTCGCGACACAAATGGCATCCAGTGGAACGTCGGCGCCATCTCTAACGCCGTCTGGGAAGGCGTCAAGCTTTCCGACGTGCTGGCCGACGCAGGGTTCCCCCTCGCCGAAGCGCGCGCAGGTGACACGGACGCTCGCCACGTGCAGTTTGCCGGTCTCGAATCATACGGCGCCTCCATCCCCATCGATCCTGTTCTTGACCCCCGCGGCGACGTGATCGTCGCCTACGCTATGAACGGTGCACCACTGCCTCCTGATCACGGTTTCCCCCTTCGCGCCCTCGTCCCCGGTTACGTTGCGGCGCGTTCCGTAAAGTGGCTTCGCCGTGTGATTGTCTCTGAAGACGAAAGCCAGAGCCAGTGGCAACAAAAGGACTACAAGCTCTTCGGACCCAACCAGACCCATCCCGACTGGACCACGGCACCCGCCATTCAGGAGATGCCGATCACGAGCGCCATCACCGCCGTCAAGCTCGGCCCCTGGACCACTGTGCCCCCCATGAAGGCTCCTGGCGGCCGCCTCCTGACCCCGCCACCCGAGGCCCGCGGCCGCGAAGCAGCCGTCACGGGCTACGCCTACTCGGGCGGTGGACGCCGCATCGTCCGCGTCGACGTCAGCCTCGACAACGGCCGCACCTGGGACCAGGCCAGACTCCTCGCCGACACGGTCAAGCCCGGTCCCGACCGGGCGTCCCAGGACCACGGCCACAAGTCCTGGGCCTGGCAGCGGTGGCGCTATGATGGCGTCGTGCCCTTTGGTGACGGCCCCGAGGGCGGCAAGGTGTGCTCAACGCTTCTCGTCAAGGCGACGGACGAGGCGTACAACGCCCAGCCCGACGGCTACGAGGCCATCTGGAACTTTAGGGGCAACCTCACAAATGCTTGGCATCGGTACCGCGTCTGCTCCGAGTGTCAGGCCGAGAAGGCCGTCAACGAAGACAACAGGTGAGGGAAGAAGGAGGCAAGAAGAAGAAGAAGAAGAAGAAAACCAAAACACAATCGGCATTCCTGCCCTCTTTTCACTCTGTGCTGGGGTAACTGTGGCGAGGTTTTGGGCTTCCAAGCAAAGCATGGCAGAAGGGCGATTTCGTTTCTGACCAGCGGATAGCGAGGAGTGATAGCGAGGGGTTTAGCGCGGCGCTTCATCAAGGACATTATTCTCCCGGGGAACAATATTTTATGTAATTATTATATTTCACACCTTGACCGTGGTCAAGGAAAAGGCATAATGCATTCGTACATTCCTATCTTCCTCACGTGCGAAGGGACATGCGACTCAAGACGGCGAACGCAGAAAGGCATGGTATCATACACATACGAACACGCCTACTGTACAACAACAACAACAACTAACGGCCACTTCTCACGCGCAAAGAAACAAAAGCCTTTCCATCTATACCTTCTCTACCCAGCCGCCCCCGTCCCTGCAAATAGGCTAGAAATACAGCCACGGAGCAGTTTGCTCCTCCCTGCCTCCCTTGTCTGGTGTACACACCTCCTCGCTCCTGATTGCCTCTTCCGATTTCGGCCCCACGTCTAACCGACGCATCTCTCGCAGCCTGCCTGGCAGACCTTCTTATTCCTCGCTGTCGGTAAAGTACTCAAACTCATCCGGCACAGTCGCCTCCTCATCGCCCTCGCCATCCTCGTCCACCGCCGTCAGGACACCAGCGGCCGCCGCGGCACCGATGCCGCCCATGTCGTCGTCGTCATCGTGGCGCACCCGCGTCTGGCTCAGCAGGTTGTTGAACTCATTCAGCGAGCGAAGGTCTCCGCTGGCGCCGGCGCGGAGTGCCTGCTGAATAAGCTCCTGCTGTTGGCGAGTGGTCATCTCAGGACGCTCTCCGCCACCGTTCCTCTGGCCCGCGACGGGGGCCTTCTCGGTCGTCACCTTCTTCAGCTTCTCCTCCATGAGGACCTTCTCCTCATCGGGTTGCGTGTCCTCCAGGAGGAGGGGGCCACCGCTGGGCTGGTGTCATTGTTAGCTTGCTGCCGGATTCTGTCGCGCGTCGGAGTAGGGAATGCTTACCTTCTTGACGGGTCGGTACCGGTCCGACGGGAAGCTGACGAACTTGAGCTGTCCCGGGAGAACACGGGACATGTTCTCAATCTCGTACCCGACCTTCTCCTTCTCGGCCTTCTTCTTAGCATCCACAGGGGCAGGGGTGCCCTTCTCGCCTTCGGCCTCCTTCTTGTCCTTGGACGACTCATCGGCAGCCTTAGGCTTCTTCTCCTCGTCAACCTCCATCTTGTCGACAGCCGGCTTGGGCTGGTCAATGTCCATGCTCTCGCGACGCTGGGCGCGCTCCTTCTTTTGGGCACGGCGCTTGGCCTGGGCGGTCGTCGACAGCACGGCGGTCGCCACCATTGTGGGTCCCTCCTCGGCCTTGACCTCTTGCTCTGGGGGGTAGTCAAAGAGGCTGGGGCGAGTGGCGCAGTGGAACTTGAACTGGGGGATCTCCAGGTCGTGGTCGAGGCCAATGATGGATGTCGGGGAGAAGGCCAGCGAGAGGAAGTGGGTGAAGGGGAACCAGTACCAGTACTGCGTGAACACGGCCATACCGATGATGCCGGCCATGTTCAGGTTGCCGCTCTGGGTCTGGAGGCCGATGGTGCAGTTGCGGCCACCAGCGTCAATGATGCCGAGAGCCAGCGAAGCGCCGAACTTGGTCATGGCGTCCTCGTGGCGGTCGCCGACGACCTTCTTCAGTGTCTTGCGGATCGCAGCCACCTTGGGGTTCATGACCTCGTTCTGCTGGATCATGATCATGGCGAGCGAGATGAGGGCACCCTGGCGGACAAAATCGGTAGGATCCTTCATCATAGGCTCCAGCAGATCGATAGCCTCGTCGAGGCCTGTGCCCGCACACGAGATGCCGAGCGCCATGGCGGAACCGTAACGCACATGAGGGTTGTAGGATTCGGAGAGGAGCTCGACCATCCTGGGTACGCTGCCGGGCTTGCGGAACAGGATGAAACCCAAGCTCATGACAGCAATGCGGCGGACGTCGTCGTTCACATCGCTGACGGCAGTGTGGAGAAGCTTGCGGATAGCCTTGTTGCTGCCGGTGCCGCAGTAGGCGAGGGCGACGGTCAGGATACCTCCGTACCTCAGAGTTGGGTCAGGGTCGTTGAGGAGACCCTCGATCATGGCGTCCGCGCCCTCCTGGCGACCGTACATGATCAGAGCCATGCCGATGGCAAGACCGCGTACAATCTTTTCGTGCGTCGTCTCGTGAGCGTAGGTAATCATGTCCTCGAGAGCCTTGACGTTGCCAGTGCCCAGCATGATCAGACCCATGGCGAGACCGACGGCCTCACCGTTGAGGGCAGAGTCGGTGAAGAGAACATTCTTGAGGTTGTCAAAGATCTCCTCAGAACCAGTACCCATGCCTGCGATGCCCAATCCGAGAGCTCCGCCGTGCTGGATCACCTCCTCCTCGGCGGACGCGAACTGCGTCTTGAGGTAGTCGAGGGCGTCGGCTCCGTGGTTGGCATGAATCAGGCCGTAGGCGTACAAAGCACCACCTTGGCTGAAGATGGATCCGCTGCTCAGGCCACCGGCCTGGGGCAGGTACGGCTCGAGGAGTTTCCGGGACTGCGTCAGGTTGCCACGGTGAATGACACCGAGAGCAGCAGTGGCGGTGAACTTGGACCAGTTGACAGCCTTGCCGAGCCAATCCAAGTTGTCGCGGAAGAACTTGTCGTTGGTGGTGCCCTGGTTCATGAAGGCGTTGCAGAAGGTGACGGCGGTGTGGAAGATGGAGTTGCGGCCCTCAAGACTGTCGCGAACCTTGTTCAGGATGCTGAGGTCCGTACGGTTGTTGCGGTAGAGGAACTCAAGGTTGAGCCTGATGGTCTTGCTACCGTCCAGAATGGCGCGGATGTTCTTGTAGACCTTGGCCAGGTCATCCGACACCGTCTCTTCGGCAGACTCTTCGTTCTCCAGCAGCGGCTCGGCCTCCTCGCTGTCGTCATTGTCATCCTCGGACGCGGCAGGCTTCTTGGGAGCCTCCCCGGAGGGCAGCGACTTGATGATCTTGCCCAAGAATTCCTGTGTGCCGTTGTCGTACAGATCAAACGCGATCTGGTATGCATTGGTAATGGAAACGCGGTCTTCATTTGAGACGAGCTGTCGGAGCATGTGAGACGCCTCCTCGTCGGAGTTGAGGTAGACGACACACTTCGCGATGGCGAAATAGTCAGGGTTTGGGATGTCGTTCAGCAGATCGAGAATGAGGCGCAAGATCTCCGTCCTGAAGCTACGCTCCTGGACGAGATCCATGCATATGCTGAGGGCGTACTCCATGAGCTCGTCAGCAGGGCTCGGAGCGTCGGACGCCTTGCCCTTGGCCGTCTTCTCATCGTCGCTGGCGCGCTTGATGACTCGCCGGAGGACCTCGAGGTTTTTGGCCTCGACAGCAATGCCGACCACTTGCCTGTAGCGACCCTCCTTCAGGCACGACTCGAAGAGGCGCTCGACAACCCTTTGCAGGGCTTCTCGGGTGGACTTGTCAGCAACAGGCGCGATGGAGCCGGACCGGCCCTCTTTTACTGGCTGGAAGGTAGGGTCCAGAATCGTGTTGTCGACAGAGGCGCGGGACAGCAGGGACTTGGAAGGGAGGGTGGTCTGGGAGAAGGGTGTCGTCGGTGACATCAGAGCTGTGCCGTCGGCCGCACCGCTGGCAAAAGTTGTGGCCAGCGCAGGCAGCGATGCATCATTCTTGACGGCGGTGGGAACGGTGTGCTCGGACGCACAGACGGCAATGTAGTGGTCTACGCACTTGGAGATAATGGTCTCCTCAAACTCGCCGGGGGCGTCGAGCTTGAATAGATCGCCGGCGGCGAGGGCAAAGCTCATGCTCTCATTGTAGGCTTGGAGGTGGTAGTAGACCTTGGCAAGGACGAGGGCAGCGAGCTGGCGGTCGGGGAAAGATTCGTCCTCGTAGAGAGCCTCGCTACGGCCCGGTTAGCTTGGATAGCCGGGTGGGAAGATGGAGGGAGGCGACTACTCACATTTGGCCCAGAGCTCCAGCGACCTCGGTCCAGATGGTGTCGATATCGTCATTCAGGGTCTCAAGCGCGAAGACCTTGAGCTCGTTCTCCTCATCGGCGAGGAAGCCCAGAACGCCGGTTGCCGATACCAGGCCCGGCATTTTGAAAGCTCTCGAAAGGTAGAAAGAGTGTGGATGATTCGGTTGTGATAGCGACTCGTGACGTGGGAAGTTCGAAAAAGGCTGCAGGCGGAGAGTATGGAAAGAAAGGTAGTAACAGGTTTGGGCGGGTTGAGGTTCGATTACAGAGCGCCGCCTGATGTCGAGGATTCGATGGAGAGCGGCGGATGGAGGCTGATGGAGGCCGATGGAGGTGTTGTTGGTCGATTGGTGCTCTCTCCAGGGAACAGCAAGCGAGGTCGCGAGATGAACCACGTCAGGCACAGTCTGCCTGGCGCTGCTGGCTGCGTAGAGCTGCACGGACCCACATCCGGCGACACCATGAGTAAGCACGCTTTAAGGCTTGGCTCCCGTCTGCAGGTGGGCAATGATGGTAGGGCAGGCGACCAGGGGCCGGGCGGCTGACTACCCAACTTGCGAAAGCCTCATCACGTGATTTGAGATTACGATGAAGTAGGGGAACACCCAGGAATCAGTTTCTGCCAACCCGGTTAGACCGCATGGAGCTTAGCACATGTCACAGGAATGGCGTTCGTGGCCTTTTAGGAGGCCACAAGCCGGGACTGTTTCTCACATGCCCAAAATTGATGTGTCACACAGGTCTGAAGCCTGCTTCTGGAAGCCAGACCTGTGGCAATAATGGAGTCGCCCGGTAAGGCCATATCTGGCCTTATCCCCCCCTTCATCAAGACAAGGGAAGAAAAAAAATGATCCGGGGCAGAGGGGGGGGGCAAGATGAGTGGCCGGTGGAATTGGATCGGTTTTTCTTCACCACCATGTCATAGGTGCGATAGCTGGGTTTCATCGCTTAGACCATCATCCCAACCTGCCTGGCCATGCTGCTGTGCACTCCTAAACCACCATGTCCGTCATGATCTCTCATCTCATCATCTATGCACTTATTTGGTGGCTGCCTGTCTTCCTGTGACTGCGTCCGTGCATTGCAATGGCCCCTGAGAGGCTCGACAGACAGCCTTCGCCTTTTTTTCCTTCCCCAACTAGCCAACCACACTAGCCTGAGACCTGATGAATGAAGTAAAAAGCGAATCTGGCTGAGCACGTAGCCTGGAGCGTCCTAAGACAGATCCTGAATTTTCGAACCAACCCAGACTGGCCTGGGTCGGACTGCTGAGGCCATCGTCAAAGGGGACAGAGAGGACAATAGGCTCCGTCCATTTCGACATCTTTCGTCTCAACATGCATTCCCCTGATTCTTGAGAATGGAGACTGACAGATCAAAACTGACTGAGTGACTGACCATCGGCTGTCTTCTGTCCATCGTAGGTACGCAACGACGTATCCCTGCCACGCGCCCACCAACCACGCGTTCAGTTTCTGCCGTTGCATCCTACCTTGCCTTACCCAGCCTACCTACCTACAATCTTACCTATCTGCCTGACCGCACGGCACTGTTCATTGATTCATTCATCCATCCATCTATCCATTCACATTTCTCCCCGTTTGCTCTAGTCCCTAAACGCTCGCCAGATTGTGCACATCGAACTCATCGCCTCATCATTTCTCCAATCGCCGACCCAATCGCGTCAGACCGACCTCAGGCATCCGCGACTGTTCTGCGCTGTCGCAAACGCAGACGCAAGCACGCTCCGAGCAGACGGTTTTCTGTTCTCTGTCCTACACGTTCCGCCCACCAACAGCAGCAGCATCTGGCTGGTCGACCTTCGCTCATCCTCCAGCCGACAATCTCCAATTCTCCGAATCACACTGGCGTGATGCCCATCATTTGCCATTCGACCTCTACATGATAGCCCGTGCCGACAACCATCGCTAACCGACGACGACTCGCGGCCGAAAATTATTCGTCCTGCGCTTCAACATCCCTTCGTTCGCCCTCGACTCGCCTCGCCACGAGCCCGTCGCATGCGCAGCCTCATGGGACCGAGGGAACCGCGCCGGCAGTAGAAGCATCGCCTGTTACGACGCCCCGCCGCCCTGGAAGATCCCGGCTTTCCATCAATCGTCCTGAGACGCGCCCGCGCCGCCCCATCGCGAGATCGCGAAATTCATCGACATGGATCTCAGGAGCTTGATGAACACCAACGACGATGGCGAGCGAACCGGAAAGCCTGCACCACACGGTCCTCCGAAGCAGCAGCAACAGCAACCGCCGCCGCATCCCCATTATGCTCAGCAGCAGCAGCAGCAGCAGCATCCTCAACAACATCCCCAGCAGCAACAGCCGCCGCCTGCGCAGACCCCAACCACCCCGGCGCAAGGTCCTACGGCCTTCGCTTTTAGGGAGTCGGCATACAGCCATGCCTTGCACAGCTCGCCAGGCAAACCATCTGCGCCCCAAGAATACTCCGCCCACGGACAACCTGGCCCCGGCCCTGGACCAAACTCTGGCTCCTATCCCCCGCAGTCACCATACCAAGCACCGGGGCCTTACCCAAACCGACCTCCTCAGCCGACGCTGCAAACCCAGTACAGCGACCCGCGATCCCCTGGCGCTGCTCCCATGCCCGGGCCATCGCCGTATCGTCACACCCCCAACTCCTCTGTGAGCGCGCCGACCCAAGGGTATCCATTCCCGCCGTCCGGGGCGGCGCACGGCTCTCCCGAAGCGACCGCCAGCCCTGTGCAACGGCATCAATATCCACCCTCTACCACTTATCCTTCTCGAGATGGCTACTCGCACATGCCTGGCCCGCCACATGGTGCGACAGGACCTCCGCCTGCCCACCCCAGCGGTCCCTATGTGCCACACCAGCAGCAACCGCAGCAGCAGCAGCAGCAGCAGCAGCAGCAGCAACAACAACAGCAACAACACCCGATGCCACAGACGCCTCCCATAGGCACCTCGAGCGGTCACGCCTTTATTCACCAGAGATCTCAGTCGACTCACTCCACCCCGACGCCTACATCCGCTCATAGCCAGCACCAGTACGGGCATCCTTATCCACACAATAGCCCTGTTGCGACAGCCCGCCCACACCCCGCTGAACATAACCGTCAACCGTCACAGCCCCCGACGCCCCTCGGTCCTCCTTTGCCCGCTGGACAACGACAATCTTCTGCTGCTCCGAGCTACCCACACCCTTCGAGCCCTTACCAACAACGAATGTCGACTGCTTCGTCGCATATCAGCCAATCTCACGCCACCCCCCCTCCTCCTCCACCGACCGCCATACCTCGCGCTCCCAGTTCGCATTCTGCCTACGACCCACGGGTCAACGACGCCCACCGAAGATCCCAGTCCAACAGCGAGCGCGAGAGGAGTGTTAGCATCAGTCCGAAAACCCGCATGCCGAGCCTTCCGAGCAGTACTGGCGGCCCTCCGTCCGCACCCCCATCGACAATTGCCGACACGGAAATGCGCCCCGTCCAACCTTCGGTAGCCAACATGATGGACCCCGAACGCGAGCGAGCCACGACACCAGCTAAGCGAAAGCTGGCCGACCGTGATCTGAGTCCAAGGGAAATGGAAAAGGCAGGAACGAGGCCACCGCCACCCGGCCAGGTCAACGGCGACCGCGCCCCTCCGAGCCGCTCTTCGACTCGGCCTCCTACCGCTTCGCCCCAAGCTGTACAGAAGAAACGAGCTCGACACATGATGCCTCCGGTCTGGGCTCAGAGGTGGGACTCTCGAGAGAACCGCCGACTGAACAAGGCCAACTACGAACTCCAGAAACGAGGACCACCAAGCACAAACGGCAAGCCTCCGGTGGTCGTGAAGCAGGAGCAAATCAAGCAAGAGCTCGCGAGTCGGCATGCCTCACCCGAAGCGGTGCGGTCCGACTCGCTCAAGGGCGCCCCAGTTGCCGATCACAACCCGAACAACGAGATTGTGGCCATACTGGGCCCTTGGGAGCCCAGCATTACTGGTATCAAGCCAACAGACGAGATTGCCAAAAATGTGGCCGATTTTCTTTACCTCAACGTCGTCGCCAATCCTGACTCGGGCGAGATTGCTAATCGTGGTGTTGAATTTGAGATTGAAGCCAAGCTGGGAACTCTGATTGACAAGGACACAAACGAGCGCGTGGAAAAGTTCGTTACCACGGCTTGCCTGCTGCACGACACGGGCCGCATCGCCTTTCGTAGCAGCATGACAGCGGTATGTGGCCCAACAGTCTTCTCGTCATGAATGTCGCTGACTCCTTTTTAGGCTCAACACAAGGGCATGAACCAGTGGCTCAACGACAAGGTGTTAAATACGAATCCTCAGAATCCTGATCCTCGGGTCAGAGACCGTGTGCAGGTGCAATACAAGCATCGCCGCGAAGTCGACAAGTTCTTCGAGATCCCGAGCCAGCTGCAGGGCCGCCTTCCAGGCTGCGTACGGGCACGCATCAACCCGAAGCACAGTGTCAAGGTTCGCGTCACGTACGACCAGAAAACCGAAAAGCCTCTGGCCAAGATTGTCAAAGCACGCGTTGCCGACATTAATCTTCACATGCCCAACGCGCCGCTTGACTGTCGCATCAGCATCAATCTCGAAGCGGCCTGGGACGGCCCCATTGAGGAACTCGAGCAGATCGCCGTCGGCCACGGCAACAAGTTCCCCGATCGCAGCAAGGACCGGCTCAGCTACACGCAGAGCCATTATCAAGTGGACCTGACTCAGGTGACCCAGACGGTACCTGGTCCGGGGGTATGTTTTGGCCCTCCTCTCTTTTCCGTCTTCTTGACATGCTTGATGCTGATCCGAACTTAGAACACGCAACGCGTCGACAAAGAGCACGAACTCGAGATTGAGCTCGCGCCCCATGTGACCATCGATCAAGGCCAGCGAGCCACGAGCGGTCAGCCCCACAAGTACCCCGAGCTGATCGAGGGTTTCGTGGACAACATCCGCATTCTGGCCCGCGCCGCGGGTGATTTTGTATGATAACCAAGAGAGGAAAAATCAAAAAATGACGTACGACGAGCATACGGGGGTTGTGCATTATCGTGGAGCAGGGAAATTCTTTCTTGTTGTTCTTTCACCACAGCTTGTTCTTCTTTTTCCCAAGACTGGTCATTAGGCTTCTATACCAGGCGTGTGTGCGCGGAGTCATGGCAAGGGGTTGGGGGCGCGATAGGTATGTGTGTGTGTGTATGTGTGTTTGGGACGACGGGAGCGAGCAAGGCCGTCATTGTAGCACAGAGACGGCTGTGGAGGGTTTGTGAGCAGGCAATTGATGGCATGCTGCTGAGTTCAGACGATACTACCGGTAGTATCGTGATGTGACAATGCCATTCGTGAAATTCGACAGCACGCCATATATGATGTCAGGTACCCGCAGTCTGAAGGACTGGATCTTTCGGCTCGATACACGACACGTAGGCTTTCCACAAAGTGGCATGAGCTCATGGCCTGAACCCCCATCACAGGGAGACAAAGTGTCACCATCCACAGGATGACTTGCAATGGTCTGGCAATGCGGATATGCGCGGCATCGACAGGCTTGTAGATCATGTCGTGGGTAGCAGAAGCCTCTGCAGCCTCGAACACAGCCCAGATGCGGCGCCTTGCCTGAGGACCTCACCAAGGTGGCACTGAGACTTGACTGGACCTTCATTGTACAGCGCGCGATCGCGGGTACTGACTGCAATGCTGTCTCCGATCGATGCTGCATTTTCGGGCTGGGCTGGAATTCCACACTCTCAATACCATTGTCTCGACAGCATGAACCCATTTTCAGACTTGACACGCATCAGAAGCGTGCTGTGTCACATTGACTTCGACGGGCTCCAGTCCCAAAATGTCTCGACCAGGAATTCTGATAATGGCATTCTAGTGCTCGTGGTAGGGTGCCTCTTTACTTGTTGTGGTGTTTATGTATCATTGAACAGTACCAAGTCGGTGCTCGACCCGACTGCATGAGCTGTGAACCGTCGTCTTTCTCTTCTCACACCTCACATTGTATTCTTTGTCTTCAAGTTACATCAGTCATCCCCGGCCGACAATACAACGTATTATCAGTACGACAAAGACATTGAGGGGGTCATTGTCGAGGGCCTACTCGTCAAAAGCTGCTTAAAATACATTGCACTAGACTGACCCGATAGCAACTTGATGTTGTCGTCAAAGAAAAAGGAGGCCTGGAGGGAGATGGCCACTTGTATATCTAACCTTTCTGTTGCGGTTGAATCCTTCAATCACACAACAAGCCTCAAGTTCTCCATCCACGTCAACTCACACGGCACGCAACCAGACTCCCATCCACCGAATCCGCAAAATGACAACCTACTCCTCCAGCCCAGTGGCCACCTTCCTCTTCCCCACCGCCTTCGTCCTCTTCACCCTCCTCATCGCCTCCACCGAAGCCCTCGCCCTCATCCTTAAGCCCCTGAGCGGCCTCATCGTCCAGTCTGTCGTCTACTGGGCCATAGCCCTCGCCGTCTGGAGCGAGCCCAACGACGAGACGATGGTCAAGGCCTTCCTGTTCCTCGCCATGCTCTCCTTCCTGCTCATGCAGGTGCGCAGCAAGCGCGTGCCCCAGCCCTTCATCCGCGCCGTGCTGGGCCTCGTGTCCCTGGCCGTGATTGCCCATGACTGCACGATCGGGTTCCTCGGGACGCAGGCCGTCATGTTGAGGGTCATGATGCTCCTGCTGCGAGCGAGAAACGTCCATGCCGTCATGGGGCGTAGCAGGGCCGTGCAGTTCTTTGCGAGCTGAGCGGAGCGTGCCGGACTTGACATGAAGGGATCTCGATCTTGGTAGCAGAGGTAATCGGTTGTCGAAGCTCGTTTTCTGGGCGTTTCTTTCTTCGCATCTCTTTGCATCTCTTTGCGCTAGATTGTATTGATAGAGAGCAGCATCCAGATGAGACAAGCCCATTATCTGTTCAGAGTGAACTCTCGGTGAAGAGTCTCGTGTATTTTTGGGTATTGACATTACACATATACCTTCTTCTATGACTCGCTTTAAATAAACCTAGTACTGGTATCTTCCCTGCCCTGGTGTCGCATTTAGATTCGTAAAATAGCCATCGAAATCGGTACCCGCATAGGGTGACAGATTTGACTCCCGTCTCTCCTCCATCTGAGTTCCGTCGCCATCCGCAGTTCCTTGCCGTCTTTGTCGCAATGTCTCTCTGCCCACCCAACTGAGGTACACCGTCTCATGCACCTGCACCAGCCCACCACTTCTCCTCGGGTCGACACGTCCACTACTACCCTCAACATCGTTCTTGCCCGACCCCTCTGCGGGCTCAAACTCTGGTCGCTTCTCGACAACAAACACGCGGTGGTCCTTGCGGTCGATGTGCTTCGCCACGCCAACGAAGCCGAGAAACCATGCAATTCCGAGGCCAATGACGCACCATGAGACGGTTGGGACGATCCACCATTCCGCCTTCGGTTTGGTGAGCTGTTCATAGAGACCTGTTGGAGGCACCCAGGTCGCGATCACTGGGTACAAGCCGCCAGCCATGTATACAGAGGCAGCGATAATGCTCACCACCGGGTTGATGCCCTTTCCTGTCAAATCTGTCCAGGTAGGGTTTTCTGGGATGGTTTGGTCGTTGGGTTCGTCGCCGTCCCGGTTTACGGCCGTCGGAGGCGGGCCGCGGAAGCGAAGAATCAGAATTCCAAGTCCGAGAAATGTACTCATGAAAGCAGTAACAACATAGGCGCTCCACGAAGTGAGTAGAGTGTACGCCTCCGTGGGTTTCATGCCCCACGTGGCGAAGATGAGAACAAGACAGCTGACGAAATGAAGCACGAGCGCGCCGACCGGCGTCTTCTCGCTGTGTTCTTCGGGCGAGAACCAACTTAAGCGCATAATTGACTTGAACATGCCGTGCTTTTGGAACCATCGCATGACTCGACCAACACTCATGTCTGTGTTCTGAGAGAAGAACTTGGGAAAGGGAAGAATGCCTTCTTTGGCAATCTCTTGCTTGACACGGGCCGCAGTGTACGTCTGTGCAGACTTAGCATCATAAACTGAGAATGGGAGTGTTCGACGTACCATGACAATGATGTTGCCCAATGAAGACACTGCCAGAAGACCATTGAAGATCCGAAGTCCAGTATCCCTGCCGCCGTCAAGGTGGCCAAGGGTAAGCTCAAAGAACTGCTCGGCCACACTGCGATCGACGTTGATCTGGTCGAGTTTGGGCACCACAACCATCTGGCAAAGGGTCAGCGGGGACGCTATTAGGCGTTGGAGGGCTCAACTCACGTAGCTCAGGTTGACAGCGAGGTATAGTACCAAGACGATACCTACACCCGTGCTCATGGCGCGTGGGAACTTCTTCCTTGGTCGGCTGATCTCGCCCAAGACATAGTTGGGCTGTTCGAAGCCGGAGAAGGAAAATATAATAGCCAGAAAAGCATGAGCGTAGCCGTTTGGTTGGTTCGACCCGCCTCGGAACGAGTTATCCGCAGAGATATTGTCGGTGAAGACGTTCTCTGTCTTGGGCAGAGCATTGCCACCAACACACGCCGCTGTGATGATAATAAGCAGCATGATGCCGACCTTCACAATAGCCAATGTGTTATTGAGCCAGAGACCCCCGCGACGTGAGATGGCGTGAATAAAGCAGGTTAAGGTGGCGACGGCCATGGCAATCCCCCTCACAGCACCATTGGAAGGGTCCTGAACGTTTGCAGCAAGCAGAACGCGATGCGCAAAATTGATCGAGTTACCAGCCATATTGCCCAGGATGATAAAGGAGATGCCGAAGATGCATGTCGAAAGTAAAACGGTGTTTTTACGATAGGCGGGCTTCGTGTATACGTATTGAAGGTAATTGAGATCTCCGCCGCTTCGAGGGACACTCTGTTCAACACCATTGATGACATAGCGAGGGATGTTCAGGCCGTATTCGATGTAGACGTGAGTACCGCAGATGCAGTAGATGATCCCGGCGACCCAGAAGAGCAGTGATGCGCCAGTGCTCATCGTTCCCTGGATTACACGCTGGGGCGACATGAAGATGCCGGTGCCTTGCCGAGGAGAGATGAACGGGTTAGCCCAAGAGCCAGTGCATCATGAGAAGTGCGACAAGCTCACCAATCATGCGATTGATCACCAGACAGCAGACAGTGAAATATCCCAAACGAAAACGCTCCTTAGGCGCATATGTCACGATACCGTTGCCATTGGATTCGTCGTAGAGATCAGCTCGATCTGAATCTATGGAGTGAGCATCGCGATCTCGGGCTGGCTCCTGCCGGATGCCAGCAGAGCTGGGGAAGTCATCCATGACGGAGACGAGGCAGAGCAGATGGGCCTGCCAGTCAAGGAGTGGGCGGCGTGTGTGTGGCGATGGGCCAGTCTCTCATGGAAAGGCTAGAGGGAGAGGCCAGAGTATGGAATGCCAGAGCCCGAAGAGGAGCGCGCAGATGATGAACAGAGAAACGAGGCGCGTCTCGTAGTGCGAGGCTCTGTGGGCAGCAATCTCTATGTAAATCACGTCGGTCGACGGGCATGGCTCAGGCCGCGCTCGCTGGTGGAACGCCTTGACATTGTGCTATATGCAGACGGCCAGTAATCGTGCCGAACATCCAGCCTCCAGAGGGTGACTGGGGGGCTGCCACATGGTGGTCACAAGACAAAATTATGAGTCGAATGCAAGGCAGGCCAAGCCGAACCAATCCAGGAGAAGCAAGACGGGAGGCAGGACATGCCGCCACAGGAGCCACAGCCTCGCTGTCGAGTATGCCTCGTTGGGTGCTGCATGGCATTGGGGAGCAGGACTGCCCTTGAGCATTGCGCCGTGGTGCCATCCGATGAAGCCAAGCCTGATCAGGGAGATGGCGTCTTGCCGACGAGGTGATCGTCGAGGGGTTGAGCGAATAGGCGACGAACGGAAGGCAGACTGGTTGATGCAGGCGATGTCCGAAACGATAGCGGGAGTTGCTGTCACGGGAGGCTTGAGGGGGCGGTGGTATGCCTGACCGCCAGAAGAGGCTCTCGGTGTGCCTAATGCATGGAGCTATGGAGAGAAGGACGAGGACAAGCTGTTCAGCTTTCAGATCACTGCCACAACGGATAGACGAACCTCCACTGGCGGGCCAATGCGAAGCTTAAGTTTCCCAGGGGAGGCGCTACCATCACGAACCGCTAAGGACGAAAGGGGAATGGCCGCTGCTTGTGTCTGCCGCATCTATTGGTCGTCTGCCGTGCTGGGAAGCGAGGACCCAGACTGTCTCCCTGGCTCTTGCCTGCCTTATTACCACTTTGACACCTGCTACGCTGTTACCTAGGTAGGTAAAGAGGTACAGTAGGTAGTGGGGTGCTCCTGCTTTGCCTCGTCTTTGCAGAGACCCTGGCATGGCACCTGCTCGCTCGCCTTATCGCTGGAACAAGCTGCGGGCGGGACATGCGCAACCCGCCCGCTGTTCGTCAGATGTCTCGTGTCTCCCCTCTTGTCTCTGACCTTACCTTGGCTTCACAGCATCTAAGCCTCCCTCATGCCCCTCTTCCCCAGACCTACCCAGATGTGCCAGAGTTGTTGGCACACTCATTCATGACACGTCACTTGCCATGGTCTGTTTCCCAGGCGCGGGTTGTATCACCGCACCATGTCGTACAGGATCCCCACCGATATTCATCGGCCAGGAACAGAGTCAGGTTTCAGGCAACTACTACGACAGGACCCGGGACTCTGGTCTCAGGTGCCTCCCATCTACATGAGCTACTTATCTAGGTAGCCACTTTGCGTGGTTTTGCCAGGATTCCAGCCCGCATATCTGTTCAAACAGCCCCCAACGGAACCTCTGGGCCGGCGTCCCCCCCGGACTGGGGTGAATACATGATGGTGGTCTCCCTGCATCGCCCAGCACTCAGGGACGGCTCGCCTCATTCTGGCGTGGCCCCCATCCTTTCTCTCTGTCACCCTCTCCCTCCTCGTCGCATGCCTCCGGCCGAGAAACACACCGACCCTACAGACTAAGCCTCGCATCCATCTTCGAAAACGGCGCACGCGGCTATTCGACTCAGCCACAAGGTCTCCTTGACGGACCTGTCCGGCTTCACTTCCAACGGGCTGGTAGTCCTGCGCTGCCAGCAGATCGAACGAACACCTGGTCTGGTCGTTGCCTTTCCTCGTCCATCTTTCCTTGTGCTACGTGCAAAGTCCAGCTGAGTGCTGCCCTGGAGACCGATAGACCCCTACCCGCATCGTGCTGATCGGGAGAATGACGACGCCCCGTATGCGCGTGTGACATCTCCACGTTCAAGCATTTCCCTTGAAAATCACAACCAGCCCTCCACCCTCTCTCGTTCTCTCTCTTGTGCCTGGTCTTTCCTTCCTGATCTCCGTTTTGCTTGCCGCATCCGACACGACTGGAAATCCCCTTGGAATCACCAACGACACCATCTGCATGGTCGCTCCTTAAAGGAGCCCAACACCTCTTCATGGCTGGTCTCGTTCAAGCAGGCGACTTGATCAACTTTGGAAGACTTGCCTGGCAGGTTTACCAGTACGGCTGGCAAGACGAACATAACGCAAGTAAGTTGCCTTTGTGCTATGCGTCCCGGCAGAATGCGACTTTGCGCTATCTCGGTATTTCGAGTACCCCGCGCAGTGCCTTGCCCGCGGCCAACTTAGTAGTCACATCCCTACCTACCCTCACTGTTAGGCCCGAGATGTTCTCCACTCTACCAAGTCAACGCGCGATGGCATAAGTTATCAGGGCAAATGCTGACCCCTGACCAGCAAGACAATACTTTGAGTTTGGCAGAGATGTCAAAGGCCTGGCTGAGAACCTCAACATCCTGAGTCGAGTCCTTGCTCAAGCAAATCAGTCACTTCGCGAGCAGGGCGCCTACAATACGCCTGTCAGATGGGACGAGGCCTCACTCCTTGAGATCATCGGTGACTACCGGAAAACGCTGCAAGAATGTTACGAGCTGGTCGAAACGAACACGCGGTACCGCCTCAGCGGCGGTCCTGTGCGGAACATTGAGTGGAATGTTCTTGTACAGCCGAATGCCGATCGCCTGCGTCAGAGGCTGCTGCTTCACAACTCCAAAGTTCTCCTGGTTCTGAAGCCTTTTGAGATGTAAGTCAAGGCCGTAGGCACATAACCTTCTGAAGGCACTGACGACTTGACAGTGACCTTCTTTGCCGAGTTCATCAGGACTTAGCAGACAGGATCCAAGCTGTACACGTTGATCTACGTCGCCTCATCGGTATCCTTGTCCCCAACATGGAGCAGGCGCTCGCCCAACAAGAAGTCCGCGATATTCACATGCTTGAGATTCCACCACGCGTGAGCGAAGCCTTTAGGCGAGCGGCCATGCAAGAGAAGCTTGAGTATGAAGACGACATGAATCTGGATCTTGAGGAAATGGCGGACGCTTTTGTTCTACACTACGGCAACTCGACGCGCGACTTCGTTTCTGGCATGTTAGTCGAGAACAGGGTACCGCGCCCCGAGCAGTACATCAACCTCCTTAAATGTGTCTGGTTAATGCAGCGAATCCGAGAATCGCCCAAGTTGAAGCAGCCTGCTCCCGAGTCGCATTGGCCGTCATACGTCAAACAACTGGAAGATGTCAGTTGTCAAAATTAATACACTTCAGACTCATGCTGACATCAGATGCAGGACCTTTCGTCCCAATGCGAGCGCTTCGAGCCGAGGCAAGAACTTGTGGCGCCAGATGTCATGAGCTTGACAAGAGACATGCTCGAAATTTGGCCCGAAAAAGAGCTGCCGCAGCTGATCGACGTTGTGACGCGGGACGAACTTATGGAAGAAGTCTTAGAGGTGTACGTCTACCCCGCATTCCTCAATGCGACAACACAAGAACTTATTTTCCTAGGCCTCTGAACGGGACAGCCAACAACGTGCAGCGCAACCTCCAGCTGCTGCGGCGAATGGGAGCAGATAACAGGCGATTTCGGGTTAACCTGACAGGCGTCGAGCAGCCTGTTGCAGGACGAGCGCGCCGCCAGGGTATGTTCTCGATATCTACACAACTCGTTTATGATACGCAGCATTGCTAACGTGCTCTATTCTCCAGCCGAAACGATTGATTTTGACATCTCAACTGTCACCATCAACCCGTTGTATGCTGTGCCCTCTCCAATAGGGGGCATGGATGTCATCCTACGACGAGATGAAAGAATTGCCAGATTGGCATTCCAGAACCTCAAAGACATCCTCAAATTCCAACAGGCTGTGACGGGATTCAAAACGTGGGCATCGCACGTTCAGTATGTGTTAAGACATCGTATGCGCCCCAAAAGATATCTCTCTGCTGACACTCCAAAGGTTCAACGCTTTGGTGAGCTTCATCATATCTGGAAGGAGGGACCCCATTGTGGAGAAGGCTTGCATTCAACTCTGGATTCCGAAGCAGCTGGATGGTAGACTTGTTACTGGCGCTGACGTGGCAGCTGATGCATCCACATCAGCGCCCACTGAAGCCCCTTCACGATCTTCGACCCTCGTTGCATCACCCATGAGCGGTACATTGCCTTTTTCTCCAAACAATGTCGACAGCATTTTTACAACACCGGATCCTTTCGGCGGTGCGTCACGCGTCAGCACGATGCGCTCGCCGCCCTCGCCGAACCCTGGCGTCCAGCGGAACCCTCCTAGTGCATCTCCGCGCCACCCTATCAACATCCCACGTCGACCCGTCGCCTCAGGATCAGCAGCCTATGGGAGCCCCCCCACTCAGAGGCAACCCAGTGTGACGCTCTCGCCGTTTGCTGGGAGTCCACCGGCGTCCAATGCCTTCCCTCCCGGCTGGTCCTATGCTCAGTCGCCGCCTCTCGGCCGCTCTCCAGCTCGCGATTCAAGTATATCAACGGTGCACAGCCGGACGTTTAGCATGTCGAGCAACGCTTCAGTGACAGCGCAGTCCAACACGAGCTCAAGTGGCAGTGATGCGCACACTGTCACTGTTTCCATTGCCGGGCGCACCACCGGAGGCACGCTCCATCGCAGGCCGCCCAAGCCTCTGCTGGTCCTGTTCACCGAAAACCCGCAAACCGGCAAGCGGTCTTTCGTTGCTTTACCATTGGACGATGAAAACGCCGTGATCAACCCAGCGCGCTGTCACTGCGGACGTGCCGGTCGTGACGGTGCGGCGTGCACTATCGCGGCCCTCGAGAAGAGGGAGGGGCGCGTGGACTTGGAAGCGCGTCGATTTGAGAGCACCAACGGCGAGGCTGACTGGAATGTCGCAAAACTTGCGCTTGGGAGGCGGGAGGAAAGGGGCTACGACGAGGCGATATGGAGGAATCTGAGGCGACTCAGCATAAAGTACGTACTGCTTCCTTTTTCCCCTTTCTGATCCCTCGTCTTTTGTGAACGAGTAACTGACTGGCATGCGACAGATTCCCCGACGCAGCATCAAGGGCGGTATTTGGTGGGACGCCCGCGCAGTGCAGATGCAGTACTCGGACAGAAGCAGAGCTCAACAGGTGTCTCAAACAAGGACACAAGGGGTTTCTGGGTGAAGTTCAGGAGTGGTATAGACAGCGGGCGAATCAGTACCACGCGGCGCGGTATGAGTCTCAACAGCATGTCGTCAATGGAACTTTGAGTAGCCAGGTCCCTTTCTGAGGAGAGATAAGCTCAAGAGTGTGGGCGTGTTGTTAGAATACCCAAAGTAACTTTAAGATGAGAACGAGTCCATTTCTATGTCCAGTGCATGTGTGTGTCGGTGTTACAGTATATGAGGCACTGGCCTTGACAACTATCTTTTGGCCAAGACTGTCTGATTTGGTGCTTTCTCATGATAGATGGCACGGTACTGGTCATCCCTCTAAGCGCACCTCTCACGGTCTCGAGAGATGCTGCAACTCGTGAATCCTTCACTCATGTAGCTAGGGAGGCCTTCAGGCTAATCCCTACAGGGGCGTCCTTCCGTTCCGCTGTGCCAGTTGTGCAGGCCTCCTCGTTCTTTCGGCCTCCGCAACCCCCCCCCCGCCGACAGGACGGTGATGTTCGGCCGGAACCCCACGTCTATAAATGATGCGCGACGCTGATCTGGGGCCGGAGTATGTTTTTCCACAACTCGGTGGAACTTGCGGGGTCGAATCCTTGGCAAGGAGCTGCCACTTTCGGCATGTTCTGTGTAGAAGAGTACATGTCACGGTTTCTTCGAGGAAGGCAATGGAGCAAAACATGCTCAAGTCAAAGCGTGCTCTTGCTGCCGGGCAAGTTCAGACCGAGAGAGAAGGCAATGCCCGAGATCCAGACGTCGTACATAAAGGTATCTTGCGTCTCCGGCCTGAATCTTTCCTTGACCGCACGAAAACGAACAAGGAATTGGACGGGCAGAGCAGAAAGCGAACCATGAAAGCCTGCACTCTAGCCTTCCTCGCCACGGCAGCGGCGGCTGCGCCGTCGCCCGAGATTCCGTACTCACAGTGGATGACTGACTCGATGATCCGCAACGGCTACCAGCTTGCGCCGACGTTCCACTACGACGAAGCGACACTGTACACGTCGTTCGAGGCCGTTTACGACGCCAACAAGAACGAGACGGTGCTCGACTTTTACCGCAGCCACGTGTATGCCGTCGTGCTCGAGGACGGGACGATCGACGGGTTCAACCACTCGCACTACAGCCTCGACAACTACCGCTTCGGCAACAACATTCTCTGGTGGTACGAGCGGACGGGCGAGGAGCGGTTCAAGATTGCGGCGGGGAAGATCAAAGACCAGCTGGACAGGCACCCGAGGACGCCGACGGGCGGGTTCTGGCACAGGTACGTCTTACCCCCATTTTTACACATGTGCACCATGTCTGCTCGTTGCGCCAGCCAGGATTTTATTTTAAAACAAAAGAAGAAAAAAGAAGGCAAGCTGACCAGCGCCGCACAAGACGGCCGACGTATCCCAACCAAATGTGGCTCGACGGCATCTACATGGCCGACACATTCTACGCCAAGTGGACGCGCCTCTTCCAGCCCGCCAACGCGACGGCCTGGGACGACATTGCGCTGCAGTTCGACACGATCGACGCGCGCACGCGCGAGCCGGCCACGGAGCTGCGCGTCCACGGCTACGACGAGGGCAAGACGGCCGTGTGGGCGGACCCCGTCACGGGCGCGGCGCCGCTCGTCTGGGCCCGCGCCGTCGGCTGGTACGTCATGGCGCTGCTCGAGGTCGCGGCGCTGCTGCCGGCGGCGCACCCGGCGCGGGAGAGGCTGCTGGGCTACTTCCGCGCCGTGGCGGGCGGGTTGCGGGCGGCGCAGGACGAGACGGGCGGCTGGTGGAATGTCATGAGCGAGCCGTACCCGGGCCGGCCGGGGAACTACATCGAGAGCTCGGCGAGCGTCATGTTCACGTTTGCGCTGCTGAAGGGGCTGAGGCTCGGGATCCTGCCCAAGGAGGAGTTTACGGAGACGGCGGCCAAGGCGTATCGGGGTATGGTCGACATGTTCGTCACGGAAAATGACGATGGGACGCTGAACTGGGAGAAGACGGTCGAGGTGGGGAGTCTGGGGAGCAATGCCACATTCGAGGTGAGTTTCTCGCAATTTCTGCCTCTGCCTGGGATGGAAAGAGATAACTGACTTGTAACAGTACTATTCGAGCATCAAGCTGAGACAGAACGATCTGCGCGGAGGCGGCGTATTCATGTTGGCGGCCTTGGAATGGGAGAGCAGGACATGCTGAGGATCGTGAAGGATCATGCGCTCACACACTGGTTGGGTTGTGCGTATGCTAGAACATGCCCAATATCTGCGGACTATCATGAGGATGAGTTCGAGGTTGCGAAAGGGGGAAAGGCTATAATCCTTGCCCTCAGACAATGTCAGCGGATGCTTGGTGCAAGGTTATCCACTGCGCCCCGGAAGTCAGCGAGCCTTTATTGTATCGCGCTTCAGATTGTGACAGAGCATCGTCAGGCGTGCCGAGCACTTCCTTATACAAGAGGTCGACGACACAACAAATGCAAAGCAACGACTAAGAGACTGATCAATTCATACAACCGACAGCTATAGTTCCACCGCTTTTTAAACAATTGGATATCATCGCAGAACAAGTAAATACCACACACTCAATGCAACTTCTCCTCCCCCTTGATGCCCCCCTGCGTAACAGCCTGCGCGTCCTCCGAAGTGGTCCTCGCGCTATCGTCGCCCTGCAAGATGGCCCGGTCATTGACGGACGCGACCTCAGCGGCATCTGCGTCATCCATCTCCTCGGGAAGCGTCAGGTTGAGCACCATGGTGATGACGGTGGTGACGGCAAAGCCAGTGTTCATGATGAGCTCAATGGCATCGAGGAAGCCACGCAGGCCCTTGTTGTCGCCGTCATATTTGAGAACGCCGTCAAAGTAGCCGGTCAGGAGGATACCGCCGTAGCCGAAGACAAAACCTGCGGTGAGGATGAAACGGCTGCGACGGTTGAAAATGACGCCCTTGTTGATGATAGCCATACCAGACACGGCGACGGCAGCGAAGAGGAAGGTCGTCATGCCGCCGAGGACAGACGAGGGAATGGCGATCAGCGAAGCCGCAAACTTGGAGAAGATGCCCATGATGATGAGGAAAAAGCAGCAGCAGTAGCCGGCCGAGCGGTTGGCGCAGCGCGTCAGGGCGATGATGCCGTTGTTCTGGGCAAAGGTCGTGACTGGCGTGATGGTCATCAGGGCGGCGAGCATGCCGTTGATGCCGTCAGCGAGAACGCCACCCTGGATACGGGACTCGTATGTGTGGCCCTCGACCTCAAGGCGGGACACATCGCAGGTAGCCGTGATATCGCCAATGGCTTCGGTGGCGCTGAATCAGTCAGTAAAAAAGGTCAACGAGAAGAATGTCAGAAAGAACTCACCAGATGATGTAGACTGCAATTAGCGGTAGAACGAGAGGTCCGTAGAGCGACAGCGGGAAAGTCTTGACCCAGACGAAGGACACGGCAGGAGCAGCATCGATGCCAGAGCGGTCAAAGTAGCCGGCGGCGGCAGCGATAATACAACCGACAAGGAGGCCAATGATGACTGCGCACGACTTCATAATCGGGGAACCGAACCTCTCCGCAGCAATAATGGCAACGAAAACGGACAGACCTAGGCCAAAGTACTCGGGCGAGCCCCAAGGAAGAGCATGAGGTGCAGCAATGTTGGGGCAGCTCGCGAAGAAGCCGACAGCAGTCGAGGGGCTAGCACAGGGCCCAGAGCCGCCCATCCAGTTCTTGAAACCGCTCTCGATGAGCTTGACGCCGATGAGCAGGACAGTCGGACCCGTGACGATGGGAGGGAAGATCTTGAGCATGATCTTAGGCGGCAGGAAAGAGATCAAGACGATGGTCAGGGACGTGATGGCTGAAGTGCCAAGAATGGCGCCGTAGCCTTCGGGGCATGGCAGCCTGTTGCCGTCGGAGTCTGACGGGCAAAATCCGTTTGCGTACATCTGGCTCAGAGCTCCCTGCGCAACGGGGATGATGGAGAAGGAGATGCCGGCCACGGAGAGGAGACCAGTACCAATATAGTAGCTTCATGCTGTCAGCACGTGGTGTGTCTTGTTTTAAGACAGTAGCGGAACTCACTTGGTCTTGTAAATGTGAAACCTCGTGATCTGAATCATGGACAGGAAGCCAGACACGATCAGAGCAGTGGAGACGAGGTACTGCTGCTGGCTTGTGGTCAAGTTTGCGCCGGCGGCACCGCTCATGAGGATCGGAGGTGTGATGACGCCCGCCAGCATACCCAAGGCGTGCTGAAAACCGAGAAGCAGGGCGAGCAGGGTGGGCATTTGGTCGTTGAGGCCGAAGAAGGGCGAGTTTTGGCGGCTCTTGCGCATGAAGGGGAGATTAGGCCGGAAGAGGAAGGCATAATCGTATGTGCCGACCAGGCCATCCTTGGTGAAGAAGGCTCGCTTTGCGCCACGGACGCGGTCGCCAATGGTTTTCTTGGGCGTGGTGCCCGGAACGATCTGGGCGGGACCCTGGTCTTCATCCATTGTGATATTGGTATTCCTTTCGGACACTCTGTAGTCGACGAATAAAAAGGTTTGCTGAGCTGGATAGCGAAGAACAAAGAACCAGAGTTGATGTAAAGGCCAAATACAGCGTCGTAGGGCTGCAAGTGGGTTTTCCTGGGCACGCGTGAGGGCTCCGGAAATGTCTCTGGTGGGATGTCTTATCCAGAGAAGCGATGCGGGTATGACTCGGCGGGTACAGTGACGATTTATGTCCCGGCAGCGTGTCACAGAAAACAGAAAACAAGGTGCTGGTTGGAGGAGCCGACCGTGAAGATGACGATCCCGGATCCAGATATATATGTAAATCTTGCGAGTAACAAGAGACGAATACTGGGCTACTGCGCGATCCGGTCTATCACTGGAGTGACTGGGGCGCCATGACTGTCACTCTTAGATGATCGAGACACGGCCTCGAGCAATTAGCTTGCGCCGCTATCTGTCGGCACGAAAGATAAGGTGTGGCCGGCTCGCCTGAGTGGCCGCAACGGGCCCCAGGTTGCCCAGACCGGGCCAGTAGCGCGGGTCGAAGACGCCCCATCATCGTCGAAAAGGGCGACTCGGCATGCTTGGCGGATAATCGAAGCTGGGGGGTTTAGCCCGCTTCGACGTTGACTGCCCGCCGGGGCCAGAAACATCGCGTGCATAGCGCCTTGGGGCAGCATGTCAGAGCGTCAGCAGGTCAACAAGTCAGACTTCCGGAACGTGTGTATCGCGGGGTGAGGCCCCGCGGGACGGGGCAGAAATTGTTTTGCTTGCGGCGTGGCAACGTGCAGGATGCAGATTCTCTGGAGCAAGACATGGGAGACTCCGACCAGCTCGCAGTTCGGCAACCGGCGAAGACGGTGCAGAAGGATCACACCCAGAGCGTCGGAGAAGCGCAAACTCGAGAGCTTGGCCATCGAGGTCTCAGGCTTGATCTGGGGGACGACAGAATGCGAGTTGCAGGATGCATAGCAAGGTCGCAGATCGCAGGTCGCAAGTCGCCGCGGAACCACAACCGCAGCCAGAGGCCCCCAGCAAGACACCCCAGTCTGTGGTTGCGGGCGGGCTTGATAAGGCTAGCAGCGCCATGTGGCCGACCCCATGATAAGAAGCCAGCCACCCACTGGTGTGACCAGGGCCCTGATGGTGTACGGGTGTGCCACGGCCTGGCCGTTGGTTGCTCTGGAAGGGGGAGGCTCGGACGGGGGGACCGGCCGTGGCGCTCTCGGTCACTGCTGTACGTTCGGCGGATTCCGCCCCTGGGATCTGCTCGGTGAGACAGGAGGTAGAGGGCACCAGGGGTGAGTGGAACGTGGGATGCCAGGTGATGGGGCTCGCGATGTCGGACGCTGGACCGGATGTGGGCGATATGATGATGCCGATCACGACGGGCGCTGTGTACTAGCCCGGTGTCATTGCCAGGTGTCTTGCATTGGCCAGATAATGATTATCGGCCGGCGGCCACATGAGCTGAAAAGCAGACAAAACTCTCGACGCAGGCGTCCCGGCGTTTCCGAGGGTTGATGATGAAGTTCGTCAAATAGCTGGTGATGGGTGAGGAGGAGGAGGAGGAGGCCAAGAGGCAGAAGAGGCGAGGCAAGAAGGATGTCAACAGCAGTTGCTGTGCATTCGAGCTTGAGCCCCCCACGCCACAATGCTACAGCAGCTACCTGCCTGCCTACCCTACCTCCCTACCTCCCTACGTAGTTACCTGCGTAAGGTACGGTAAGGTACCTACCTACCTACCTCTACCTGCCAGCCAGCCTGGTGCGTTGGTAACAACAGTGTGCCACTGGCAGCCTCATACAGATGGCGAGATTAGCCCATGAGAAACCCTCCCCGGTCGTCACAAGCCAAAAACAGTGGTCATAAGCAAGGTCATTGAATGTGCAGATTTTCTCCAGATGAGAGCTTCAGCTGTCATGCGCCCCGGGCCGAGACCTGTTGCTAATCCAAGGGTATCATTGTCCATCTAGGAAGCCTCTTCCCCCTCGGCCATATCCTCCCCGCACGCATTCCCCCCCGCTCCCTTTCTCTTTCTCTTTACAGCCTCAGCTAGGATCTACAGGTCAGGGAACGAATAGTCCGGCTGCTTCTTGGGCATCTGCTTTCTCCGCTTGCCGCGCTTCTTCTTCGGCGCATCCGAGTCATCGCTGTCCTCCTCATCGCTGCTCGCTCCCCTTTTGCCGTTCCCGTTCGTGTCCTCGTCGTCGCTGTCGTCGTCGTCGTCGTCGTCGTCTTCGTCATCCTTACCACCGCTGCCACCTCCCTGCAGCTCGGCGAGCTCCTGCCAGACCTTGACCGTCCGGCCGCCGGCGCTGATGAGCCGGTTGTAGCAGTCAAAGCCAACAAAGACGGCGCCCTCGAGGTCGTCGTGGCGAAGCACAGACCCAGGCTCGGCGTCGACCTTTCTCTTGACAATGTCCACGACGCGCAGCGTGCCGTCGGCGACGCCAACAATGAGCTTCTTGCCCCACCCCAGCTCGGCGGGCACGAGCGCCATGCACTCGAGGCTCTCGCCCCCGCCCCGCGCATTGTCGACAATGATGCGCTCCTGCTGATCGTCCCACACGCCGCGGTCCCACAGCGTGATGACGCCCGACCCGGACCCGACGGCCACCATGCCGTTGTTCCTGTTCTTCCTGGGGCCGAGGCCCGGCACGAACGCCGCGCACATGAGCTCGTCCTCCTGGTCCTCCGACTGCGACAGCACGCCCCTGCGCCAGTCCGACGCCGCGAGCGTCGTGCCGCCCGTCGACACCCACTGCTTGGGCACGCCCGACGTGCTGTCCTTGGTCGGCGGCAGCGCGATGACGGCGCTGACGTAGTCCTCGTGCGGCCGGTGCGTCGCGTGCGGCTGCCCCGCCGCCACGCCGTCCTTGATGTCGATGAGGTACACGGCGCCCGAGTCGCAGCCCAGCAGGAGGCTCTGCGGATTCAGCGCGTGCAGCGTGCTGGGGCCGTCGGGGCCGTTCTTGCGGTTGGGGATCACCGTCTTGGAGAGGACCTTGCCGTCTTCGGGCGAGAAGTGCTTGACCAGGCCGTCGGTGCCTGCGGAAAACATGGCTGCCATCCGTCAGCAGTGGATTTGGAAGGACATTCGTAGTCAAGCAGAAAGAAAGAAACGTACAAGATCCGTCGTAGCTGTAGGCTAGTGTCCTGCAGCTTCCCTTGTGCCGCCTCGTCGACCAGACCGATTCGATCATGCCCTTGCCCGTCTCGGCGGGGCCGGCCGCCTTGGTCTTGGAATCGCCCGCGTCGCTCGAGTCGTCGGCGTCGTCGTCGCTGCCGGCAACGGCGGGTAGGCGGAAGGTCTCGACACGACCATTGGAGAGGCCGACGGACAACAGCGGTTTCGTGGGGTGAAGCGCGGCTGTGAAGACGTCGGCCGTCAGCGGCAGGGTGCAAAGATTTTCGAGCATTATGTCGGTCGGGCGGCGCCAATGGAGGGGCACACAACCTAAACGTAGATTTTGAATCCGAAGATGGGAAGAGTATAGCTGCGAACCGCGCACTCAGACGTGGTTGACGCTCTCAATTGAGATGGGAAGGATGGGAAACTTTCTAAGAGTAGCAAGCTTCGGATCGGTTGAAACAAATTTCGGTGTGGATAAGATAAGCAATCGACCCGCTTTCTCACCGGCCACAGCACCGGAAGGGTGGCTTGGCCGAACCCGACACCGAACGGTCTGGAGCTACCCCGCAGCGGCCGCCACGCTACGGAAGGCAGGTAGTAGCAATGACGGCAGTGACGATGCGGGGTCCAGACCCTTACGACGAACGGGTGGCTGCCGCCGTCGAAAGAAGGTGGGAAGCCTGAAAGCGTGAAGCTCTTACATCGGCGGTACACTTCGTATGTTCCTCTTGTTTTCAAACCAAAATATTCGAATCAACCTACATCGACACAACACAATGGGCCCATTGCGACTCATCCTCGTAGGTCTTCAGCTGTTCATCATGGCCGCAGCTAGCACATCCCATTCGCCAGAACGCTGCATCATGTATTTGACTGGGTATGTGTCACTACCTGTCGACTAGACATGGCTTGATTTCGGTGAAATTCTGTGCTCACTTCTACCGCTCAGTCAACACGATGTCGTCCCCAGCAAGGATCTCCTAACTGAAGTCACGCATGTTGCATTAGCCTTTATGCGCTCTGAAGTCTTCAATGCCGAAGACATACCAACCGAGTGGCCGCTCTTTACTACTGTCGACAAGGCGCGGTCTCAGTTCCTCCCAGGCACCAAGATCATGGTCGCCATAGGCGGGTGGGGCGACACGGCCGGTTTTGAGGAGGCGGCCATTGATGAGCGGTCCAGGAAGCGCTGGGCTCGCAACGTGGCTGCCATGGTTGAAGCAACCGGTGCAGACGGTGGGGTTCCTAAGTTCTTCATGGAAATACATGACACGCTCGGCTAACACTTCACAGGCGTCGATGTTGATTGGGAGTACCCAGGGTCTGTCCTCCGAGCTGAATGTGTTCCGTCATGCCTATACTGACAGTCGGCAGCGGCAACGGCGAAGACTACAAGCAGGTGCCCAACTCGGAGAAGGAATGGCAGATCGAAGCCTTCCCTCTCCTGCTGGAAGAACTTCGCAACGCCCTCGGCACACAGCAGCTCATCTCTGCGGCCGTACCGGGACTCGAGCGTGACCTCATGGCCTTCACACCCACGACGACACCCCGCATCGCGGAGCTGCTGGACTTTATCAACGTCATGACGTATGACATGATGAACCGCCGAGACACCATTACGAAACACCACACCGGAGTCAGGCTGTCGTTGGCCGCCATTGACGCGTACATTGCCCGCGGTGCGCCGGCCGAAAAGCTCAACTTGGGATTCGCCTTCTACGTAAAATGGTTCAAGACAACGCCGTGTCCGGACCCTGAGAACACGGTTGGATGCCCCACGCTGCTGCTCGAGGATCCGGAGACGGGCGCTGACCTCGGCCGAACCGGCGGGTTCAGCTGGCATGATCCCATTCCGGAGGGCGAGGCCTCGTCTTTCGAGAGAGCGAAGAGGGAGGGCAAATACGATGAGAAGGACGGCGGGTACTACTACTGGGACGAGGCCGAGGCTCGCTGGTGGACCTTTGATGATCGGGACGCCATCCTGCGCAAGTTCCCGCTGATTGTCGACCAGCGGCGTCTCGGCGGCGTGTTTGCGTGGGGGCTCGGAGAAGATGCGCCTGCGTTCGAACATCTCGACGCTGTCAACGAGGGGCTCCGGCACTCGCGAAGGGAAGCGCAGTTTCACGGTGAGTTGTGACGAGCCGGCAGACGGCGCGCATAAGCGCGATGCTGAATGACGATGAATAGAAGCATGGAAACCAGCTTGAGGTTGAGCATATTCTCTTTTTACTGATTGTTTGGTATCATGTGCTATGTACTTCCCACCACGTCTTCGTCCCAAATGACATTGGCCGTCTACCTTCTCGTGCCATCATGCTACGCTCGCTCAGAAAAGACCAAGGCAGTTGGCATAGTACGTCACGGTGGCGCTCCAGTCGGAGAAGACGCCCAGGACGCCGATGTCCTTGGCGAGAACATGCAGCAGCTCAAAGACGTCGCCGTCGGTCTTGATGGCGTCGGCAATGGTGGTGTAGTAGTAGCCGCCCTTGGTGCCGTCGCTCAGGACGCCGCTGCGCTCGAGGGACCAGGTGATGATCTTGAGGCCGAGCTCGTTGGCCTTGGTGGCGTAGGCGCTCGGCACAATCTTGCCCTTGTCGTCGAGGGTGACGAGGTACGGCAGCGGCGGCGCGACGATCTTGACGCCGTCGGCCTTGTAGTTGGTCAGGTTGGCGACGGCGTTGGGGAACGTGGCCGCCGTCTCGCCGTTCTCGTCGAGGTAGACGGCCTGCGCGCCGAAGGCGGGCTCGCTGTCGAGCCAGTAGAGAATGTCCGGGTAGTGGAACGACTGGGGCCAGACGCGGCGCGGGTCGATGCCGGCCTGCTTGTACTCGTCGATGAGCTGCTGGGCGTAGTCCTCCTGCGTGTAGTCGCCGTCAAAGGGCATGGCGACGCCGTCGACGGACGGGTTCTTGAGCTCGGGCGTGAACTGCAGGCCGAGCTCGTCCGTCATGCGAATGTGCTCCTTGTGCGTCAGCACGGTGCCGCAGTTGCCGTAGAGCTCGGTGCGCCAGATGGGCGCGCCGAGGAGGTACTCCTTGGCCGTCGTGGCCTTGGTGTTGGCCCCCTCCATGCGCGCGCAGAGCGTCTTGAACTCGGCGAGCGTGATGTCGGACGTGCAGCACTTGGCCGTCGCCGGCTTGCCGTCCTTGGCCGGCGCGAAGGGCGTCGTGCACTTGGCGTTGAGCTCCGGGTGCGTCACAATGTCGGTCGTGTAGTGGAGGTCGCACTGCGAGTGGCGGCACACGAGCTGGCGGTCGCTCGTGAAGGCGACGTCGCACTCGAGCACGCCGGCGCCCATGCGGGCGCCGGCGAGGTTGGACTCGACAGAGTGTTCGGGCATGAAGAGGGTACCGCCGCCTGTCTTCTTGTTAGGATTTGTTTTCTTCTTCTTCGGTCACATCGCTCCCAATGCGTCCTGACATACCACGGTGGGCAATGCTCCAAGCAGAGGGCTTGAACTCCTTGATGGCCTTGCACTCCTCAAGCTGCTTCTTCACGGGGCTGTCGTTCATATCGTCGACGAGCCAGTAGGGGCGAGGACCAAGCTGGATGCTTTCAATGGGCTTGTACTTGGGAGGCGGCTTGCACGGCGAGGCAGCCACCTGGGTGGCGGCCACAAGGCCTGTGACGAGCATGGAGTTGACGAGCATCTTGACGACAAGCTGTCAAGGGGTGGATTGACTTCAATAAAGAGTCAACTGGCTCAATTGACTTGATGACTGATCAGAGAATCTGTCCCAGAGCAAGAGCAAGAGCAAGAGCAAGAGCAGGAGGAAGCGGTGGAGGAGGAGCTACGCGGAAGGAGGCGGAAAAAGCTACCGTCAAACTACAAGTCCCGAGGGACGGGCAACGGAGAGGCGGGTGAGCTCAACATCTTATGCTGCGAGCACAACACACGCAGGCAAGACTCGAGTAAGGCAGGGTACCTTGGTGACCGGCGCGCCGGTCGAATCGCAAGCTGGCGGACCGCCCACACACTGCACCGCCGTCATTATACGATAGGTAGGGGGAAAAAAACGTGGTGGGTAGGAACAGCGATCGTCACGAATGACTTCCGAGTTCAGATGCAGACAGGGGTTCGGGCTGAGCGAGCAAGCTTGGTCTGGAGAAGGCAGACAAGGGTTACTGGGCCAGGATGGGAAAATCAGGTCGCTGAAGCCTCGCAACGTGCGTGGGAGGCACACCCAAGATCCCAAGGCCGGATTCCTGGACGGATGCGGTATCGTGTCTTCTCGAGGTGGTTCTGCAGAAGACGGCGTCATGCCATGTCTGAGGAGAGGCCCGGAGAGAAGAGCGGTCTCCAAGGCCGTAGAGAATGCTTTGCGTTAGCACGTGGGGTTGGCATGACCTTGTAGAACCTTGGACATCCCGGGAGGTGTGTGAGGGGTATGGGCCGGGCTGGAGAGGGTTACGACAAGAAGCGGGAAACGAGATGTCTGGGGTCTGGTAGCCTTGGGCGAGAGCGGGACGGCGGCAGTCGTCGGCGGCGGCACCGAACAGGCAGGATAACTCGCTCTAATCTTGTGTGTTAGGGCTGCCCAGTGTCTGTCTTCGTTGCCGGGTGACCTCGGCGCAGGGAGGGTCTGCGCCCTGCAAAGTCGAGCTCCTCGCTGATCGCTACGCGTGAGTTTGTGAGCCTAAGCTTGAGCTTGAGCTTGGGTTCGAGCTTGCGCTTGAGCTTGGGTTCGAGCTTGAGCTTGCGCTTGAGCTTGCGCTTGCGCTTGAACGTGAGCGCAAGCGTAGCATTACCTTGCCCATGCCTTGCTTGCTCGGACGGGGAGGCTTGGGACGACACGGGTTGACCGACAGATCGGCAGGGGTGCTAGTGCAGACGGCGCGGGGACAGCGTGCGGCCGCCTGGCGCTGTCATTCGCTGTCATGGGGCTTCACTGACGTCCTTGAGGTTGCGCCCTTGACGTGACTGGCCGGACTCTTGGCCAGTACAAGGCACCGGCTCGTCAGGTGGTGCCTTGGTGCCTCGAGGCGCCGACCACGATGCACATTATCTGCCTGTCAAGGTAGAACAGGGAACATCGCCGAAGAGGAGGCGACAACAACGAAGAGAGGTTGGGTTGAACATGGAAAGGGCAGGACAAGGGGTGGCATCAAAATTGGTACGGGGGATCTGTAAATTCCAAACTACCTACCTCCATCACCCTGCCTACCTACGCAACTGCCCATCGTTATGATCATCAAAAGTCGCACTTGCAAGCTATCCATCGGATCGCAGTCGCAGACATGTGCATATGGTAGTGGTAGTGGCAATACAAAAGGCTGTCAGCCACCCCCGCAACTCCTTCGTCCACCCCCATCCTGCGCCAGAACGAAATGAAAAGGAAAGAAGCAGACAACCTTGCTCCGGGGAATATCCAGTCTTGCATCAGTCGTAAAGTCAAGCAATAAAATAAGGGGGTATCTCTCCAGCCATCATCCGCAATCCGGCACTCGTTCATTGGCCGTCGTTTGCCGCGTTTGTACGTGCTCAGGCACTGGGCGACGCGCGCAGAGCGCTCAGACACCGGGGTAGGTGGCGCCGTTGCCGTGGCCAGCCTTGGCGTGCGAGGTCGAGTGGCCGCGCGAGCGCATCACTGTCATAATGTCGAGCACCAGCAGGCCCGTGAAGATGGCCCAGATGAAGAAGGCGAACGCGACGGCCGCCTGAGCCGAGCCGCACCACGAGTTGTCGCACTTGGGCGTTCCCGTCCACGTCGCGAGTGCGATGGAGCCGGCGAACCAGAAAATCGTCGTCACGGCGAGGAGGCCGAGCGAGACAAGCTGGTGGAAGAGGCGCTCCATGAACATGGGCGTCAGGATGAGGTAGGCCAGCACGAGCAGCGACCAAACGCTGCAGAAGATGATGAAGTTGACAATGTCGGGCGAGTGCCACCAGTAGGCGCTGGCGACTGCGAGAAGCCCCAAGTCAGCTCGAGAAACCAGAGCAGCGCGTTGGTGAGGGCGGAGAAGCAAACGTACCAAAGCCGGACAGGCCAAGCTCGATGATGCAGAATACGACTGCTACGATCTGAGCAATCGTCACTAGGCCGAGGGAAACCATGGTGGAGGAGACGTCGGGGGTCGTGTTTTGTGGGTATAATGCGGGTGGCCGTCAGCGATGCAGGGTTCTTGAGGACGAGTGTGCGTTTTGAGTTGTATGATCGAAAGAGGCCGGTCGTGATGGTCGCTCGAGTGGGCGTCGCGCTCTCAAGACAGACGTAGAAGGAGCAGGTGCACCCAAGGGCCAAGAGGGTCAAGATGCGAGACGCGTTGTTGTCTGTTGTATGTAGGTATAATTAGAATCGTCAAAGTTTGTCACGATTAGAATGAGAAAAGTCGAGCCTGGGAATGCGGAGCTGAACGCAGCTGTCGGGCCCGTGGAATTAAGTAGTGTCGCAGGCCCTGACGAGATTGCCCCAAGCCGCGTCACAGCCGGAGTCAGGGTCAAGGTCCTGCCTGCGCATCCTGCCCTTTCCCGGGCGTCAGGTGCCGATGCCCACTGCCAACTGGCCGTCGCCCTTTCACTGCGTACGCGTCGGCCAACCACGATCCAACTTGGCTCGCCCATGTCGTAAGTCACTCGATTGAATCGCCCTCGTCCCTACAATCGCAGTGCACGCCAGCCCTGCCATCGCAACCTTAGCACCTACTGTTGTGGCCTGGAACGACGAGAATGACGTGGGCCCACGGCTCCCGAAGAAAAAAAAGAAGGGTAGTGACTCCAAGCTGGCCGATGACCTCATACGCAGCCCAGCCGCGCCTCGGTCCAATCAGCAACAGCAGCAGCACTCCCCTGTGAGAGCGCTAATCATCAGCCACACTGGGCCCGGCGGTGGGGGGCAAAGGAGGTAGGACTGAATGACGGAAACCAGCACCCATTCTTGCCTCGCATCGTCGCTGCCTCCCTTGAGTCCTTGACGAGGCAAGAATGGGCAAGAGGCGCGGCCCTGTGGATTGCGTGCCTGCCGCCCCAAGCTCGGTATCGTCCCTTTGTTTCGCTGCACCGGGGGCAAAAGAATGAAGCAGACGAGTCGGACTCCTGTGACTCGTGTCTTATTCTCGCTCCCTTTGTGTAAAGAGACGGCACCCGCGGGTCGGAACCCAACAGTATTCAGACTCGGCAACGGCCCTCGGCACGCTTCTTCAGCCCACATCAATCTTGGGTGTCCCTCCACAGATTCACGAACGACCTCTTGGCCCAACGAAGCCCAGCGAAGCCCAGCGCCGAGGATTGGGTGGCATGACGTGAAGGGCACCGCCCATGGTCGCTGAACCCTACGAGCCCTGCCAAACTGGCTGCACATGCTGTCGATGCTAAGCCCGTAGGGGTCGTGATCCTCCAGCGGCCTTACGCGTCACTTCTTGGCCGATGTCCCGGTCATCCGGCTTGACCACTGCCATCATGGATCCGGCAGGCTTCCGAACCCCGACGAAGAAAATGACAGGAAACACCGGATTGTCCGTTTGTTCACTCGAAGGTCGTAAAGCCCGCGATTGAGCTCGCGTGGGCATTAGGCCGGTACGGTCCCGCAAGCGCCATCCGCCGTGCCCCCGAAGCGCAGTGCCGGAGGATTTAGCTCTTGACCTGCCTTCACGGCGATTCGCACGATCGCTTTCCTCGACAGGTCGGCTGCCAAGCGTCTCAAATGCTTCTTGACATGCCAAGAATGGCTGTGGTAGCGTCTCAGTGACCCATGGGAGCATCTACAGCTCTGTTGACAGCACCTGGCGTTTGCTGCATCAATGCATAGGATTGCGGCAAGCACCAAGGTCTCTCCACCTCAAATTGGTTCAGACTTCATGAACCCTATTCCTGAGCGCATAGTTCATCAATTGCCTCGTTGGCTTAGTGGTAAAGCGCATCACTAGTAATGATGAGATCACTGGTTCGATTCCAGTACGAGGCATTGCGAGTATTCCGGATATCTTTTTGTCCTCCTCCATCAAGCACCACCTCTTTACGAGGCCTCATTTTGGGATCAAGCCCTTCGCCATCCGACAAGAATAATTCCCACACGCATCGTGTGCGGCACCAATGCTTTCTCGTTATCCGTCATGCTTTTGCGTCCAGAGCGAGTGATCGAGCAATCGCACCCCAAAATCCCGACAACAGTGGGCCGACACAGAGATGGCGTGCCTAGATCCTGGTCATGGGCAGCACATGGCAACAAGGGTCCGGATCGGCGGAAACCCTTAATTATTACGTGACAAGACTGTGTCAACAGCTTATCTCTCAAGTCGTTGCATTGCATCGATCTCTGATTGACTATGATGCGCCTCAGGGATACGAAACCTACCATAATTCCCATACACGCGCAACCATGGCCATCTTTATTATCGCTGGCTGTGTACCATCATGCACATGAAAACTTTGGAATAGTCTCCCTCGAAGGGCTCATGAGAACGACAGAGGCGCCGACTAGCAGCTGGCCACAAAGCCGTTGCCAAGCACCCCCCCCTCGTAGGGAATGGCGAACTGCACCAAACAAACTGGCCGCCGGCCGGCCGGGACGGATGTTATGGCAGAGGTAAGATGGCAGACGCTGCAGGTCGTCAGTGACCCTAGGCGCGGCGGCCAGGTACCCAAACATGGCGAGGCAGACCAAAGAGGTATGGACAGTCCGGGTGATGGCGTTCACTATCGGTGATATGACTTCCACTCCCTGACGACATGGTTCATCATCGGTACATGGATGCCGGCTCTGGAAAGGACATTACAGTCTCGAGGAAGCCGCCATGTGTCTCGGGGCTACAGGTCTTGACTTGGGCGTCGAAGCACTATCGAAAGATTTGCGCGGGCGTTCGCACCTACACCCCAGGGAGACTCGTTGTGTTTGCCAGGGCAGGGTGAAGAGACAACGTTATGGTTCGAGAGCAATAACGCACCTGCTCTAGCTGGGCCCGACCACATACATCGCGGCACGGCCGTGTACGAAGATGCTATCACAATCGGTCCAAGGCTGGCCTCACTCGCGTGTTCTGACGAGCCATTCAAGCCCCTTGTTCGCAACGCGGGGCGCGACGGCCGTGGGTAGCACGACAGGACACCCCATGGAGCGACCCTGGTGATAGGCACGTCGAGACCCCAGGTAGCGATAACCTCCCACGGTCTTGGGCCCGTGGTCCCAATTTGCCTTCCCAAAAAGCAAAGAAAGTCTAACGGTGGGGCGTGTCATCGGCGGCGGGGCCATGCAGGAGACTCGAGACCGGCCATGGGTGCGGGTTCGTGAAGCTGTCACTGAATGGTGGGCGCGGGCGGAAGAAAAGGAAGCAGCTAGGGTGCCAAGCACCACAGAGGCGAAGTCGAAAGCAGAGGCGACAGCGAGAGAGAGTAACAGCAGCATCTGACAGCACGAGACAAGCGGGCGCTGATAACGATCGAGGCCAGTGTCATGGGGTATGTAAGGAACCCCCTCTCCTTACTCGCAGCGGCGCCGGCTGCCCGTCTTGATCCACTGGCCTTTCTCCTTTCCGACGTTGTCTGTATGAAATAAGCGCATAGTTTGTCTTTGTTTCTGTCGACAATCGTTCTCATACAACACAACGTAAGAGCAGCGCGCGCTGAGCACCCGACGATCCATCGCGAACCGAAAAGTTGGGGGAGCCCCAACACTGTCGCCGCTTTACCGCTTCAGAAGATCGACTAGCACCCGTCCTTAATTCACTGCGGATCGCCTCCCCGGACCCTCACTGTTTTGCTGTAAGTTGGGCATGGAAAAGCCGATCACCCTCCGCTTCACTCCCTCCCAACGAGTATGACGACCTGGCCCCAGTGTCATCGCCCAGATCAATGCTGACGCTGACAGGCGCTGAAGTCACAACGGACGCCCTGTGCTTCCTCCTCGTCCTGCACCCCGGCCCTCACGGCCAGTCAAAGGAACGAAAACAGAACCCCCCGAACACAGCGGGCGCAACAACGGGTCAGACACCCGTACGGTAAGCCGGACAGGCACTAGACCACTTCACAGCCACGCTGCCATTGGCTTCGGCACGCGGCAGCTGCCACAAGATCCACAACCAAACGGGCGCCGGGGATGCACCTTTGAAGTTGTTGCGAGACGCCTACCACCCCGACCCTCGTCACGTCGCATCGCCAACAGGAAGAAAGGAAAGAAGAAAGCCAGACGGGACCGTCGGTCAAGACTGGGATCCGTTCCTTGGAGAACCCCTTTCCCCCCAAAGTCGAGCGCCAGCCTCGCTCGTTTTATTAATTGCGACTGCCAGCCAGAGTGTCACGAACCGCAGTCACCGCCAGAAATCCGTGCCTTCTGGGCTTCAACTCGCTCACCATGTCTGGACGTAGCGCTCACGTGCGCAAGAAGATCAACACGGAGGCCACGAAGGACGGCAAGTCAGCATCGCGGAGTCGAGCCAAGTCGGCCGCCAGCCACGACCGCGACGATGTCACCATTTCCGACTTTCCCATGCCCGGGAATTCCCTTCCTGTTGGCACCGGTGTCGGCACGACCAATGCGCGGTTCCTGAAATTCTCAGAGCCGGCGCGGGACATGGACCACGGCTCGGACTTCCGCAACGTCAGCACAATGAGCATCAGCAGCGGCGGTAGCGGAGCCAGCGCCGAGCGGAGAGACCAGCATGACTACGGCTATCGGGGCCCGAGGAGGCCCAATCTCAAGACGGAAGACGTTTCTGGCATCGAGAAGTCGGGGTTTCGAAATATCCTCGATAAGAAGAGCGACGACGTGAGGAAAGGGCTCGCTAAGACGTTTACGTTCAGGCGGAAGGATAAGGAGGAAAGGCGCGGCAGCGTAGACCAATCTTCCGAGCATCGGCCCAACTCGGTCGCGACGGTGCGACCACAGGCCTACAGCGGCAACAACGAATCGGAACCGCGCGTGTACGAGGGCATCATCGGGAGTGGCCCTTATGCCCCCGGGCCGGTGCAACGACAACAGCAGCAGCAGCAGCAGAGCCTGGTCCAGGAACAGCCGGCCCCGTGGGAAGGCCCTGCGGCGATGGCGCCACCACCAACCAGCAAGCTGCCGCCCATTCCACCGCCGACGATGGCACCAGCTATCAGGCGCTGGATCGGCGGCGGAAGGCCGGTACAGCGCTGGAACAAACTGCGCAAGGATCCCGAGCTGTGGGATCCGAATGGCGATGTGCTCATCTTCTTCGGACACAAAGGCCAGACGCCCCGACCGAATCCGTCCTTCCGTTTGTCATCGCACATCATCGAGGCGACAGAGTCACGCCAACTCATCACCATGCTGCGAGAGGGGTCCACCGAAGAGGACATCTACCTACCCCCCTCGCCCCTTGGCGCGCCGCCCATGCTACGCTTCGACGGCCGGCGCGGGGGCCAAGCGACGGGAAGGGGAGGACATCCTACGCCACCCGTGTCGGAGGACAACAGCTTCGGCGAGGCAGACGGCCAGATCTCATACGAGATGTACTTTCCTACGCCTTCCAACATGCATAAGACTGATCAACTACGGCACCACATCACAACGCGCAATGTCTTTGCTTTACTTTACCATGCGTCCATTGTCGGCATCACGTTATGCCAAGCCCTGACCGACCTTCATATCCGACTCGATGCCTACCTCCCTGCTGATGCGGACAACGTCTTGACTATCATCAAATATCTCACAGCACGAGGTATTGATGATGTTCGCAACGACGCTGAAACGGCAGTCGGTCTTTTGGCGTGGTCAGAGGGAGCCGACGTACGGTGGGAGGACGGGTGGAAAGAGAGTTTTCCCCACTGCGCCGGCATGTACAATCAGCTGGAAGAGTGTGCCGACTTCAAGAGCCTCACGCCGATTACCAGGGCGCTCCTGGAGCGGGCATGCCTCGAAACGCAATTGCGGGTGCAGGCTGCTGAAGAACGCCTCGTGGACCTGCAGATCCACGACATGTGGCCAAACTCAGGCCCCCTCGCCCAGAGTCCGGCCAAGGCGGCTGCAGACAGGCTGCAAAAGTTTCTGCTTGGTCACTACACGCGCATCTACGGATGCTGGCCGCCGCCGCCGCCGCAGCAGCAGGAAGAGGAGGACGGCGAAGACATGTGGCTCACACGGGGCGTCACGCAGGCGCTGCAACGCGATTTTGGTGCACTGTACGACTATCTGGTGAACCGCGACATTGTATGGGATGGGTCGGAGGCGCGCGCCGGACGGAAATGGATCATGGTCAGCGAGTCGGGCAACCGTGGGTTTGATGCGGATGACGCTGAGCTGCCCATGACGGACATTCTTGTCGAGTTTGACAACCGAATGCGCTTTCCGAGGATCCCTCACCCATACCCACTCGTGCCAGAGTCGATTCCGGCGACTGGCGGCGGTGGAGGCGGGAGGGAGGGATCGTCCTCCATGTTCAAGAGCTCGCGCAAGTCGACGACGTCTACTTCGAGGGGTGGAGCGCTCGAGAGGCGAGTCCAGCTGGCGTACACAGAGGCGACAAATATCTACATTCTCGGCTCGGAGTTTACGCATTCAGATCTGATCGATGGCTTTGTCAAGTTTGAGAAGACAGATGCAGTGGGTGAGGTGGAACCTGCTGTCGCGAGACGCGGACGGTGGGTGCTCGTGTACGGAATCCTCCAGATTTTGGCAAGCATTTCGGTCGATGCACCGGGAGTACGTTACCGCGATGACGTGACGTATCATCTGTCGGTGCGACTCCGCGGAGCCAAGGTGCCACCGTGGAAGGGCGCCTCCGGGTCGACGTCACAGGTTCGGGGCATGGAGGAGGCGGCGCATGAGCTGTCGCACTGCTGGATCGTGCCGCGTACGTGGAAGGGCGAAGATGACGGAGGGCCGCCGTCGAGCAGTGGGGCAGAAAGCGAAGGAGGGTCCGACAACATGAGCCCGGTCACTGCGAATGGGCATTTTATCGGTATCGGCCGGGCCTGGGGGCATCCTCCTGGACGAGCAACACAAGACAAGGGACACCACGGCATGGGACGGTCGCCGCAGTCATACGCAGGAGGGTACAGCTCAGCTCCGAGTGTCACGAGCGAGAGCGACGGCGGAATGAGCCGGGCTTCGAGCAGGATGGGGAGTCGTTATGGAGGCGGTGGTCCCTCGAGCGCCGGGTCGCACTATGACCGGGCCGGCGACGTTGAGCCGCAGTCGAGAAGCCGAAGACGGGACCATGGCGATGGCGGAGCGGGGCGCTCTTCGCTGGCCGTCATGTCCGGAGGCAGCGGGAGGGACGAATACGGCATGAGCTCTGGGCGGTCGCCGAGGATACGGGATTTCGACCTGGATGTGATTGATGATGCGGAGCCGTAAGCTAGCCAGCCATTCCTGCAATATTGACGTGTGTCATGTTGAGAGGACACTGCCTGGCACATGCGGCCGATGGAGCTATGCGCTGGGAAGTTATGAGGAGCGGCTTGCGCGTTCCATCTTGTACCAAGATATATATACTTAACCCTAATGCCAAGCGAGTTGAGTGTGGAAAAGCTGGCGAATTGTGATGCTGTTGACGGTGCTCCCTTGATCGTCTGCCAGCTTGGACTCTCTCCTGAGCAGCCCACAATGATACATGCGACTGATCGCGAATCTTCAGACGTAAATTTACATGGTAGTTGTTTTCGTATGTACGTGACAATGACAGACTTGTCCTCTCTGTCTTTGACAGCCTATTACTCGTTCTTGCCTGTTTCTGGATGCCCCTGATTCACTGCGTGTTCCATATGCCTAGTGATCAGCACGCAGTGAATGTCGGCAGACAAACGGCATGAACGTGAGTGAATGGATTGCACATCTATCTGTGGCCTTCTCTCCTATTCAATGCCTTCTCTCCTGTTCTTTTCGATCCATCACGATACAAGTCTCGATCATCCTCCCTGATCACTTGCTTCGTGGCAGCACCAGTCAACTTGACTACTACCTGCTGCCTCTTCTTCCGGCAACACAGGTATCACGACACCTCCACGATCTCTACGATCTCCACGATGGACGACACAGTCGACCTCGCCGAATACCTCTTCACGCGCCTGCGCCAGATGGGCGTGGGCGCCGTCCACGGCGTCCCGGGCGACTACAACCTCGTATCCCTCGACCACGTCAAGCGCGCAGGCCTCCACTGGGTCGGCAACGCCAACGAGCTGAACGCAGGCTACGCCGCCGACGGTTACGCGCGGCTCAAGGGCGCCGGCGCGCTCGCCACCTCGTTCGGCGTCGGCGAGCTGTCCGCCCTCAACGCCGTCGCCGGCGCCTACGCCGAGAAGGTGCCCGTCGTGCACATTGTCGGCACGCCGTCGCGGGCCGCGCATGCGGACGGCGCGTGCCTGCACCACTCGCTCGGCGACGGCAACTTTCGCGTCTTCGCCGACATGTACGCGTCCGTCACCGTCGCGCAGGCCAGGCTCGACTGTCCCGCGACGGCGCCGCGCTTGGTCGACGAGGTGCTGCGGGCCTGTCTCGTCGAGAGCCGGCCGGTCTATATTGAGCTGCCGTCCGATATGGCCGCTGCCAAGGTGCCGAGACCAACGACACTGACCGATCTCTGGACTTCGACGACTTCGGCGGGGTTCTTGGTTGACAAAGCCCGAGTGTTGTGTTCCATGATCGCCGAGGCGAAGAGGCCCATGATTCTGGTCGACGGCTTTGCTGCCCGCTTCCATATCCGAAAAGAAATCAACCAGCTGGTCCGGATTTCACAGATCCCGACGCTGACGACACCCTTCGGCAAAGGCATCGTCGACGAAACGCTGCCAGGCTACAAGGGAATGTTTTGCGGTTCGATGGGAAATAAAGATCTCCAGGACTGGGTCGACGGCTGCGACCTGGTACTTCACTTTGGGCCGCTCCGTTCTGACGTCAACACATTTGGATTCAGTGCGCGAACAAATGCGTCCAGAACTCTTATCTTTGAAAAGAACGCTGTCGAACATGACGAATCTACGGATCCTTTCCTACTGAACGAGGTATCAGCAACAAAGCTGCTCGTACAGTATACCGTGGGGATATATGAAGCGTGCATAGGGATCAAGACGTTTCCGTACCCCCCCATCAGAAACCTCCCAATGGACCTGTTGAAGAATCTACCAGCACCAACTGTCAGTTCGCCGGTGGACCAGAAAACCTTTTGGCTTCGCGTGTCCCGCCTGTTTCGACCAGGCGACATCATCCTTACCGAAACGGGAACAGCCTCCTATGGAGGACAAAACTTCGTCCTCCCAAAAGACACGATTCTCATCAACTCTTCCCTCTGGCTGTCCATTGGCTACACGCTGGCAGCCGCTCAAGGCGCTGCGCTCGCCCAGAGAGAAATGTTGGAAGCCGGCGACCGGCCGCACGGAAGAACGATCCTCTTTGAAGGCGAGGGAAGCCTGCAAATGTCCGCTCAGGCCATGAGTGATATGATTCGAAACCGCCTTGACATTATCATCTTCGTCATCAACAACGGCGGCTACACCATTGAGCGTCTCATTCACGGTTTCAGCGCAAGCTACAACGACGTCCAGCCGTGGAGGAACCTCGAGGCCCCGTCTTTCTTTGGAGCTCCTCGAGATGATCTTCTGTATCCGGTCAGGACCAGACGGGTCCAGACATGGGGCGATTTGGAATCTGTGATGCAGGACCTAGGCATCCAGAGCGGAAAGGGCATGAATGTGATTGAGGTTTTCATGGACGTAGCTGACGCACCTCAGTCCCTGAAGAACATTGCTGATTATGTTCGGAAAGAGAATAAAGCTGATAATGCAGATGGGTGTCAGACGGAGGCCGGGGACTCTCAAGACAACGACATTACTTGTTAGTTGAGTGGGTGAAAATGAATGCTCCGAGTGGCTTGAGAGCGAGAGAAAGGAAGTGTGAGGGTAGATCGAACCTACAAAGAGGGTATTCATTAAAATCTAAATAAATCGCTTCATGCTCGTAGACGGCATCCAGCCGGCGCGAATTTCCAAATACGCGTCAGCTGAGATGCTGCAGTATGGGGTAGTTTGAGCGATACAGACATCGCAAGGAGTGCGAGTGAGAAGCGGGGTATCGAGTGTGCTGAAATAGCCCTCTTCACCATCTTTACCACCACGACACACCTCACACAAGTAGACGCGACGCACGTTGCTACGACCACCAAAATGTCACCCGTAGAGAGTCGGCTGTGCGCCATCTGCCGGGAAGCGATCCAGTGGAAGAGCGACGGCCTTACAAACAGCCGGGTCACGCCCGCTGACCAGTCCTTGGAACGGTTTCGAAAGGCTGCGGCCGACAACTGCTTTGTCTGTCGCAAGTTGATTGATCTCAGCGAGGAGCATCGAAAGGCGTGGGATCGTCTTGAACCCGAAGCCTGGAGCCCTTTCGAGTATGCCACATTTCAGAGTACCATCAGTGGGGCGGGATCCTGGTTCAGGTTCTCGGTCATCTTCGATGACCCAACCCCGGAGGGAGGCGTGCAGCTCATGAGCGTTAGCTTCAGGTTGATCCCCTCACGAGGTATGTTTACGCTTGTAAGAAGAGCCTCGTACAGAAGCTTTCTGAACATTGGGAGGCAGCGAGTTCGAAGAGCTCTTTGTGTTCGCTGAGCTTGAGGGCAATACCGGCTCCCCGACAACTCTCGACACGGCCTATGCCTGGTTCAGTGAATGTTCATCCCACCACCGGGAGCGGTGCAAGGATCCTCCCACATCGACCGATGGATGGCTCCCAACACGTCTCCTCGACGTTGGAGCCGGCAACGCCTCGCATTGGAAGCTTCTGATCAGCGATACCGACCTGAGAGGAGGGCCTGCCCCTGCTTATTTAACCCTCAGCTATCGATGGGGGACGAATCCTCAACATGCGCTCTTGCTGTTGTCTACTCTTGACCAATACCGCAAAGGAAGCAAAATTTCGGACCTGCCACAAACGTTTCAAGACTTGGTTGTGGTTGCCCGGCGTTTTGGCGTCCGATACGTGTGGATCGACTGCTTCTGCATCATTCAGGATTGTCAGGATGACTGGGAGGCCGAAGCCCCCATGATGAGACAGGTTTATGCCAACGCCGCCTGCAACATTGCAGCCTCTGCCTCGGATAGCCCTGAAGGCGGGCTCTTTCGGTCCCGGACTATCCAGGACATTTGGCCTGGTATCATCGTGAAGAAGTCGACGTCGGGTCATGAAGGGAGATTCTACTGCGTTGACAGCAATTACTGGGACCGCAATCTGCTGACATCCTCACTCCATAGCAGAGGTTGGGTCTTTCAAGAACGCTTTCTGGGACCGCGGCAACTCTACTTCACCCGTGACCAGGTCTTGTGGGAGTGCCTCGAGGGGCACAGATGTGAAGGTTTCCCCAACGGAGTGCCGCTCTATGACTCGCCGAAGAGCATCGATCGGCTGTTGGTGCTTCCTGAAAGTGCAAACGTCACGGGCAGCTACAAGACCCGAGCGGCAATTGTTGTCGCGAGGATGCCATGGCTCTCGATGCCGTCAACCGGTGGTGCGATCTTGTGACAGCTTACTCGCATTGCCACTTCACCAATCCCGAAGACAAGCTGTACGCTTTTTCGGGGATCGCAAAGTTCTTCCAAGAGATTACGAACGAGACGTACGTCGCCGGCCTGTGGCAGTCGCGCATCCTGGACCTCCTCGGCTGGGTCGTGACCAGGCCACAGGCGAAGCCTTCAGGCGCGTACAGGGCTCCCTCATGGTCGTGGGCGTCCGTGGACGGACCAGTTGAGATGTCCAAGCCTGCGCTGGGCGATGTCGAGCCGTTGCTAACCGTTCTAGAGGTGCACGTCTCGACGAAGAGGGAAGAAGACAAGACGGTTGGCGTGACGGGCGGCTTTATCAAGTTGAGAGGAGCATTCATCACAGCTTCCTATACTCGGGATTCGACAAGAGCCCATCGGCTCCTGCATGTTCAGCTTGACGACGGCGATGGGACCACGATTTCTGCGCGGCCGTGGTTGGACACGGCGGAGGTGCAGTTTGGAGAAGGAGGCACCTTCCACTTCTTGGTTCTGCACAGTCTGGCCATTTCCTCCGAAGGACATGCTGCCGATGCGAAGATTTCGAGTCTCAAGTGTCTTGTGTTAGCGCCGGCGAGCGAGCTGGACGGCACATATAAGAGGATAGGATGGTTTGCATTGCGGGACCAGGAAGCAGTCGATAGAGTCTTGGCATCCTGTAAGGGACATCCGAGAGAGGTGGTGCTTGTCTAGGCCAAGGCCATCCTCTGGAACTACGAAGAGTTTGCTCGCAGGCGGGAACCACTGTGTGATACTGCCGAGTATGCAGGCGCGAACGCGTTGATGGAGACAGAGCAGGAAGGTGCAATGGGATGCAGGGACTTGAGGGATGCTGCAGGTGACGTCGGTCCAAAACGGACGGCACTGTGGGGGCAGAGACGTGAGCGCACAATGCCAACAGGTCGCCGCTTAAGGTGGCTGGTGCGATGATCTGGAAGGGCCGGCGGCCCGTGTGACAGTGACAGGGTCGCCGTTTCGCGTGTGGCTTGCGCAGACACAGACAGACCCAGCCAGCCCTGCCAGCCACGCCATTTCTGTTCCGTTTCGCTGCCCGTGGCCCATTTCCTAGTCAGGCACGATCCCCCAGTTTTTCCCTCTTTCGCTCGCACTTGCCGCCCCGGCCAGGTCTCACTCATCCGATCGACGACAAAGGGAAGGCCCAGGCTAGACTGGTTCGCTATGGAATCTGTGGAATGGGCCAACAATGGCATGGATCTGACCGAACAAGACACCACACACGATGGAAGATTTGGAAGATCAAAGAGCAAAGAGCAAAGAGCATAGGCCAAGCGCTTGCAGTTCTCGACGCGACAGACGCACGGCATCGTGCGGGATGAACCCTACAGGCGAGACGAGACAGTCTCCAGGCACCTTCGCTGCCAGTTGCCAGGGTTCAGCGAATGACGATGGCCGACGTCATACGCCGCTGGCCCAGCGACCCTTTCTCTCTCCTCATCCTGCATCCTGTCTTCCAGGACCTCCCTTGGTTGCATTCGCGCTCCGCACCACGCAGACACACTCTCATCTCGGGAGTCCTGTTGACGACAGCAATTTGGAGAATCATAACAAAAACTGGGAATCACCCCTGTTGCAGACCATGACTTGCCGTCCCTTGTGAAGAAGTGTGTCCGTCTGCGCGCGCAAACTACTTGGTCCTGGCTGTGTCAAAATAATCTCGTACACCCAGATCCCTACCCACCCACCGCCCCCACGGCGCTGTTTGCTCGCACCTTGTCGCCAGCCACTTGATTTTGCGCTGCACCTCTGCCTCACCATCGCCGCCGCCTGACCAGCGCCTACAACCACACCATCTTCTCGGGCCCCCTCCTCCATCACCATACATAAGCCTGCCGTCTCCCCGTTGTCCCTGCGAGCCCGCCCTCGCCCCGTCGTCTGCTTTCCAACCCACCCAACCTGCGCGCACGTCGTACTCGTCCATCAGCTGAAGGCACCAACCCCACCTTCCCAGCGAACCTCCCAAACGGACCTTCCCAGCGCCTCCCCAACGGACCTTCCCAGCGGACAAGACCTCGTCGACCAGACACAACCGCCGCCATGTTTCTCTTCACCATGTTCTTCGTCTTTTGGCGCATCCTCCAGATCCTCACCCTCATCCCCACCATGGGCATGCTCGCCTGGTTCGTCCACGGCTTCGTCGAGGCCAACGCCCTGACGCCCAACTACATCCTCGTCCTCTTCATCGTCTCCGTCCTCGCCCTCGCCTGGGCCATCTTCACCCTCTTCTCCTACCACCGCTCCTCGACAAACGCCACCATGGTCGCCATCGTCGACCTCCTCTTCGTCGGCGCCTTCATCGCCGCCATCTGGTACCTCCGCGGCATCCGCCTCCAGAGCTGCAGCAACGTCTCGCGCGACGCCAACTGGCGCGTCGACTTTGCCGGCCTCTCCGTCTCCGGCCCCGACTGGGACCTCAACACCGACAAGCCCTGCGCCATGCTCAAGGCCAGCTGGGCCTTTGCCATTATGAACTGCATCATGTTCTTCTTCACCTCCGTCCTCGCCTGCATGAACGGCGACCGTCTCGGCGCCTCCTCCTCCTCCCACCACCACGACCGCAAGTCCTACCGCGACGGACGCTACCACGGCAGCCGCCGCAGCCACAGCCATCACAGCCACAGCCGGAGGAGCTCGCACTCCCGCAGGGTCTACGTTTGAGTGCTGGCGGGCGTGGTCTCGGGCGTAGAGATTTGCGCACTGTTGACGAAAAGAAAACGTCACGATACGAAAGAAATGCACAGCCATGTAATGACTACTTTCCCTCACTTACTCTTTTGGTCATGGCGCTTGGATGAACATAGGGGGTCATGGGACATGACAAACACCGTTTCTATTTTTGACGACTTTCCTACCGACCTCTTGGGTCCTGATGTCTTGCTGTTCTTACTGTCTATCCATCGTCCCTTTCTTCTTTTTAGAGCGAGGAAACTCAGTCACAGACTTGGCTGAGCCGGTCCTGACCGACGGTGCATGTATATCGACGGAATTCATGATCATATGACGAACAATCTCCCTCGCCTCTTCGCCCGTAAAGTGAATTGTGCCCATTTTGTACGCCGACCAAATATGTGTGTGTGTGTGTGTGTGTGGTTCTCCATTGCCCAAGCTCCGTCATGCCCGCGATGCGTCGTCGCCAACCGTGTAACCCCGCGCCACACCGCTGCGGCCCTCCTCAATCGTCGTGCTCTCCTCCGCCGGGTCGTGGTCCGTCCCGAGACCCTGCCACGTGCGCTGCGACCGCAGGAATTCCGCGCCAGGGCTGAGCACGCCGTTGATCGTCGCCAGATCGCCCGCCTGCCGCTTGACGAGCGCCTCGGACGGCCGATCCAACGTGGCACCGGCCGCGTCCGTCTCGGCAGGACCGTCGGCCCGCGGCTTGAGGCGGCCGCCGACCGCCACCTTCATCGGCCGGCTCGCGACCAGACGGCCCGTGCGGAGATCATACTCGGGCGGCGCCGATTCCTCGCCCTCCACCCCACCCTCGACCTCTTCCGTCTCGACCTCCGGAGCATCAGCGGTTGCCTCGTCTCCGCTCGCCGGGGCCCTGACCTCCTCGGGCTTGAGCTTCTCAATACCGGCCCACCACTCCAAGCCCCAGATCCTCTCCTCGGGCGGCAGCAGCGCGACTTCCATCTCAAACGGCGTGATGACGGGCCGGTAGAAGCCCGCGTCTTCCTCGACGAGCCCGCTCTCCCAGCACCCGACAACGACCCAGCCGTCGACCTCGGCAAAGTTGGCCAGCTTGGCCGGGTTCAGCTTGCCGACGACGATCGTGTAGCTCTTCTTGCCGGCGGCGGCGATGCGCGCGCGCAGCAGGTCGAGCGAACGCAGCGACCCGTCGAGGGAGAGCGTGTTGACGAGGATGCCGACGATGCCGGCGCTGGCGAGGGTCAGCACGCGAGCGAACCGCCGGCGCAGGAGGGCCGCTGTGTGGAAGGTCGGATCGTCGGTTGTTGGTGTCGCGGTCGCCGTTGAGAGGACGTGGAGGGATGCGAGACGGGTCTGGAGGGCCAGGAGGAGCGCCGGAGGCGGGGTCGATATGTGGAAGAGGGCGTGTGAGGGTAGGTCCATGTCGGTTTCAAGCGAAGGAGAGTGTTCGGCTGTTGATGAAGGGCCGTCCGCCGTCGCGATACGTCTGTTTGGAATCGTGCCGGCCGGGTCGTGGACCACGGTGGTGTGGAGGAGGTTGGTGTAGCCACGGGTACGCAGCAGGTCGGCTACGTCGAGGACGTGGTCTTGGTATGTAATGTCGGCCATGAGAATGACCTTGGCCGCTTTGTCGGGGAACGTGGCCTCGAATTGGGAGGCAACTGCATCGTGGTCGAGGGGGTGGTGGGTGAAGACGTAAATCACAGGCAGGCGGGAAGTCGGGGAGAGACATGAGCGGCCGTAGTGCACGACGACTTGGGCGTCGGCGTGTTCGGCAGCAATCTCGTCGACGCAGCAGGCGCTATAGGAGGTGTCGGCAAGGATGTAGATGCGCTCCGTTTGCGGGGTCTGAGCAGAGGTCGTCGTCGTGAGGTCCGTCTCTGTCGCTGCCCCAGACGCCGCGGGTGCTGCTTTCTGTTCGGCGTCCCTGGCGGGCGCAATCTCTTCTGCTATGGCCTTGTTCAGAGCTTCCACGACCCAGCCCGCGTCGCGAAGCATGTGGTCGGCAAACTGGAGGGCAATGCGGTTCCATCCCCCTTGCTTGATCTCCCGCGCAGTGCGGCGGATCTCGTAGAGGGACAGCAGCTCCTCGTCTGTTCGAGCATGGATAGGCTCAGTATCAGGAGACGTCGTGACGGGGGTCGGGTCTTCGAACATGTGCTCAGCCGGCGTCGAGAGCACCGGCGCCGCAGACAGTGTGGCGGCCATGGTGCGAGCAGACGGTTCGAAGTGACGGTGGCCTGATGCTCGTGAAGGAAGAAATTGAGAGGGCAAGCGCCAGTCATCGCGGGGCAGTCATGATGGGACGTGGCGGGGTAATTTTTTTCAGTGGAGCCTGCCGTGATGCGTGATGCGTGATGCGCGCCGCCGTGAAACAGCCAAACGGCCCCGCCACGGCGCGCCGGTCGCCCACTACGAGTCTCCTTTTTGGTCATCACGTTGGGTGGCTGTTTCCCCAGGATTCACGTCAGCGAACTTGCTCCCACATTTCAGCTTCGATCGTTTTTTGTATTTTTGGCGTCTATTGCTGTTGAAACAGTTTGCCTCCCAAACACTTGCTTCCATCCCCTTTACCACCCCACCGCCATTGTCTGGCCTGCGTCAATCGTCCGCTGGGCCGTGAGCCTTTGCTCCATTCGAACTACCTGTTCAAGTCATCCGAGCCTGGAGACGACTTCGGCTCAGATGGGATGAGATGCTATCCCTTAGAAGACCTTCTTGAGACTCCAGCCAACGGCCATGACTCTCGCCGCCATATAGCAGCCAAGGGCAATGACATACGACAGGCCGCCGAAGGCAATGACGGCACGCCATCCAACATCGGCGCGCCCGCCTGCCTCCAGAATAGCGCCGGCAATGGGCAGGCTGCTCAACGTTCCGAAACTGGCCACCATCATGGCCGTCGACAGGAATCGTCCGTAGTCACGAGGGTCACACAGCTGTCCCAGGCACACGGGGATCAACCCGAGGTTGCTGCCGCTGGCGAATCCGAAGAGAACAGCAAACGCAATCAGCATCGGCTCCGAGTCACCCGCCGGCAACCACAGTCCGAAAGTCGTGACGATGCACATGGCAATCGTAAAGATGATGACGTTGAACCGGCCAATCTTGTCAGCCACGAAACCCGGGATGAAACGGCCGAGGGCCGACCCAGCATTCATGATCGACAGCAGTGTGTACGAGTCTGTCGCGTTGCCCGAAGCCGAATACCGTGCCGCGTAGGACACGATGTACGTCAGCGGCACAAACAGCCCCCACTCCATGAAGAAGATGCCCACCGCCGAGATGGTAAACTTCATGTCCTTGAACACTGTGAGATCGGGCCACACCGACGTCAGCTTGTCCCTGGGAGGCAGGCGGGAACGGATGAACAGATTCGCAGGCACCGCCAGTCCCAGCAGGATGAAACCTAGGATGCGCGCCGTCCATCCGAATCCGAGCTTCGGAAGAAGCTTCTGCAGCAAGACAGGAAACACGATACCACCGATCGAGCCGGCCGTAGCCGCGATACCGGTGGCGAAGCCCCGCTTGACATTGAAGAAATGAGCGATCGCTCCGTATGCCGGCGTGTTGAGGAGCGCACCGCCGAGCCCTCCCATCACCGAGTAGGAGAGCATGATCTGGTAGTAACCTACACATACAACTTAGCCTGGATCCTTCCCTGTGTACAGAATGTGGGTCTTCCTACCTTCGCACACGCTGAGAATCAGCAAACTGCCCGCCATGAGCACGCCACCGATGGCGACGACGAGACGAGGCCCGTACTTGTCGAAGACGGGCCCCACCTGAATGCCGACGAAGAAGACAACAAACAGGTATAGACTGAAGATCCATCCAATCTCCGACGCCGTGTAGTCGGACAGTTGATTTTCAGAAAAGTACGACTCAAACACGGCAGCCGTGTTGATGAGTCCGAATACGGAGAGCATGGCACAGAACGAACCGAACACCACGAGCCAGGCCTGCAGCCCGCCCTCGGGGAACTCGAGTTTCGTCTCCAGCCTCGTCAATGCTGCCGTACCAGGAAGGTCTCCATAGCGGAGAGCCGGGTCCTTCTCGGGGTCATGACCATGGCCGCCGTGGCCGTGGTCGGAGCCATCATGGCTGTCACCCGCTCCCGAAGAAGTCCCGGTCCCTCCCCTCGAAACCTCAGTGGCCTGTTCCGGCGAACCGGAATGGTTTTTTAGGCAGCTGTCCTCTGCATTGCAGGTCTTGTATGTCATGGGCGACAAGTAGTCGACGTCTTCACTGTTGCTTGACCACGATCCTGAGCGCGGCTTGTCCGTCGGTGGAAGTCTCTTGAGACGATGTTGATGGAAGAAAAGAAGTCTCTTGAGGGCCATGGTGGGCGACAGGCCTGAAATTTATTCTTCGATGCACTGCACTACGAAGGGGGGGGTGGAGAGGGAAGGGGGGCGGCCGCGGCCAAGAGGCTAGCGGCGTTCAGGGGACGTTTTGCCGATGCGTTCAGGCGTTGGACTGTTGATCGTGGGCGGATGGGTGTGTGGATGAGTGAGCAGCAACCCACCAGGCACATGCGGCAATCCTTCAAAGGCCGAAGACGCGAGGACTGAAGGGCGTGAAGACGCTATGCTGTTAGGGGTATTGGCGATGGGGAGCCCGCTATGACTGGGCAAATGCCTTGGACTAATGCAAGCCCGACGAAAAGTTTTCCCTGAAAGGCAATCGATGACCAACGCTAATCGACGCAAGGCGACGAAGACTCGACATTTTATTTACACCTCCAATACCTTTTTCCAACGATACAAGATGGTTGGTTACTCGATCGGCATCCGTACCGACCCCTTCAGTCTGTTGGCATCTGATCCCGAACCTGTCATACTTGCTGTCCTGCCCGTTCTCTTTCGCTGTCACGAGAATCACGAAAAAGCGCACTGGTCGGGCGTCCCTCGCATCTTTCGCTTAACGTAACAACTGCCGGCCGGTTACGTGCCGTTTGTCTGAGACCTCTCATCCGTGACGCTGTCTCAGCCCGGATGCGGCCGCCCCAGCTGCTCGGAGGCCCCCGGCCCAGCCATTTTCACCCGCCCCGCTCTCCGACGCCGACAGTTTGGGTTTGCAGCCACCGAAGCCTGCCAATCTGCGCCCGCCCTCCATGTGCGGATCGGTCCGCGGGAACCCGCTAATCGCAATGAATCCCACGCGCTTGGGCATGCCACCCGACGCCGACGGATGAGGGCAGCATCGCAGGTGTCTCTGTCATCGAACTATGTGTACACGGGCTGTGTGTGGCCTTGCTCGATTTGCTTGGTAGGTCGTCCGAGATCAGGTCCACATGAAGGCGGCTGTTGGGCCCATACCCTTGTGTTGCTCCGGGACGAAGTTGGCGACACAAGAGGGCCCATTGATTTCGAGGCATCTCTTTACGAGTTAGCTTGCATGGTTGTTTACGGCCTTTAGGTGATCAATGCTTGAAATTCTGGTCCATAGTGATGGTCCTTGTCGGGTGACCCGAGGTTGGCGTGACGAGAAGTTGTCATTAGCACTTTCATTTCATGGTGACCACCAACGACGTGGTCAAGTCGACGACATGTCTGTTTGCAGCATGCCTGACCGCCATCTCATTGCAACCAACGAGCTGAAGGGTGCAGCACGAATTGAATGAGCCTAGTCTGTCCTGCGGGTACGGCCAACAACGGATTGACACATTTCTTTTGACTGACGCTGCATCATTGCATCCCATCAGGATAGCAGGCCTAGGCATGGAGCAATCGGTATCACCAAAAGAAAATGCACGCAGGAGCATGCCTGCCACGTCAAACAGACTCCCTGGTTGCAGAATTCTTTCTACCAAAGCGATCCTATTCACACAAATATCACACTAGTCAATGGCCGGCGAGTAGCAGTTGCAGCAGACGTTGCCGTACTACAAGCTAGTCAAGCAGTCGGACCTTTCTGAATGTCGACCAATATAGTGTTGACGTAGGAGCGTTGTAGTGCTACAAGCGTGAGAGCTTGCTCAACATGAGACTTCCGTACCCATTCTTTGGCGGGCCTATGGTGGTAACAGGCAGAGACGCGTAGCAAAAGCTTTGCACGAAAAGGTGCGCCAGAGTCAGATGCTGGAGGCTGCTATGATCGGGCTGAGATTACAAATTTGGTGTCTCTCGAGAGGCCCTCTCGCAGCTCACACCCGTTGGCTGCACTGGACAAGAAATTACTGAACCGAGTGGTGCTCTGGCGATCAAAGCATCAGGCAGATCGTAGCGGGGGACGGTGCAACTTGTCCCCATCCCTCTGTCCACTCTGACCGAACTCGGATGGCGTTTTCCTGTCGATTAGATGCCGTCTGCCGGTGGGGTTTGGCTCGTTGAAGCCTGCTGTAGCAACCCTTCAAGGGGTTCGAGACCTTGAGACCAGTGCTGAGCCCTGGGTTTTGACATCATCAAGCCCGCCCCTGACGTTGAATGGTCACGCCGAGAAGCTCTATCCTCAGCCAGGCAACGGCGCGATGTGACCCAAGGTGGCAATCCCAGTCGATATTAGCGCCGTGACCTACGAATCAGTGCTCATAGTGTCCGGAATTCGGTTGCGCCTTCGACGTAGTCTGAATTGAATGATGGACAAAGCTTCAGTCTATTCCTTGATGATATCGTCCATCTCGTCTAGCCTGTCCGTCCCGTTTTTCTTGAACTTGCTCAACGCAACGTCGCGGACTGTTTCCGCCTCCTGTTCCGAGCGAATCTGCCTTCACTGCGTCATAAGAAGTGCTTTCCATTGCAAGGGTCTGGGAGCATGCCATCATCGGCCACGAACGTGCGCTGAGCCCAGGAGACTGGTCTCGGTCACGCATCAACCATAAAACGCGGGCCTGCGTGCTGGTTCTCTGCTCTCAACCCCAAGCAGTTCAGACTCGCTTTCATCTGCTACTGAGCTTTGATTTGGAAATCGATCATCATGAGATTGACATTGGTGGCAGCCCTAGGGTTGGTGGCCAGCGTCGTCGCGACGCCCTTTGCCAAGCCCATCAACACCCACCCCGAGAAGCGGCAGCTTGAGTCGCAAGCCTCGGTCATTGAGACGCTGCGTCAGGAAGTCATCAGCCAGACCACGATCATCAGTATGCCGCCACAACCCCTCCCCTCAAGTGTACGTTGAAAGCCCCCATGAGAATCTAACCTGCGTAAACAGACGCATCACTGGCCGACGCGTCCGAGGACCCCAGCCAAGCAGAGGTTAGTGCCCTCGCGGCAGTCATCAACCCGGCCTTTGAAGCCATCACCGCCGCCATCGGCTCCGCCACGAGCAACGTCAACAGAGGTCGTCGTCTCCGGCGCCAGGAAGACGACGGGGAAGAAGGAGAGTCTTGCGATGCGCAGTGCCTGACGGAGAGGGTGCTCGAGGTCGTGTACGAGATTGTCAGCACGGTGCGCGCCGTCATTGAGCGCATCGGACTCGGTATGTCCTACAGTTCCCTTGGTCCACTCGAGCTCACAAAACTCCATGTTGCTTCTCCTACCCTGGCCATGACGCTAACGCGGAAAACAAAGGCCCCGTGCTGCTGCGCGTCAACCCGCTGCTGTTGGCCCTCAGCGCGTTGGTGCTGGCGCTGAACGTGCTTGTCACCGGTCTGTTGGTCACTGTCACTGCTGTCGTCACGACGGTTCTGGGCGGTCTCGGTCTCGGGCTGCTGCTTTTGGGGTGGGGCTAGAGAATGCGGGCATCTTGTGTCTGCTCGATCGAGGTCCAGGAAACAGGACGAGGAGGACGAAGCGGGGGGGCTTCCCATTGGATCGCATTGTCTGTACATGTCGTTTCGTATGATTTCGTTGCACGGAACAATGGATGGGCACGTCTTGAAAGGACTCTGGTCGTGCGAGGGTTTGATCGAGGAATGGGTGGGAGGCGGGGATCCATAGAATCCAACGCTTCCCCCTGCCCCGAGTGTCAAAACGCCACGAGCATGCAATGGACGTGGTCGACAACATGCCATGTGCGACGGGCCAAGGGGCCAGAACAGCAGCGTCCTGTCGTCGGACGAGATCGTGCAACCCCCAGAACGGCAAACCGGTCCCCTGGCGCTGGGCGCCTCGTCTGTTGTTGCCAATGAGGTGCCGCATCACGGCCTTGGTGCCGCATCGGTGACACTGTGGGCTCGTGTCACCCTCACGGGACGCTGCTGCCTCGGGGGGGCAAAGGCGATCGAGAGAGAAGAAGGAAGGGAGAGGTGAGCCGGTGGTACGGGGTGCTTGATCGCCGTCGTGGGAAGATCTGCTGGGCCCGTCTTGGGGTTGTACGGGGTGAATGTGTCTGCCTTGTTGAGGGTACCGGGCCACCCTATACGTGTGACGTTTGGGGGTGCTGTAAAGGAAGATGGGGGCAGACGTGCAGTTCGGCGACGATGGGGCGTCGTTCGGCGATCAGGAGGGAGAGGGTTGTGGTTTGGAGGCAGAGTCAGATGGTGTGGATTGTCGGCTGTCGGGGGTGTGAGCAAACGGCCAGCCGATTTGTCTTTCATAAATTGATGTGTTGGCCTCTCTGTCATGGATATGCTGCAGCGGGGAGATGGCCAAGTCCACGACGACAACATGACGCAGATCTGGTATAACTCGGTGAGGGACCGGTGAAGGGGCGTCGTCAGGGGGCTGCGTTTCCAGGCGCCAAGGAGCAAAGGAGCAAAGGAGCACGAGAAGGCATCATCACGTGCTTCTTACCTAAGCAAGAGCCGCACTCCGAATTCGCCAAACACAGGTATCATCCAGACAGATTCCTAGCTTCAGAGCCCTCTCAACACCTCTCATCTCGGTCAAATGCTCTGAAATTTTACCCACTGAACAATCGGCGATACAGTTGGAGACAAAACCATTATTTCTGATAATTTTGTGCCTTGGTAAAATGGTTCAATGTGAGCTTACCTTTGATGACTGTGACCTTGTTTGTCACCCTCTTGCTACGGCCGACGCTGCCGGGATTCCCCACTTCACCTGCGTATAGCGCGAACAAACCAGACGAAGGCGCCAAGAGGACCGTTATCGCCGTTGGACACGGTTGACACCATTTCAGCCACGCGCCTCCAACTCGACAGCCACCCTTCATCGGCCGCTCCGACTTTAGCTTTCGGCCCCATGAATCGCTCCCGTGCGGATCACCCACGTCAATGTTGATGTAGATATCCCTCAGCATTCGCAAGCCACATACGTGCCCTCTGTGTATCCGACTTTGGAAGCTTCGGCGACGTCTCTTTCTGGGAAGAAACTCCTTTCTGGAAAGACAGGAAACTGCACACGCGCTGGTTGAGCCTCACATCTGCTGGAGACGGAAAAGAAGAATGCAAGCCCTTGATCAGCCACCACTCCGAAGAACCCATCGCCCGTGGCGACCCCCGGCCATGCGCGTCTTTCAGGATGCCTGAGTTCAGATTCATCGCCTCGGACACGTCGGGCGGGAAGCTCCAACCCGCCGACAAGGAAGCGCGAAGCCATGCCATCAAGCAGGGCCTGCAGCGAGGCGCCCAGGCCCGCTCGGAAACCGACAAGACGAGCCGTCAAGCCCAGGACGCCACGAGCCGCAGGGCCGACCTCAGGGGACGCTTTCGACTCGCGGGCGCGCAGTCTGGGGCCGAGGCTCTGCGGAAAGCGGGCACGCGGGCTTACCAGCAGCCAGACTGGACGGCCTGGTTCAAGGTATGAGCGCTTACATCTACGTTCCGAACATGGAGCGAGCGTGTTCACAGCGACCTCCCAAAAAAACCCCCAAAAAAAACTGACGGAAACGCTCTAGAATGACCGTGCCAAGAGCAGCAACGCATCAAGGGGTCAGACGACTCCCTTCAAGTCGGTCCCGCGGCTAAAGGCCCACGTCATGGATCCCTTCAACAGCCTGCCGATTCCGAGCAGTCCGACGATTGACTCTCTTGCCAAGTATTGTACGTTGGAGCCCGAATGTCTGTCTTGGTGTCTTCGATGTGTGAGGCTGATGGTGTATCTTCCGGGCCCCTCAGTCGTCAACGGCTTCAGTCTGAACCTGACGACGGTGGACAAGCAACGGCCATGGTTCCCCTACGCCATGCAGAGCGAGCTCGTCATGCGTGCAACGCTCGCCTTGGCCGCGGGTTTCTGGACCGCCAGTCTCCCCTCCCTCGACGCCAGGCTCCAGATTGAGGGCTACCGCCAAAAGGGAGAGGCCATGCGAGCCATCAGCAGCCGCCTCCAGACCACGGCGTCTTCGAGAGTGGCAAGCCGAGACACGTCGGTCCTGGCCGCCGTCGCTACTCTCGCCAACGTCGAGGTACGTCTTCCTGATCCCAAGCCCTTCTTCGGCCTCTACTCATCACCTGCCCCAGGCGTTCCAAGGCGAATTTGAAGCAGCAGACATTCATCTGAGAGGCCTGTACGACATGGTCCAGGAAAGCGGCGGCCCAGACACCATTCGGCACGACTACATCCTCTGCCGTTGCATCAACTGGTGAGCAAGAAGAAAAACGAGGCGCTCTCGTCACACCCTGAACTCCACTGACCACTCCCAGGGTCGACGTCCAAGTAGCCTCCGGCCTCGGACGCATCCCCTTCTTCCCGACCTTCCACACCCTCGACCAGGTCGTCCTCCCGGCGCACATTCTCCACCAAGCCGTCGTCCCGCCCCTGTCCGACCTCGGCATCGAGGAGGCCAACGGCTCGGCAACAGCCGCGTGCGTCCACACAATCCTCACGCTGCTCCGGCAGGCCATCTGCGCGCAGACAAGCGACAGCGTCGGCGCCGACGGCATCCGCATCCTCATGGGCACGGCGGACAGCTGCATCCTCAACTTTCTCTACGGCGGTGCCGCCGGGGCCGCCGACTATCGTTTGTCCTCGTCGTCCGCGGCCTCATACGCAGCCCCATCGTCGTCGGCCGCGCACGCCGCCGACAAGAGGGTCCGCGCCCTCGTCCTGGGCGCCCACATCTTCCTCTACGTCGCCCTGCGCGACGTCCCGCCGACGAGCCAGCTCCTGACCATCCTCTGCTGCCGGCTGCGCGCGCTGCTGACGGAGCTCGACGAGCCGCCAGCCGCCGGCGTCGGCCGCGGCGCCCTCTCGCTGTGGCTGGCCTTTGTGGGCCTCGTCGGGTCGGGCGGCGGTCACGGCGCCGCCGCCGGGAGCGAGAACGCGCAGTGGTTCGCGGCCATGTTCCAGACGGCGCTGCGGGACACGACGCCCGGGGGCACGCTGACCGAGGCTGGTCGGCGGGACCTGCGGACTACGCTGCGGTCGTTCCTGTGGGAGGAGCGGCACTGCCGGGCGGTTCTCGACACGCTCGAGCGCCGGCACAGCGTGTCTCCGCCGCCGGATGTCGAGGACGTTGGCGTGGAAATAGTGGGTGGCGGGGATGAGTAAGGGGGGCAAAGCATCACAAACAAAGTACAATGCACCAAGAGCTGCAGCCAGTGTTGCTCCTGGGTTTTTATTTCAAACGCGCTGGCGGATACATTGCCAATATTATGATGATACCAAAACTACACAATGGAGCGCCGCTTTATGCCTCTAGCGGCCCGACGGTGCGCACGTCTAGACCCTTCTCAAACTCGGCCTTGCTGGGCATCTTGCCGAGGCGCATCAGCTCAGCAGAATGTACCATGGCTGGGTCCTGGCCCATGGAAGCCATGGCGACGACCGTGTCACCCTTACAGTAGTAGGCGGCAAACGAGTTCTCCTCGACGTTGCCCTGGATGACCACGTCGTCCCAACCGCCGGCCGTGTTGCCGCAGTATCGCAGCTGCGCTGTCAGGGCCGACCAGAAGATGGGGATCGAGACCTCCTGCTTGGCCGAGGCGTTGATGATGTGGCTGGCGACTGTGCGACCGGCGTTCTGAGCGACATCCCAATGCTCGATGCGTGTGTACCTGCCGTCTCCGCCCGGGCCGTGGTAGGGGAAGGTCGCAATATCGCCGACGGCGTAGACATCCTTGAGGCCCGTGACAGAGTAGTGCTCGTCCGTCTGGATGGAACCGTCCTTCTCGAGGCGGAGGACCTTGTTGTCTTGCAGGAATTCCGTGGCGGGCGCGACGCCGACGCCAAGAATGACGAGGTCTGCCTCGAGCTTCGTGCCGTCCTTGAGGTGAACAGAACCGACCTTGGAAGGGTCGGATGCCGAGGGCTCGGCCTTGTCGACACCGGCCGACATGTAGAACTTGACGCCGTTGCCCTCGAGACCCTTTTGCAGGCCAGCGCCAACCTTCTCGCCGAAAACCCTCTCAAGAGGCACCTTCTCCATGCCGATGACGGTGACGGTGTTGTCCTTGGCTGTGGCGTTGGCGACTTCCATGCCGATGAACGACGAGCCGACAATGACAATCTTCTTGCCCTTGTCGCCAATGGCCGCCGTGATCTTTTTCGTGTCGTGGATGGTGCGCAGCGTGAAGATGTTCTCTAGGACCTTGAAGCCCTGCAGCGGCAGGTTCCTCGGCGTGCCGCCCGTGGCGAGTACAAGCTTTCCGTAGGCGTGCTTTCCTCCGTTCTTGGTGGTGACAGTGCGCCCGGAAAAGTCCACGTCGGTCACCTCGTCGTTGACAATCTCGACGGAACCGCTCTCATACCAAGCGGCGTCGCGCCACTGCAGCTTCTCGGGATCGGTCAGCAGGGCCTTGGACAGCTTGGGCCGGTCGATAGGCAGGTAGCCCTCCTTGGAGATGATGGTGATGGGACCGTCGAAGCCGCCGTTGCGCAGGCCCTCGACGGCACCGAGCGCACCAGAGCCACCGCCGACAATGACAACCTTGTTGTCGGTGCCAGCCCCGGCGGCAGAACGGCACTTAAAGTTCGGCTTGCGACGACTGCCTTTGATGGCAGCCTCCTCGCCGGTCAGGTAGACGGCGCCGTCACGCTCGGTGACGTGGAAGACGGGCAGCGCGTCGAGGGCCGGGGCGTCCTCGACATCGCCTGTTTTCGCGTTGAAGCAGGCTAGAGGTCACACGGTAAGCCACTGCGGGTTGTGTCTGTTCCGAAGGGCGGCAGAAGACGCCGAGGGAGGAAGGCTGCTCACCACCGTGCCACGGACAGGTCAGGCGTCCGTTGGTGGTCAGGACGCCCTTGACGAGGGGCGCGCCGTAATGGGTGCACTTGGAGCCGACGGCCTGGATCTTGCCGCCGGCGTTGACGAGCAGGACCTTGCCGCCCTCGATGCCCTCGACCTCGACCTCATGCTTCTCGCCAGGGCGAAGGTCGAGGGAGGTGACGGACTTGAGCTTGTACTCGGTGGCCACCATGGTGCGCAGGGCGGTTGAAAATGTGCGATGTTGTAGCTGCTGCTGGCGTGGGACGAAGTGGTGAAAGGTGTTGGGACGAAGGAAGAGTCGGAGTCTGGATGATTGCATGAAGGAAAGCTTTGGTGGGGGGGGAGGGGGGCAGAGGATGGAGAGGGGAGAAGAGGGAGGGGGTTTATGGGATGATGGGAAGCTTCGAAGCTTAGCAGCAGCAGGCCAGGGTCGACTGGATCGCAGGGGACGAAACAGCAGAGGTGCAGAGTTGCAGAGGTGACGAGTCGATGGGGGCTTGGGTAACCACGAAGTACCAATGAAGACAAAGGCAGCAACAAACGGCAGTTTACGTTTCGAGGTAGGCACGTTAGGGGTTCGTTCGGTTCAGCAGCTTGCCACGTAAGGTGCCTACTGAGAGGCAAGAGCGCTCCCCTCTCAATCGAGCCATGCCGTCCATGCTCAGTCAGGCACATCCCTTCCTCCCTGCCTCCCAGTGACAGCCCGCTCCCTGGCACCCTGGGTGCTACCTGCCCATCTCACCTCCCCTCCGAGTTGATGATGTCCATGACCCGTCAACATCTGCAGGCGCGGAACTTGAGTGACGCCATTGCCGGTTCATCGCGTCGCGATAAGATAGAGCCTGCCTCGAAATTAGAAATGCTAGCTATCTCATTGGCTCGGCGCCGTGCCTAGCGCCGACAGCAAGTCAGGTAGTGGTAAGCGGGTTGTGCTTGAGATGGTCCTAGCTTCACAGCTCACCCACACCTTCCTGCCCAGACACCTGAGGTAGCTGACAGATGACAGCCCAGAGCTCATGGGTAGTAGTGAGGCGGGCGCCTGCCTGACTGAGCGTCAACTACCTTACCTATCAGGTAGATAGATACTCTGGCGTCACCGTTGTTGCCCGATATCTGGCCTACGTTCCTCCTCCCTGCCATGTGTTCGGTCTCGAGCTCAACTTTTGTGGTGCTTATGGCGTAGGAATAGTACCTGACAGAATGCGAGGACACAACAGCGGTGAGAGACAGCGAGCAGGCCTGATCCAAGCAGCAAGCAGGCGTTACAGCCTACGGCGCCTACCTACCTTGGGTCAAGTAGGTACCTTTTGAGGTAGGCAGGCAGCTACGAATGTGTGTATCCAGGCCCCACAATCTGCACCATGCCGCATCTCGTCCTCGCCGCGTCACCCTCTCGGCCAAGCGACTGATACTGTCGTGAGAGCATCTCGACCGGGGAGCGGACGCGAGTCATTGTCCCCTGGCGAACGCTGTTTTGAGTTTGTCCATTTGATTGTTGGAATTGGGATTCTTCTTCGCAGCGGCTAACGTGCCCGCGATTCCGACATGATGCGATCGGTTCCCATGGGACTGGTCGATGGCACGTTGTCGGCCACCTTGCCGAGAATACTCCATGAACCTTCTGGACGACTCGCGATCGACGGACCATCTGATAAGCTGGCCAGGGCATATCGGATATCTGCCCGCCCGCCTACGTTTCAGGCACCCCCGAAATCATCTACCGAGTCGCTGGGTGCTCTGCGCCGTCCGTTCTGCAGCCAACTGCCGAATGTTGGATACGCTCGGAGCTCACTGTGCACCGCCGAACATGACCTCACGATACTACGTGGCTGCGCGCTCCGCCATCCGAGGCGATGAGATCGAATGCTAGGCAGTACGCTAGTAGGCCCGAACACCGAGCCATGGCTGCCCTCCTCGAGTCGATGTGGTATTCTGGTCGTGATCGGCGGTCCTCTCTGTTCATGCGCCCCCCCCCATCGACGCCGAGTTCTCTCCCCCAAGCCCCCACGTCTCCTCGCCATCTCCGCGACCGTGTCATCCGAGGCGAACAAGATGGGGAACCGCTCTCAGACTATCCAGATATATAGTCCTGACTGAGCTTTTGCTGTACACTGTCCAGATGATCCAGCGTGACCTCCTTCTTGCCCAGGTTCTCTCTTGGTCTCCCACAACATTCGAGTATCAGGTTGCCGGCTTTCAGCAAAACCCGTTCATCGTGCACCTCGTCGCTCAGCACCATCCACGTCATTGCCACAAGCACGCATCATGGCTTCCACAGAGGACTACCAGAACATCTTTCACTGGGCAGAGACCCAAAAGAATGGTTCCATCCCCAGCTTCGAGACCCGACGCAACGACCCGTACAAGTACATGTCTGGCTTCAACAACAGCTTCGAGTCAGAAGCGGTGCCTGGTGTGATCCCCAAGGGGCAGAACAGTCCGAGGTCCATCCGCTTTGGACTTTACGCGGAGCAGATGACTGCGTCTGCCTTCGTCGCCCCACGCCATGTCAACAAGAAGGCGTGGCTCTACCGCTCGCGTCCTGCTGTCGCCCACCAAGGATTCGTGAGTTGTGCTCCTGTGCCCATGTTGAACTTGAAATTCCTGAGCCGCGAGTAACATGGTTGTGGCCCCTCGCAGACGGATCTTCCCAACCGAGAAGACGTCGAGTCAAACTTTCTTCCCATCAACCCCCGCGTACATGTTTCACCCACTCAGCTGGCGTGGAGCCCCTTTGACATCCCAACCGATCAAGATGTGGACTTTATCGACGGCCTCAAGACACTTGCGGGGTCCGTCGATCCCACGCTGCGTGAGGGCCTGGCGACCCACGTCTATCTCTGCAACACAGGCATGAAGAAGAGGGCGTTTGCCAACTCGGACGGCGACTTTCTCATCGTTCCGCAGCAAGGCGCGCTCGATATTCAGACTGAGTTTGGCTTCCTCTACGTCCAGCCCGGTGAAATCTGCGTCATCCAGCGCGGCCAGCGCTTCAAGGTGAATGTCGAGGGACCTACGCGGGGCTACATCCTCGAGATCTGGGGCTCCAACTTTGAGCTGCCTGAGCTGGGGCCCCTCGGCGCAAACGGGCTCGCCAACGCTCGCGACTTTCTCCACCCCGTCGCCGCGTATGAGGTGACGGACGACGACCCGTGGAACATCGTCTACAAGCTGGGCGGTCGGTTCTTCCAGAGCGCACAGCGCCACTGCCCCTTTGACGTCATCGCCTGGCATGGGAACTACGTGCCGTACAAATACGACCTCACCAAGTTCGTCAACGTCGGCTCCATCTCAGTCGACCACATCGACCCGTCCGTCTTCTGTGTGCTGACGGCGAAGTCGCGCGATCCAGCCGCGCCACTCGCCGACTTTCTCATCTTCTCGCCTCGCTGGGACGTCGCCTCGCACACCTACCGCCCGCCCTACTACCACCGCAATGCCGCCTCAGAGCTCATGGGGCTCCTCTACGGCGCCTACGAAGGCCGCTCCGACGCCTTCCGCCCCGGCAGCGTCTCGTTCGAGTGCGGCTTCGTGCCCCACGGCGTGGCCTACGAGCAGTTTGCCGCCGCGTCGCGCGAGGACCCGCCCGTCATGCGCATTTCCGAGGGCGCCGTCGCCTTCATGTTTGAAAGCTGCCGCGCCCTCACGATTACGGACTATGCGTGGAAGAGCACGAACCTCCACGAGCACGATCCCAAGATGTGGGATGACTTAGTGGACAACTTTTCCAAGCACCGCGTCGAGGTCGATGAGATTTTGGGCAAGGCGACGGGTGGGAAGCACCGCGTGGGGTCTTGATAGACCAGTGTTTGGGCTGGGTGTGACGGCGTCTCTTGGCTACGTAGACGAATGGACTGCATGGATGTCGCTTGAGGTGTTTTGAAGATTGGCAGAACGACGTTTGGCTAGTAGAGGTCTATCTATGGATGCCTGAAGGGAGTGTTCGCGTTGATGTTCGAAAACTTTCGTCATGTTGACAGGGATGTGATTGATCCTCTCCCCCGTCTTAATAACACCAACGCGTCTGCGCACAAGACTCTGGCGTTGCTCTTTGCCGTCGTAAGGGCACATGGCCCCCAAAGTGAAAGCAACACTTGTACCCACAGCTAGCCGGCCAGCCAGCCCCCGATCGACGCCTCGTATAAAGGGGGGGGGGCTTAGCTTCACAGCTCGCTTTCTTATTTTATCGTCTGCCCAGCTTGCTTTTACCCTACTCGTCCAGCACGCTCTTTCTCATTGGCCAGGTCACGCCTTAGGCGGCTTGCTATGAACAAGCCATGAGGGGTGTGCGGTACGGTCTATTTGCGCTCTGAAGCGTATCTCTTAAGCATCTGTACCCAGGCATTCTGATGCCATCGACCGTTCACGCCTGCGGCGACGCTAGGCTTTTGTATATTGCGGTGTCAGGAAGAGGAGGCAAAGCGAGGATCTTGGGGTGACGTGTTGTATTCTCAGACGCACATCGTCGTTGCACTGCCGTGGGGAGGGTCGAGGCGGCGTTTTCTTGGTCGCGACGACATTCATCCATTGGAGTTGTTGGTTTATCGAGAAAGTTTACCGACATGCACGTCTATCGCCGGGCATCCAGGCACAAGGCTTGACTAGTCAGGAAACAGAAAAACTTCAGATGCAGCAAATCGGCTTCATCGTGCTTGGAACAGCTGGTATCTTAAGGAAAGAAGCCCCCTCCAACCCCACCCCCCCCAAAAACACCTCAGTGCAGCTCGGCCGTGCCCCGATCACGCGTCGACGTACCCTCGAGCTCGTGCACCTGTTTCGGCTTCGCGTCCATCTCCGAGACCTGATACTGTGCGCTGAGCGGGCTGCCCCGCGGCGTAGGCGTCTGCGAGTCCACAAAGGTGCTCTGCGGCGGGCTGCTTCCCTTGGCGTGATACTGACCGGCCTCGCTGACCTCGACGGGCTCGACAGCCCGCTTCCTCCTGCGTACAAAAAACCAAACGCCGAGGGCGGCAACGATGGCCGCGAGCGGGATCCCGAGCCCGAGCCCGACCTTTAAGCCTAGACCGTTACCGTTGCCGGAGCCGGAGCCGGAGCCTGAATCGGCAGATGTCTCACTGGGAAGTGGTTCGCTCGCCGTCGTCGAAGCCGCAGCCGCCGTTGCGGACGAAGTTGATGCGCTGCTCGTGGCCGACGAAGAAGCAGACGACGATGAGCTCGCGTTAGGGTTGTCAATGACCTTTCCTCGTGTGTCGAGGAAGGTGCCGCGTCCGCGTGCGCAGCACTGAGGATCATTGTTACAGCAGTAACTACCGTCTTTGCAGATTGTGACTTGAGGAAAGCGACCGTTGCCTGTGTTTTCACCTGTAAGAGGAAAAGAAATTAGCCTCCGATTGATGCGACCCCTCTTCCATGAACCCCGGGCCTGAAGAAACCTACTGTACAGGCAGATCTGCGCGCACTCTTCTTCGTCATACGGATTGATCGAGCAGGGTCCGCGGATGAAAATATCGTCTGACAGGCCGACGCTCTTACACAACCTGTTGGGCAGGCACAGGTCGACGGAGCCGCAGCAGGCGTTTGAGCCAGGACATTTGTAGTTGTCGCCGTAGGACTTCCCGCCGACGCCGTAGCAGGTGATATTGTTGGCCTGGCTGCTCGAGTCGTCGTCGTCGTCGTTTTGCGCCAATGCCGTGGTCGCAAGGAGTAAAAGAAAGACGAGAAGCAGCGGGCGAGCGACTGATTTGAGCCCCATTGCCAATGGTGTCCAAGAGCTTTCAGCAGGAGAAACGCGCAAGATTGAGATGGCTACACAGCGCTTGGAAAAGCGATTTAGACGAGAGAGAGGGGAGGCGACGAGAGAGAGGGAGGGGCGTCATTTGAGTTACGGGCAGCTTTTTCATGGGCTATGACGATGATTTCAGGTTATACTCGTACGTTGTTATTCGGCAACCCCTCCTGCCGTCCTCCTCGACCAGGGCAAGAATCCGGGTTCACAGCCCGCAGCCCGCAGCGCTGCTCGCGACGGTTGTCGATCGCTTGGGTACGTATCCTGCACCGACACCGAAATCGTCGTACGAGGGGCACGAACTGCACTTCGAACGGGTTGCCGCAGGGGTAGGGTGGGGATGGGAAGCAGCATCACCAGTTGGTTTTCTGCTCTCTTGGGGGCGAAGGATCCTGCACGGGCGGGGATACTTTGCGCATCTTTACTTTCTTTGCGTCTGCTGTGCCGCTCGGTTGGCCTCTTCGCACCACGGACGTGCATGCAGGGCGAGATCATGATGCGGTCTGCATAGGAGGCGGCTGGACTGAAGTCAGGTTTGGACGCAACGCAGCAGCAGTCGAGACCAGCCAAGCGTTCGAGGATCGGTGGTGAGGTTGGCGGGCCAGAACGTCGATTGAGCCGAAGAGATCGACCTGACTAGTAGGCCCGCCTTTGTTAGCGTGTCGTCTCGGACGGGAAGCCTAGGGGACAGGCGTCAGAACATGCGGCGGAGAAGCCATGAGGCAGTGCCAGTGCAACAGAGGCTGCTCGCGAGGTCCTTGGTAGGGAAGCATGGTGGTGGTGTTGGTGGTGGTGGCTGGTGGGTTTTGGCCCTGTTGGACGACGATGACGATGCCGTGCAGCAGTCGCAGTCGGCCACTGTTGCTGTAGCGGCAGGTACGCCGAGATAGGCGCCTGCCAAGGAGCCGGAAGAGCCTTGAGAGCGAGCGCTGGGGGGGTGTCGTTCCTGACACTAAGGTAATCAACAGACGGTTGGCGGCTGCTGGCCCCCAAGGCAAGTCCCGTCCGTCGCAGGAATTGCGGCAATTCTCGCGAGAGCGTTGTTTGTAACATGGCCATAGATATCATGCATGGGGGTCCTTGGGTGGTTCTGGCAGCGTGACTTCCTCATGAAGCAGTGAACCCGTGTGCCGAATAAGTCCGCCCGTTCTGCCGAGATGCTTTGCGAAGGTATCATGTACATGTGGGGGCAGAATGTACAGATACAGCAGATAGGCACTTCACAACAAGCTCATCCGCGAAGATCCAATGTGCCAATGGCGATGGCGGCCAATGCCAGCTCGAGCCCTCATGTGCGCCAGGGCCTGGACAGCCCGGTCGTTCCTGAGAACGGCTGAGGCTACGAGAGACTTTCACTCTGCTGCTGACGTTACAACAGCTCAGAACGGGGTCAACGTAAATTTCCCCAAAAATACTTCTGGCGATCTTGTAAGCCGGCAATGCCATGTGCCACGAGCCTGGCACAGACACATGGAATGTCTCCAATTTTATGGAGGGAGATGGAGATTGCTAGTCAAACTAGGGGCTCCTATGGTGCCGTGTCCGAGCAGCCGTTGCATGTCCTCGCCCGTCCAGGCAGCATGGCTTGTTGGCGCGAAGAATATGCATAAGGGAGGTTAGCGAGGAACAAGAGGCAGTTTCGGTTGCAAGACGTCCGTCGGGCTCGCCACGCACGGGCCAGAAAAATAGAAGAAGAAGCGCTTGCGGGCCAACATTGCGCCTGCAGAGAAGAAAAAAAACGGAGCTGGCGAACGCCGTGGAGTTCCACGGCGTTCCGCAAACAACCAAGTCGCCCATTCGACAAATTGCCAGACCAACCCTCATTTGTCATCCCCCAGGCATCGCGAGGCATCCCCAGGCAGCTTTCAGCGTCTTCCCCCACTAACCAAGTGCCTGAATCCCTAACAGAACCCAGCATCCATCGAACATCAGCCCTACAACCCACCCACCCACCTGCGGACCTTGCCAACTTACCTACCTTATGTACCTTACCTACCTACCTGGGCACGGCTATCGCCAGCTAATTAGGCTCTTATCATAATGTACCTCGCGTTTGGAGTCAATTAAGGTTTGCTCCTGCGCTCACAACCTCCGGTCTGGCTCGGGCGGTACTTGACCAAGGTACCTCACCCGCTGTCAGCAGGCACACCGCAAGCCCACGTCTCACCCATGCGACCACGCCCCTCAGCTGGACCCTTGAGTCTTCATCCGGCCTATCCTGCCAAACTCTTCCTTCATCTCACCCAAGAAGTTGAATCATCGCAACTGCAGCCAAAGTCATCTGGCATTGCGCTGGCATTCTCCGCTGACAAGATGGAGTTGACGTCTCAGCGTCGCAAAGGTTCGCCTCCCACCCCCCCCTTAGGGACCTTGCTTGTTTGGCCCCTGTCCTTGCTTGGCTCGGCCTTGTCTTTGGGGGCTCTTTGCTGACACGAAGCCACCTGTGCAGCTTGCGACTTGTGCTTCACCAAGAAAATCAAGTGTGACATGCTCAAGCCGCACTGCTCCAACTGCCTGCTGTACAAATCAGAGTGCAAGACAACACGTCTCCGCCGGAGAACCGCCGCTGCCAAAGACAAGCCTCCCCGCCCAGCCCAGAACTCTGTATCAAGCCGCGAGTCTGAGCTCGAGGCCCGTCTGGCGCTCATCGAAAACCAGCTCAAGGAAGTTCTCGAAGCGAGCGCGTCACAGCCCGTCAAGTCACAGCAGCCCCCAGTTCAGCAACCAGTAGCCGGTCCGTTCAGTCCCTCCCAGGTGTTCGAGACACCCAGTCCCGAACCGCAATGGCTCTCCAACATTGTCGCCGCCGCTGGGCAGAGCCCCGTCCTGATGTCGGGCTCGGACACGACGACGCCCAGTGACTGGGTCGCCCAGCCCGAACCCATGGTGCTGCCGCCGTTGGAGGATGTGCTGCCGCTCGTCGACGTTTACTTTACGCGCTTCAACGTCGTCTTGCCGCTGTTCCACCAGGGTAGTTTCATGACCATGCTGTCCGACTGGTACTCCCACGTCATACATCGCACGAGGCCCGCGTGGGCTGCCATCAACATTGTCCTCGCCATCGCCCACCGTGCGTGTATCACGTCTGAGAATGACTTTGCCACCGACGGCGAAAAGTCGGCTGCGTACCTGCGGAACGCCCAGACCGTTGTCAACGAGCTGGTGACAAGGGAAGAAGATCTTGTCGGCTTGCAGGTCCTGCTGGGCATGTCGCTCCTTTTCTTGGGTACCAAGAACCCCAAGCCCGCGTCTGTCCTCCTCGGAACCACCATTCGCCTGGCCCACCGCATGGGCCTGCACGACCAGGATCGCTCCAACGGGCTGCCTGAGCATGAAGCTGTCCAGAGGGCCCGAATCTTCTGGGTCGCCTACTACCTCGACAAGGTATGTTCCACGGCCGGCACACACTAACCTCAACCCCTCGGTGCAGCTGGCTGATTTGCCTCCTAGGATGTCAGCTTGAACCAAAAGATGCCGTCGTTCCAAGTCGATGCCGACATCGACCTGCCGCTTCCCGATCTCGACCCGGCTGACAATGTATCGATTATGTACTCGACGGACTCGACGATCAAGTTCAACTACTTCAGATCGCGCACCGCCCTCAGCCATATTCAGGGCAAGATCTATGACCTGCTCTACAGCACGCGCTCCAAGAAGGCCTCCCCCGAGGACCGCGTCCAGCGCCGGGAGCAGCTCAACCACATGCTCGAGCAGTGGCGTCTGCAGATCCCCGAACAATTCCAGATGGCCAACGTCGCGAGTTCAATGTCTCCGACCAATGCGGTGCACATGGTCAACATGTACAGCACGTACATGCTCTGCCTCGTGCATGCGCACGGCATCTACACATTCGATATGAACGAGACGTGCTGGTTCAAGGATATGCGTCAGAGCATGACAGCGTGCGCCGCCAACGGCACCATTTCTGAATCGTGCAAGGGGAAGATACCTGCTGGGTGGGAGAATTGCGTGGTTCAATCGAGGGCTTTTATTCAGCTCTTCACCGACGCGCCGTTTACAGAATGTGGCTTCTGGTGTGTTCTTCTCCCTCTTTCCATTGGGCTGCGTGACGGGACATGCAAAAGACTGACCCAATTTTGAATCAACAGGATCAGCGCAAGCGCACGCTTCGCCACGGTCATGATGGTACTGACCCAAATGTTCATCGAGCCGATGCACCCCCACCTTACGCTCGACCGCGAACTGACTCGCAAGGCCGTTGCCGTTTTCGACCAGATGGTCCCGCGCACCACTGACAAGGAGATTCGCTGGCTGCATGAGATTGTGTCGGCTCTCTTCCGCCAGGCCATGGCCGCGACGCAAGATGCGGTCGAAGCGTTTGAGCGTCAGGCGCGAGAGCAGGCGCAGGCGCAGGCGGCAGCCGACTACTTTGTTTCGCTGGGAACTCAAATGGGGAACTCGCAGCTCGCAGACGACTTTCACTTCATGTCATGGTCATGATTCCTCACGCATCGCCACGCATGTCACTGACTGAAACAAACGAGCAATCGACGAGCACTTGGTTCGAGTCCATTGGCGAAAAGATGAAAAGTGGGAATGCATTTTCTACCATGACCTGCCAAACGCCTCAAGGTGTATTCCTGACCCTGTTTGTGCCTAACCTGTGGCAAAGACGCAAAAGAAAACTAAAAAAAAACTACCGTCTCGTTTCTCTCAGTCTTCTACTACATGTATATCGACCACACTCACAGCTCCTCCTTGGTCACCGTCTTGGCCTCAGGCTCAGCGTCGGCGTCGGCCTTGGCGGCCGGCTCATTGGCCTTGAGGACTTGGGCCTTGATGACAATCTCAATGTCCCTCTTCTTTTCCCTGAGGTTGGGGCGCGAGTGGGAGATGGGCCAGGCGACAACGCCGCCGTCGACGGCGTCGGGCGAGTACTTGGAGAGGTCCTCGAGAGCGTCTGGGGACACGTCAGTCGCTGTTTGTCACAACAAGAGGAAAGAAAAGAGGAGACGGCAGGGAGAGAGGGCAGCAAACTCACCGGCGCAGTCGCTCGACTCGGCGACGAAGAGGGGAAGGATCTTGTACAGGGCGCCCGGGGCGAAGAGGATGACGCGCGAGGCGTCGTCGGCGCGGTCGAGGCCGGCCTCGGGCACGACGACCTGGTCGTCGACCTTTTGGTGCTTGTCCTTGGGCTTCTGGAAGAGGGCGAACAGGCCGTGGTCTGCCGTCTTGCCGGAGGCCTGGGCCTCGATCCACTGCTTGGCGCGCAGCGGCACGTCGGCGTAGTCCATGAGCAGGATGTATCTGTCCCAGCCGTGGCGGTCGAGGCCGGAGAAGCCGCCGGGGTACTCGCGCTCGCTGAAGACCTCCTTGAGGCCCTCGGCCCACGACCACATGCCCAGGGGCTGCTTGTCGTAGAGCTGATGGAGGGTGTACTGTTGGGCGGGGAAGGTCTTGGTCACCTCGCAGGCGGGGGTGAAGAGCGACGAGGTGGCCTCGGTGAAGGGGTCGCGCCACTTGAAGTCTTCGACGAGCGTCGCCTTGGCCTGGTCGTGGGGGCTCGGGGGACGGCCCATGCCGAGCTGCGCTGCGGCGCTGCCGGCGAAAGCGGACAGGGCGATGGCCTGGAACTTCATGATGTTGCGGATGGCGGGGAGGGAGCTGTCAATCTGGTTTTATGGAAGAAGCGGAGTCGAGAATGCCGATGCAGAAAACAGAGTTGTTCACTTTTCCAACAAACTGGGGAGATGAAGGGGAATGAGGGTAAAAGCAATTGTCAGACTGCGGATAGAGGAGAGAGAGGAGGGAGGAAAGTTAGACATCACCAGACGAGACTGAAATCACGAGCAAATACCCCCCCTTGTTATAGCTTCGCCATCATGTGTTCCTGAACGTCCGGGCCGCGTCCCAGACGGTAAGGTCTTGTTGTCCTTTGCGGACGCTTGATGCTCCGGATTGCCATATTGGATCGAGTTGGAGAAGGGCGGTTCGGAGGTTGGGATGCGACAAAGGTCAGGCGCCGCCTCCGTGACAGGAACAGGCAGGGTCCGCCCGCGTTGGGGTACGCTACCAGGGGGGGGCAAGAGTGGAGGCTTCCCCCGCGCTGCCCCTCATGGCTTGGAGGGGGGGGGGGTTACAGGTACAGCGCTTTCTCATCTCCCTCACCCCCTGTGACAGACTGCATTTGGGGGAAGGGCTTAGGTCAGCGTCTACCCCACTGTCTATCCACGCTGCGTGGCTCTTTCCTGCGTGGGCACCCTCTTCTGGTGGCCTGGCTTCACTTTCCGCGTTGAACCTGAATGAGGTCGAGGCAAGTGTAAGCGGCGCAACCTTGATGGGCTTCGTCTGAAAATATAAGATGACCGATCATCTGCTAGATGAATCCTCTTTCTTGTCGACTGCATGTACTTATAACGCTGCCCTTCTCATCCCTTCAGAGCCCTCCTGCGATGAGCACGTCCGTCGTGAGTCTAGACAATCCGTCTTCACAAGTCCGATACCCCTTGCGACAGTCGATCGTCAACTTTCGGGAATTCAACCACACCAAACATGATGGCATGCCTGGCCCGCGAAGTTACTTCCATCGAGCCGGTACGGTCCCAGCATGCATAGCAGGCCCAAATATAACGCGTCACCATAAAACGCCGACCCCATCCAGAGCACAACCTCCCAAGACGATCACGAACTGTGCCCGAACCAAACGGCGAGCATGTCCCAGATGCCGCGCACTCAACGGCCCCTCCCCAACACCTGTCCACCTCAGCCTTGCCGCCTCTGGTTGGCCGAAGATGCCCTCCCTGCACCAGAGGACCAAACGCTCCGGACGTGGCCCCGTCCTGCACCGGATCGCCGTGGAGCACACATGGGATCCATGACGTCGTCCATCGGGTTTCGTCCTCTTGTGGGAATCTCCCATCTCGAGAATGACGCGACAACGCGGTCACAACCTGTGGCAACACCTCGCACGTGTAGCCATTGCGAGTCCACAGATGCCGACTGTAGACCGCGGTGCCCGCAAATTTACCAGTTCTGACGTCGCGAAAGAAAAAAAAACATGACCCCTCTAGGAGCGGTTCTTGGGGGAGATGTCACTGCGATCGCATCGTGTCTATAACTGTCGAGTCGGCTGCTGCTATGCCTCGTGTTTCCCGCACAACTGTTGCAGTACTACTCATCTGATTTGCTACAATTGAGCCTTAGCGATACCCGATATACCCACGATACCTCACCAGCACTTATACCATCTTGCATCTCAGCGCCCCCAAATACAACCCTTTCAACATGGCCATGTCACAAGCAGCCTATGCGGCCGAGCAGGCCATCGGCCACCAGGGCGATGAGGTCACGGCCCAGGACATTTCGAATTACGAAAAGACGGGCGACAAGTCCGCCATGATGAAAGCTCTTGTGTGGCAGGGCAAGAACACGGTCGAGATTGTAGACGCAGCCCGCCCCAAGATCATCGAGGACCGCGATGTCATCCTCCGCGTCACCGGCAGTACCGTCTGCGGATCCGACCTGCATCTCCTCCATGGCGCCGTTGTCCAGCTTGCCAAGGGTGATATTCTCGGTCACGAGTTCTGTGGCATCGTCGACGAGATGGGTCCCGCCGTGAAGGGCATCAAGAAGGGCGCCCGCTACGTAGCCTCCTTCCAAATTGCCTGCGGTGACTGTTTCTTCTGCCGCCAAAAGCTCTCGTCGCAGTGCGAGAAGTGCAACTCCAACACCCAGGCCAAGGCTATGTACGGAACCCAGACGGCAGGCATGTTTGGCTACTCTCACTTCACGGGCGGCTTCGCTGGCGGCCAGGCCGAGTACGTGCGCGTGCCCATTGGCGACGTCAATCTTCTTGAGATCCCAGAGGATGTCCCCGACGAGAAGGCCCTCTACCTGTCTGACGTGCTGTCCACCTCTTACAACGCTGTCAAGGACACAGCCGTGTACGAGGGTGACAGCGTCGCTGTGTTCGGTGCTGGCCCCATTGGCCAAATGGCCGGTGTTTTTGCCCTCGAAGACGGCGCCAAGCGCGTCATCTTTGTCGACACGGAACCCCGTCTCTCCTTTGTCAAGTCCCGCTGGCCTGCCGCACACGCCGACAAGCTTTACCTCGTCGACTACAAAACGCTGTCCCACGGCGTCACCAACAAGCCGACCGTCGTCACCGCCCTGCGCGATCTCACCGACGGCCGCGGCCCCGACGTTGCCCTCGAGTGTGTCGCCGGCGAGTACCCCAAGGGCTGGGCCCACTGGCTCGAGCTTCAGCTCGGCCTCGAGACGGACACGTCGGAGATTGTCAACGAGATGATCGAGTCGGTGCGCAGCTTTGGCCGCTGTGGCATCACGGGCGTGTACGTCGGCTACACGAACCACTTCAACATTGGCTCCCTCATGGAGCGCGGCGTGCGTCTCATCGGAAACGGCCAGGCGCCCGTGCACAAGTACTGGAAGGAGCTGCTCGAGCGGCTCCAGAACGGATCCCTCGACGTCTACCAGATGCTCTCGCACCGCGTGCGCCTCGAGGACCTCGACAAGGTTTATTACAAGTTTGAGAAGCACGAGGAGAGCATGCAAAAGGTCTTTGTCGAGACAAAGTGGTCTCTGCCCCGCGCCGAGGGCAGTCCCGCGCTCACTTCGTACTAAGCGAGGCGTGGTCCATGTGGATGGGTGAGCGGATGGGACGTTTTGCACAGTATATGAGGATACTATTGTAATGATCTATGAAAATTACTTGGTCTGTGAACCAAAGCTTTCTTGAACAAACTGAAAATCATGACGCTCGTGGTCCCGTAAATTATGCTGCTGGGCAGTGCATGAGGAAAGAAAAAAAACAAGAAGAGCAGCTGTAGAGAAGTAGGTGGTGGAAGAGGGGGTGTATACACACGAAACTCCTATCCTTTGTGATAATCGCTCCGTTTCTGAGCCATGCAATCCAGACAAAAGAGAACACGCCAGCTCCGTTCGGTGGGGGGGGGGGGGGGGGTATCTTCCATGAGAAGGCCTGTTGACCTGTGGGTTCAAAAGAAATAAGAACAAGGAAAAATAAAACCAACGCCCGGATAGTCTGTTCCTCTCGAGACTGTTTCCTGGTGAGAAAGAAGAGTTTCCAACGGAAAAGAAAGGAGGAAAAAATGCAAATATGCAAAAAGACGCCATGCAGCCTCCAGGGAAAATTCATCATGAACCATCAAGCGCCGTTCTACCACTACTACTCTTCTTCGAGAATCTGCCGTAGGGCTTCGACATCGACCACGTCAGGCATCACCTTGCTCGGCGTGCCCCGCGTGCGGATACCCGCCAGATACTCCTGGAACCCGGGGATCGCGCCGGGCTGGTTGATGCCGGACGCCCGATGGAGGTCCCTCTCCTTGTCGGCCTTCTTGTTAGTCGGCGTCGGCGTGAGAGCAGGCGTCGGTGAGTGTTCGGGATCGTTCGGGGTGCTGGTGGTGGTGCTGCTGCTAGCAACGCCGCCTCCGCCGCCGCCGCCCCATGGCCGCCAGCTCGTCCATCGGCCCGGCTTGGCCGTGTTGCGTTGGCCCTCATTCAGGGTACTCGCTGGGGACAGGCTTCGGGTTGGTGTCGATACCACCCTCTGGCTTGGCAGGCCGGCCAAACTGTCCCGTAAGACAGCCGTACTCCGTTTGGTGGTCACGCGCGAAATGGTCGAGGATGCTGTTACTCCAGTGAAGACGGCCTCAGCACCGCCAAGAGGGCGCAGCGTCAGCTGGCTAGGTCGCACTTTGAGCGTATGAATGTCGAGTCCGCCAGCAAGGGACATGATGGACTCGTGAGATATGACGCGGTGCAGCCGGCGCTGTGGCTGCTCCTCGTCGGTGGAGAAGCTGTATTCTTCCTCCGTCGTGACGACTTCTGGCACTTCCTCGATGTCAGTGTCGTCCTCGTGAACCTCCTCACGGATAGGTTCTGGGCCCAAGTGATGTTGAGTGACCTCTAGTGTGGGGGCGGGCGGTGCGATCATGAGTTTTGTTGGCATCGATATACTCCTCGTCGACACTTCGGACGGGCGCTTGAGATGTGTCGCTCTCATCGTTGGGGACATGGGGTCCACGCTAGTTGTGGGCGATGCGGGCAAGTCCGAGTCGGGGAACTTGTCAAACATCGAGAACCGATGGCTCGTTGACTGCGGCGAGCTGGGTACCGACGAGGCTGCAAAGTCAGACTGCTGCTCGGAGAACATGGACCATCTGTGGGAGGGCGGTGCGGCGAGGCTCGAGGTCGAGTCGCGGTGTCCGTGGGTTGATATGGTTGGCGGGACGGGGGACGAGAGCCGCCATGGGTGGTTTCGGAAGGGCGTGACGGGCGTCGAGGCGCCGCTGGGGGGTGTAAAGATGCCTGGGGTGAGGCCGGCGCGCCTCTTCTTGGGTTTCTTGTTGTCGCCTTTGGATGCCACGTGGTAGTGGTGATGAATATGGAGTTCTTGAGAAAGTCGAGTCGTTGTGCCTGGCTCCTCCATCTGCGAAGGTTCCATCTCGGCGCGGAGCGTGGAAGCCGTGCTCGTTTCTCCCTCCCTCTCTCCCTCACCCACGGGTTGGTGGAACATGAGTTGGTCACGCAGGGCTTGGATCTCGTCGTTGGAGTTGGTCAGTAGCTCTCGCAGTTCAGCCATGCCAAGTTGCAAATTGGCATTGTCCTGCAGCAGGTCGCGAACAAAGTGGGACACGACACTGCTGCCGTTCTTGCCCTTGTCCAGCGACTTGGCCGCAGCAGCACCCTTGAGCCGGCCGGCTGCCGTGTTGAGCTCCTTTTCCATCTCGCGCTGTCGCTCGACGCGGCCCATGGCCTCGACGTGGCGCTCTCGCTCGTCCTTGGTTTCCTTTTCCATGCGTTCCAGCTGTTCTTGCAGCTCCGTGATGCCCCTTTCCGCCTTTTTCCATCGGTTCAAGGCGGAGCGAGACTCTGATTCGGTGCTGATGAGGGTGTTTTGCAGCTGCATCTGTTCGCGCTCGAGGAGAGCGACATGGCGTTCTAGCTCGGCTGCTCGGACAGCAGCGCCTTCGAGACGGCGGACAGCCTGTTGAGAGGAGAGCAGGGTGGCCTCGAGGCTCTGAATGCGCGTGTCGGAGCTGTTGACCGAGTTGTTGAGGGTCTCGAGCTGGTCGAGCAAGGCACGGTTCTCTTCAACAGTCCTGGCGTTGTCGGCTTGGAGTTCCCTCTTGTCCGTCTCGAGCTGCTCTATACGTGCGGTGAGTTCGAGGCGATCGCGCTCGGCGTCGGCCATGTAGGCCTCATGACGGGCGAGGAGCGCCTGGAGGGAGAAGGTCAGCGACATGTCCAACGAGCGGCATCCAATATCAACATGGTGAGGTGAGGTGAGGCGGTATAGAGAGACACGGACAGGCGCCAAAGCGAGACCAAACCAAGGGGGCGGGAAGGAAGAGAGGTGATGGGCGTGCCGGGCTAGAAGAAAGAGATGGGAAGGGAAAAAAAAGAAACATTCCAGATGACTCGAGATGAACGACTCGAGGAATGCGCGGAGTCGGTGATACTGGGACCGCGGTCGAGGCAAACAAAGGAGGACGCGGCGCATGGATGTGGCCTTGGAATGTGCTTGGTCTTGGCCAGGATGGTGTGGCGGGACGCGATGGCTCGCAGACAGGCATAGAGGGGGAAGGAGAGCGCGAGCGAACTAACCTGACCGAGTTTGGCGGCGGTATGGACATCCTGCTCGACGGTATCGAGGACATCGCAGCTGTGCTTGAGGTAGGCGCAATCGTCGTGGCCACAGCAGCAGCGCAGCGAGGCGGCGGGATCCTGGTGGGCATGGGGTGACGTCGGCGGCATGAGGCCGGCCAAGGCGTCGCCGCGAGGGTCAGACGTCGGAGCCATGAGCAGCGGGGGGTTCTTAGGGTCGAGGAACAGCAGGTGGTCTCGTCGGGTGTGGCATTGCTGTGAGCTCGCCGAGTCTTCTCTCCTCACTTTCGCTCGTTGCCGGTCACGCTGGATATATCCGATAAGGGGAAGCTTTTGCAGACAACCTTTTTTTTCCCACTCTGCCGACTGCTGCTTGGTTGGTGGCTCCCCGTCGAAGAGTGGGCTGCGGATTTGTTGTTGTGTCGGTGTAGAAGATTTGACGCGCCCGAGCGTGGAGGTTGGGTCGAGGTGCTTGTCGGCTCCTCACAGTACGATGCAGGTGACAGGGATTGTTCAGGGACGCCGGACTTGTCAAGATTAGGAGTGGAGATGCCGTGATGACAGGTGATCTGAGCTGTACTATGGCACGTCGACTCAGGGTGAAGTGAAAATTTCTGAAAAATGAAGATGTAGATGAGTGAGGGGTGGACACTAGCAGAGCGGCAGGAAAGAGAGAGAAATGAGGTCGAGACTAAGAGTGTCGAGGTATGAAGAAGAGGGAGGGGAGGGGGGGGGGGAAGACGCCAGAGGTCGTGGTGGTGGTGAGATGAGTCGGCCCTGGCTGAGCAGGAGGGTGGGTGAGTGCCTTCCTTGTAGCCCTTGTAGCCCTTGTAGCTTCCCGCCTTAGTTGTGGTTGAGTGGAGAAGAAATCAGGAACAGGTAGGAACAGCCAGAACGACAGGGCAGGGGTGGGCAAAAGGCAAAAGACCGACACACGAAGGAGGGGAAAGGCGGGAAGGGGCCAGTTCCTGGTGCACCCTGGGGATTCCGCTTGCTGTAGGGGCCCTGCGATTGCTGCGAACACCCAAGACAGGCCCCCCCCCAACCCTCTAGAGGCGCTGCGACTGCAGGCACTCGAGGGACAGTCCTGAGAGGCTGTGACCCAATCAATCGTGGCCATTGGCGCTAGTATGACGACACTAACGGGTGGTGAGGCCGCATCTGGCAGCCATGTTGATTCCCAACCACCGAGAATTGCTGCGGGTGTCCCGACACGTTCACACGTTTGTGCTGTTGGGTGCTGGATTGGTGTGCGACCGACCATGTATGGACTGTTTTCTGAGAATGACTAGTGAATGCCTCCTTCGTCTTCGCTTTCTACTGGCGTACGAGCAGCGGGTAGCACACGGACTGTCGCTGTCACGGTCGCCCCACCTCGATGCCAGCCGGTACGCTAATCCATATCGATACGTACCTCTACCATCCGCCCGGCTCCGCTTCCAGGCATGGATGGTCCTTCCTCGGACGGTCCTGCCTATGCGGATGGTCCTTCCTATGCGGACCTTGACTTGGACCAGGGTGGATCGTAACTTCCTCAAGATCTGATTCACGGCGCAGCATGGACCACGACACGAAATTGAGCCACCATCTGAGCCACGATTCGAAATCAGTCCCGCCACGATTGGCCCTCCACCACATGCCCTCAAACGTGCCCTCAACCCCAACAAGGTTCCAAGCTGCCTCCCCAAAGCTATCGCGACTGGCTTCATGATGCCGTCTCCAGAGGCATCCCCATCATCGCCGGCAGATGCTCCTGGCACAACAACCGACGCACCGCCCGCTGCTGCTGCTGGCACCGAGTCTGCTGCCGTTCATGGCGCCTCGCTGCTCATCACCCTGCAGATCGCCTCGCGCGCCCTCACCTTTCTCGCCAACCAGCTCCTCCTGCGCTATCTGACCGCTGCGCTCCTCGGCCTGTCTGCCCAGCTCGAGGTCTACTACCTTTCCGTACTCTTCTTCGCCCGTGAGAGCCTGCGCGTCGCCATCCAGCGCCAGAGCCCCTCGAGAGCCCGCTCCCGCACCCCCATCCACCAGGCCGTCGTCAACCTAGGCTACCTTGCCGTCATCCTAGGATGCTTTGTCTCTGTTGGCTTGGGCGCCCTCTACCTGTCCTCTGTGGAGCAGGCCACCCTCGAGACGCCTTATTTCGTCCTGTCCCTCCGCATCTATGGTGCCGCCGCCATCATCGAGCTGCTCGCTGAGCCCATCTTCGTGCTGATGCAGACGCGTCTCGAGTTCGGCACCCGCGCCAGCGCCGAGTCCATCGCCACCTTCCTGCGGTGCATCGTCACCTTTGCCGCCGCGCTTTCTGCCTCCCGGTCCGGCCTGCAGCTCGGCGTCCTTCCCTTCGCGCTCGGCCAGCTCGCCTATGGCGTTGCCCTTCTGCTCGTGTACCTGGGCGCCGGCGTCCGTCTCGCCTCGACCGCCGAGACGGGCAACAGCTTCTCGCTGCTGCCGCGTACACTCACCACCGAGGGGTCAGGTGCTGACTACGTCTTGTCGTACTTTTACCGCCCCACCCTCCGTCTGGCCTCGTCCATGATGGCACAGAGCCTCGTCAAGCACGTCCTCACTCAAGGCGACACCTTTCTCGTCTCCATCCTGTCGACGCCCCAGGCCCAGGGTGTCTACGCTCTGGCCAACAACTACGGCGGTCTGCTCGCGCGCCTCGTGTTCCAGCCCGTCGAGGAGAGCAGCCGCAGCTACTTCAGCCGGCTCCTCTCGGCGGGGCCGACGACGTCTTCTGAGACATCTGTCGAAAAGGTCGCACAGGCGTCCCCGGCCGCCGACAAGACACGCGGCAAGCCCCCCAAGGAAGCCGTCACCACCGCTGCCGCACACCTGCACACGCTGCTGCGCCTCTGCGTCCTCGTCGGCGCCCTCATCCTCACGGCCGGCCCCGCTGCCGCGCCGCCGCTCCTCGCCCTCGTCGCCGGGCCGCGCTGGGTCCGCGACGGCGCCGGCGCCGCCCTGGCCACGTACTGCTACTACATCCCGCTCCTCGCCCTCAACGGCGTCGCCGAGGCCTTTGTCGCCTCGGTCGCCACCGAGGCCCAGGTCCACGCCCAGTCGGCCTGGATGGGCGTCTTCTCGCTGGCCTTTGCCGCCGCCGGGTTCGTCTTCTTGCGCGTCCTCGGCCTCGGCGCCCGCGGCCTCGTCTTTGCCAACTGCATCAACATGGCCTGCCGCATCGTCTGGAGCCTCGCCTTTGTGCGCCGCTACTTTCGCGACGCCGGCGTGCCCTTCTCCCTCGCCCGCCTCGGCCCCGCCAACCTCACGGCCGTCGTCGTCTTTGTGGCGCCGAGGCTTGTCGAGATGCTCACGGGGATCACGGCGCAGAGCGCTGGCGGCATCAGGGACGTCATCAAAGTGGGCGTGGCGGCCGTTCCATTCGTGCTGCTAGTGTATGTTCTTTTGTGCTCCCTTCCCGCCCTCTCTCTCTCTCTCTTTTTCTCTCTCTTGATTCTCGAAAAGAATTGACATACATAACTAACATAACGCCTCTAGTTTATTCGCCGAGCGCGATTTTCTCCTGCAATGCTACCAAGCGGCCAGGAAAAGGAAGACAGAATAGACGACGGTCGTGTCCGCTGCCTTTCTTACATCAGTCTGAAGAAGAAACGTGTCCGGTCTGCCCTGCACATGGAATTTTCCTTGCATGTAGCGTCCGCTTTAGATACCCCCCCAATTCAGTTCAACTTAATCAAATACAATCTTGGTCGCCTTCTTTGACATGTCGACGTCCTTGAAGAAGGCGCCGTAGGTGTCGTGGGCCTTCTTCTTGACGGTCGTGCCAAACTTGAAGAGCTCGTCGGGGACGGGCTGGTTGGCACCCTTGAGAATGTTGATCAATCTGGAGCAGGGTTAGCGAGATATCCATGACTATCCGTAGTGCTGGGGAAGAAAGAAAGGAAAAAAAAAAAAAGACGTACGAGCCAGAGTGGGCCTTGTCCTGGACGGTAAAGAGGGTAATGGCCTCGCCCGTCTTGCCGGCGCGTCCGGTGCGGCCGATGCGGTGGACGTAGTCCTCAATGGTCAGCGGGAAGGTGACGTTGACGACGAGCTTGACCTCGGGAATGTCGAGGCCGCGGGCGGCGACGTCGGTGGCGACCATGACCGAGGTGGAGCCGGACTTGAAGGCCTCGAGGCTGCGGGTGCGCTGGTCCTGGCGCAGGTCGCCGTGGATGCCGCAGACGTGGATGCCGCGCTGCTGGAGGAAGCCCTCGACGCGCGTGGCCTCCTTCTTGTAGAGGCAGAAGACGAGGATGCGGTCGTGGCGGCCCTGGCCGGCCTGGTACTGGCGCAGGATCTGCAGCAGGCGCTGCTCCTTGTCGCGGCCGTCGACGACCTCAACGCGCTGCGTGATGCGCGTGTTGGCCTGCAGCTCGACCGAGCCGCTCGCCGTCTCCTTGCCGCCCGAGCCGATGGTGATCTTGACGGGGTCGACCATGAAGCTCGAGGCGAGCAGGCGCACCGACGCGGGCCACGTCGCCGTGAACATGAGCGTCTGGCGGTCCTCGCGCGCCGGCATGGCGCCGAGGATGGCCTTGATGTCGTCCTCGAAGCCCTTGTCGAGCATGCGGTCGGCCTCGTCGAGCACGGCGAACCGGCTGTGCGACAGGTCGACGGTGCCGTCGGACATGAAGTCCTTGAGGCGACCCGGCGTCGCGACGATGATGTCAGCGCCGCGCTGCAGCAGCCCGCGCTGCTCGTCCTTGGAGGCGCCGCCGTAGACGCACACGCTCTTGAGGCCGAGGTGGGCCGCCAGCTGGGCCGTCTGCTCGTGCGTCTGCATGGCGAGCTCGCGCGTCGGCGACACGACGACGGCCTTGATGCAGCGCTTCTTCATCTTGCTGATCGACTCGACGAGCGGCAGCGCGAAAGCCATGGTCTTGCCGGACCCCGTCTCGGCCACACCGATGGCGTCACGACCCGACAGCGTAAATGGCCACGAGGCCGCCTGGATGGGCGTCGGCTTGGTGTAGGCGGCAAACGGCGAGTTGGCGAGGAGGTCGGTGACGGGCAGCTGGTCGAAGGCGAGGACGGGACGCAGGTTGGTCGACTTGTCATCGCCGATGACAATCGACTGCTCGGCCAAGTAGGCGTCAATGTCGGCCTGGGGCAGCGCCGTCAGGGCCGCCGACTGTGTGTACGAGGCGCTCGCGACAGCAGCGCCGTTCTGTGACATGACCTTCTTCTCCTTCTTGTCCTTCTTTTCCTTCTTGTCCTTCTTCTCCTTCTTGGGCTTCGTCTCGGCGTCGGCGTCGACATCGGCCATGGGGGCATCCTCGCCAGCGGCGGCAGCCTTCTCCGCTTCTTCCCTGAGCCTCTTCTTCTCGCGCTTCTCCTCCTTGCGCTTCTTCTTCTCGTCCTTGTCTTCGCCGCCCTCCTTGGCCTCCTTGGCCGCCTTGGCCGCCTTCTTCTCCTTCTTCCTCTGCTTCTTCAGCGCCGCCGCCTCGTCGTCGCCCTCGGGCAGGTCCTTGACCTTCTGCTTCTTGCTGGGGGCCGCATCGTCGGCGGCGCTGTGGTCCTCGCTCTCGGCGAGAAGACGCTTCGTCGCAGCCATTCTGCAATGTCTGTTTCTGTCCGAAAGGAAGAAAGGGGAGGGCGTCTCTTTTCGTGGAAAAGGGCTACACAGAAAGCCTTCTTTTTTTTCCCGGGGCGATGGGACTGGCGGGATGGAAAGGCCGAGTGGGCTCGAACTGGCTGTGACGGGCAATGGGGCAATGGGCGATGGGCGATGGAGAAAAAATCTTTATCTTATCGTTATCGGGCGCTGTGAATGGCGAAGAGGCGGCGTCGGCGCTGGTGGGGGGGGGGGGTCAAAGGGGTTCAGGGTCTGCCGAGCGTTAATTGGACCGTGGCTGGGGGGATTCAACACGACGATTTGACCTTGGATATTGGCCTGGGCCTTAGAACTGTACCGGAATCTTGATTATAGAATGCAAACCAATACGTTACCACATTCCGCTTCTTAGCCAACTCGATACGTAAGAACAAATTTAGACAGTCATCGCTGAAATTCAACTACGTCAATGACCTGTTCATCAGAGGCTGACACAGCCCTTCGCCCTTCCTCCTCACCTTGACACATAAGTTCTAGGTAGACGCATTCTGAACGTCACACTTGACATGCAAGCCAACTCTGCATCTGGTCATCCAACTGCCAAGTGTCCCATGGCATAAACATCTGCCTAGCAGTAAAAATGACCAATTCATCGCTATTCTAGGGAGATCAAAATTCTATCGATGCAGTGCTCATCAGACTCCACCGCCACGGCAGTCAGTCACATATGAAAATTGTTCCAGAATCAAACATGAAAGAAAAGCTCGCTTGCCAATGACCATTCATGCAGATGCACCCTGTATTGAGACATGAGAAAAATAAGCTCGTAATGCACCAGACCATGCACATCTATGAAATAAGACACGAGAGAAAAGTGCCACGCCCAACCAAAAAGTCCCGAGTACCACGCGTACGTGGTAGAACTGCCGTCACGAAACGACCTCGGAGTCCCCGCCAGCATCGTTCTTTTCATGCTGCAGGTGTTTGTATTGTTGTAGTAGTTATTGGTACGGGCGTAGGGATCGCAGCGAAGCCCCAAACGAGTGATAGGCCGTGTAGGTTGGCACGCCTCCTTGGCGCCTTACATGCCCATGCCTGCGTTGGCCCCCCGTCGATCCATGAAGCGAATCGTGCTCCTGCTCCTGCTGCGGTTGCGCGGCGTGCGCGGTGTGCGCGGCGCGCTGAGCGCCGCTTCCGACTTTTGACGCTCGAGATCCACGTCCATGCTGGGCTCGGGGTTCTCGTCGCGCCAGTCGGGAAGCTGGTTGTTGTCGAACACGGGACGGGAGAAACGGTTGTAGGCGATAAAGGTCTCCTTGTCGCCCTCGATGGCGTTGGGTGGCGCCGCGACGTGGACCGACTTGCGGCGCATCTCGACAGCGTCATCCTGGATCGGCTGGACGCCAAAGTAGCCGTAAAGCGCGTTCAGGATGGGAATCGACAGGCCGTGAACAACAATGGAGAAGAGTGCGAGCCAGTAGACGACAGGAGACAGGGCACGGAGCAAGTCGTTCACTTCCGTGTCGTTCGTCTCGTCAAGATGGGGAAACAGGTGCTTCGTGTGCTCGACGTAGAAGGCGGCACCGACTCCAATCGGGCCAAAGTACCCCACAAAGAGGGCCTCCTTCCAGTTTCGAATCGAGTGCGGCATCAGCTTATAGGTGATCATAATGGCGGGAATGCGGCGGAACAGGAGGACGAGGAACCCCAGTCCAAAAAGGCGGCCGTAGGTGATGCCAGTATCCGCGTTCTGGAAGTCGGCCCAGGGGAAGATGCTGCCGAGGTACATGAAGCCGCCAAAGTTGAGAATGACGTCGATGCTCGAGTTGACTTCGTCGTGACGCTTGAGGGTCTCGGCAAGGTACTCGCCATCCCAGTTAAGCGCGCTACCGGCGGCGAAGCAGGCGATCAGGTCGTTGGTGCCGACGAGGCCAGCGCTGCCGATCATCAGGAATCCGAGGGCGAGGGGGATGAGCAGGTAGCTCTCGCTGTCGATCCACTTCCTGCAGGGCGATCTGTCAGTCAAACACGCTGCTGCCACAGATCACTCAGGCTCACCTCTTGAGGGAGAACTTGACCGCGAAGCGAGTCAGAGTTCCGGCTACAGCACCGTAAACGGCGCCCATGATCACGTAGTAGAGCAGAGTTTCGAGGAACCAGTTGCCCATGGCCACACTAACGCCGCCGCCCTGGCGCTCGACATCGCCAGCACGCCTGTGAAGACCGCCATCGCTCTCACCTGTCATCGATTGGACGCTGACGCCCTCGGCATGGCGGATGAGGTAGGTGGCGAGCATCAAGAAGGGAAAGCCGAATCCGTCATTGGCACCGGCCTCGGCGGAGATGACCTCACGAACGGGTCGGGCGACAAACTTGTCGGCAAACGGACCCTTTGCGACAGCTTGCGAGAGAACGGGATCGGTCGATGTGACACAGGCTGCGATGACCATACAGGCGAGCAGGCTCAGCTTGGGAATGGTCGCCAGGACGCAGACGGTGGTGCAGAGCCACATCATTGTCATGACGGGAATCAGGATTAGGGTCATGTCCTTCCAGCGGGCCATGGTGTATTTAGCGGGCAGTTGATAGCCTGCAATGACCAGCTGAATGCCGATCATCACTCGCATGACGCCCTGTTAGGGAAACAGTCAGTACTTGATGGCAACGAATGGGAATACTGAATAATACTGACCAGAGTGATTTCGGACGTCTGTCCTGGTTCGGGATTCCCCCATCGTTCTGATACTATGAACTTTGCTGCTATCGGGCCCAGGCAAATACCAATGATGACGGCCGGCACTGTTTGCGTTAGCACTGAGCGACGGCCTACTTCAGGGAGAAGCGAGTACGTACGGGCTTCACCCAGGTACCACTGGTTCTTGAACTTGACGGAAATCACTCCGTAAAGAACAATGAAAAGACCTGCAGTTGGCAGTCAGGGTCAGCATTGTCGGTGCAATCAGCAGTGACAAGGGTTGCGATCCTTGAGAATCCCGCCCTGACAGCTGCTTTGGTTCTTGGCATAAACGTACCCAAGATGGTCAGAATGCTGTTGAGGTCGCTGAGGCCGAGATCAGGCATGGTGGGCAACGTTTAGCAGCCCGCTGGACAAAAAGAAAATGCTGGCAGTGAAAGGAGTTGCGAGGAAGCAGGTCGTTAAGTCGTGAAGGAGCTCGACCTCACTAACAGCGGCAGCTCGGAAGGACGACGAGAGGGCCCGGAGAAGACGCGCGGAAAAGGCTGGCCACGCTAAGCAGGTGGATAGAAAGAGAGGCCGAGGAGAGGCTGCAGGACAGCAGCTGGTGCAGGGGGGATGAGAGGCAAGAGGCGAGTGACGAGGGTCTGATGTGGGGAAGACTGTCAGGCAAGCCGCAGGAGAGTGGACTCTTTCAAGTGATGACAAGAAGTCGGAGAGAAATCAAGGCCTGCTGGATTTCTTATTCCGCCGGGGAGTGCCACGCCAGCTAAGTACGGTGGTCGTGGGGTGGGAGGGATGGGGGCCTTGCCTGCCGTGTAGTGTCCTGCGCCAAACCGGGGCGAGCGTCGAAGGAGAGACAGAAGGCAGTCTTGGTTAAGACTTGTCGAAGAGAGTGAAAGAGAACGGCGATTCTGAGGCAAGGCTGGAATGCGTTGTTCTTGGGGTTCTCTGGGCGTGCAAGGCGGGCTGCTTATAAGAAAATAGCTTATTTCGTGAACGTCGTTTCCTTTGCAGCGATCCACAGGGAACCTGAGACTCCGAAATGCGACAGAATGGCTGTTGAATCGACTCGGACACCTTGGCGAGAGCCTCTGTGCAGAGTAACCCCGGTATCTGACTGGGTGAGCGACGGAGGTGACGACAAGAGCGTCTGTGTGGTGGAGGGGTTTGAGGGAGGCTCTACTGGTATCTCCCTGTTGGGTTTGCTGTCGTATCGTCGTAGTATTCTTTTTTTTCCAGGCTAATAATATATCGGACTACGCTGATACATGCAGTGTGGGATGATTTGCAACGGCATGCAAGATAAGCCAAGGCTGATCAAGACAAGGCAAGACAAGAACAGTGAGGGATGCTGGGTATCAAAGGACCAGGGAAGGTGACTCGAGACACTCGGGATGTGAAAGAATCGGAGAGCAGTCGAAGACGGGAGGCGTTATGGGTGGGCGATCTGTTGTTGTTTGAGGCGGAGGTCTGGTCAGGGAAGAGAGCCAATGTAGAGGCACGTCGCAGCCCGAGGCACTGATGAGTGATGCAAGGCGCCAACCCAGGGACGATGTCGAAGACGAGCAAGGTCCGGGATGGATGGGACAGGAGACGGGACGGAAATCAAAAGAGGCGGGCCACGTTACCCTGTCTGGCGGGCTTGCTCCGCAGCATACCAGGAGCCAGAACCAAGGGCAAATACGTGGAGACTTCGGGATGATGTGCGTGTTCGTTGCAAGTTTCGAGAAAATCTAGGGGGGTGGAGGAGGGCAGGGCCGGTCAGACCGGCGACGTTTTGAAGTATCGAAGCAACAGTAACAGCACGGCGGCAGTGCAGTGTTGCTTGCGTATTGCGTGAACGTTGCGTGATATGTGCTGGACGTGGTATGGAGCTGTCTGCCGATAATGCTGCGGGAGGCGATGAGCAAAAGGAGAAAACAGGAATACGTATGTCAAGGCTTCATGTCAGAGCTGCCCCCGCCTTGGTTAGTATTGGTGGTGGTGGTGGTGGTGCGTAACCAGTTGCACATCTTTTGTGGGATGTCTCTGTTGCTGTCACATCCCTTTTCTGTGCTCTCATGCTGCGTCCCCCGAGGCCACGAGCCAGCACGCGGAAAGGACGGATGGATCATTTCACGAGATCTTGCCCGGTAGCCCTTACATCATGGGCGTTCTCGAGGACGGGCATATGGACCAGAGTACGTAGCCTCAAGGCCTCAAGCACTGCCGTGCGTGGTAGCGGACTGGCGACTGCGACGACGGCGGACACCAGGTACAAGCACAGGCACAGCAGGCACAGGCACAGGCACAGCGAGAGCGGCTGGCTCGCCCTCGGGGCGTCCATGGCTTGCGGTGAGACTGGGGCACAAGACCAGGTCAGCAAATTATTCACACAGCCAAGCATTGGCACGTAAGGGGATGCAGACCAGTCTAGTCGTGTGAGAGAGAAGCGCGAGTGAGAAGGGGCGGCCTTTGGGGGGGAGGGCCGTCGATCGGCTGACGAGTGGTGATGTTGCATGATTCCTGATTCCTGATTCCTGATTCCCACCAGGTCAGCGCTGGGCGGCGGGTGCTGGGCGCTGGGCGGACATCTCGGCGGAGACTGGGCAGCTCTGGGCGTCGGGGGATATTGGGAACACGAAAGACGGCCGGGAAGGGATTGCGTAGCGGGGGCCAGAGCAGCAGCGCCAGTAGCAGCAGGCTGAGCAGGCGGTGATGATCGCTCCTGAGGCGAAACCTGACGGCGAGGATGGAGGCACTTGGCGAGCTTGGCTGGCGCAGGAGAAGAATGAAAGCGAGGGTTGGCAACTTGGCGCAGCATTGGCATGGTATTGGCAAAGCCAAAGGCGGCGGGACTGCCCAGAAGATAAATGCTTTCCAAGGCTTGGGAGGTCTTGGGCCGTCGAGGTGGTGGCCTCTGGCCTGTCGGCCATTAATAGCGCAGCGTGAGACGCGTCCGGAGCGTTGTTTCTGTTTCTCTATTTCCGCCCGTGGTCTCGCAGCATGCTGAAGAGACGAAACAAGAAGGCCGGGACTGGGCTGCGTGGCTCCAGTTCGTGCAGACGCCAGCAGAGTGGTCGGTCGACGTCGGATCAAGGTAGAGTTGATTGTATGCTTAATCTGCTAGTGTCCACGTACCAGGGAGGGCGTGGCATCTGCCGTGTTTTGTATAGTCTCGACTGGCATGGTATGGAGAGGGGGGAACATGGGCTACGGGAACACGGCACTGGAGAGGAGGGACGATGGTGTTTCTCTCTGCTCTGTCCCGCGCTTTCCTGCCTGCGCTCTCCTTCCTGCACTCGCCTCGCCTGCTGTGGCCAAGATGTGGCTCAAGACGTTGTGGCTGTCCATGTGCCTTCCTGAATGTGTCTTCCTCGATATCCCTTTCTGCAAGGCAGGACCACATTGCCAGAGGCCCCGCTAAAGGAGGCAGAGACCGGCGTCTGGTTGGTCGCATCTCACCATCTGCCCTGTCGAGCCTGTTCGAGTCATGCTGGCCCCCTGTGATTCGCCAGACGCTTGGCACCTTGGCGTCTATCGCTTGGGCGCCTCTTGGCGCTTGGCGTCCTCCGAGAGCCCCTCGTCTTTCTGGCCTTCTGGCCTTCTGGTCTTCTGGTGCAGACTGATATCTGAAGCTTCAAGCACGGCACGACAGCATTGCCGTGGCTTGGAGATGCTGCGGAGCTGATCAACACTGGAACTTTGCTCTGCCATCATGAAACCGAAACCCGTTGTTTTTGGAATTCGTCTATTAACAGCTACCAACAGCGTCCTCCCCAACGCAGGTACCTTGCCTGATCCGCCTGCAAGCCCTCTCTGCCAACGCACTACGGAGCATATCGGACACGAGAAGCCCGGTCGCCGCATCATCAGCCCGAAGAGAGATGAGACAGCTGTGGACGGACCAGTTGCCTCACCTGGTGGCGTTGCGCGCTTGCGCCCTCGACGAACCTCCTTGCCGTCTTCGCAGTCTTCGGCGTAATGTCAGACACATCTGTGACTGATACGCCCTTGTCAGACCTTCGCCATGTTGGGGACTATTCTGACGTTATTGCCCTATGACTTTGGGAAGAAATCTCGCGCACAGCGCCCCTTCTGGGTTTGGAAGGCCCGACAGCCGGAAGCGAGCCAAGCCTTCCATCTTCCCACCTCTGCATCTCGATAGAAGGAGGAAATATTGACGGCTTGACCAGCATTTCGCACGACTTCCTATCATATGATGCGAAAGCCTGGTGATGTATCCTTCGCCTGATTCAGCAGCACATCATATCGAGTCAAATAACCGTCCTGGTGCTGTCGCATTCAGCCTGCCTCCTTCAAATTGAAAGTCAGCCGACTATCCACAGCAACGCAGAGAACGGGCCGTCAGCCATGTGTTAACCCCTCATAGCAAGTGCAAGGCGCCATTCCGACAGGCGGTCTGTCAGTCCGTCGTCGTCCGGCCCTCGCACCAGTATCACCACACGCCCCGCATCTTGAGGTTCCTTCCCCTCTGTTCTTCTCAAAGACAAGCTTTACGCTCCATACCTGATGTACGACCTGGTCCAACGAACATGGCATGCGGTATGACGTTCTCGATCCGATGGACACTCGCAATTGGGTGTCTGCATACGCGACATTCCCCATGTTGAACGGGTACGGGCATGGTTGACTTCCACAACGTGCTACAGAGGCCAGCCACCGAGATACTCGAGTTCTCTCGGTGACTTGGCGAGTTGGCGACTCCTGATGCGGTCACTGGCATGCATCGTTTTTGAATGATGCCGTGGTCATTGAAGGAGATCTTCAGACTTCTATGATGCCTAGCTGGGATGACATGATGTCGAGGAAGCGTGCTCTAGCACCATCCCCGATGCTGAGAGCGTGGATGTGAAGTCTTGAACCACAAGAAAAATAGTTCGTTTTCGGTTCCGTTGATACCAGGCTTGCTTCTAGTACCTCACCTGGGCGTGCGCTGCGATCAGAATAGCGTCATCTTGAGGTTCTTCAGCACAAGACCGCTCAAATGTTTCTTCAGATCCTTTGTGCTTTTCTGAGCTCACCAAGTCGTTCTCAAGATCGAGCATGTCATCGGAGCCCACTAGGATCGCTTTCAAGACTGCCGCCACGATCTTGACGTCCACGCATTTGTATGATGGTCAATGATATCAAAACCTGGTTAGTAAACTCACGCGTGGCAGTCTGTGATCAGCCCTTGACGGCCGCACGCAGGCTTCGTCCTCCCCATTCCACTGTGAAGGAAACTCGAGAGGCTTCTAGAAGGCATCACAAGAGCTTCTCTTCGCGTCACATCCAGTAGCCTGCGCGAACGAGGCTACACAGTTCAGACCACATACTTCCGTGCAACACTGCCAGGCCAGTACATCGACCCGTCCAGCATCGTACACATCGCCATGCATGTCAGACCTCGCTGGCAATATCCAACTTCCCCATGATGTTCCTCCGTGAGGAAAGACAAGCTCTGCTAGCCGCCCATAGCACAGAACCAGGTCATCCATCGTGTCTACAAGTGCGCCCCTGTCCCCGCTTCGTGCCGCGAAGATCCTCGATGCCCTCGTGCCCCCGTGTAATAGCATCGCACCCGCCCGGGCACCCATCGAGTCTGTCCCGCCATGCAACTCTGTCAGGCCGTCGGCCGTCCCAGCCTTTACGGCCTCGGCATCCGGCTCGCCTTCTACGTGCAATGGTTCGGCGCCCTCGCAGCGGAATACATCGAGATCGCCGACATGTGCGACGTCCGCCTCCTCGGTCTTCTCCTCTCCGCCGCGACGCTCCTGGGCCTCGTCGCCCAGCTTGCTGCCGCGCACCTGGCGCCCATCGACGTCTACATCGCGCTCCTCCTCGTCACGGGCATCTACCTGCCGCTCGCGCCGCTGTGGCTCTGGAAGGCGGCCACGCGCTGCCACGCGCGGTACGATCCGCTGCGCTGGTCGCGCGAGACGCCGAGCCCGGCCTTCAGGGGACTGGACTTTGCGCTGCTGCTCGCGCTCGCGGGCCTGGGGACGTGGTTCTGGACGAGTCGCGTGCCCGGCGGCGACGACGACGCGTGCCGCAGGGCCCACGTCGGCTTCTTCTTTGCCCCCGTGCGTCTGGGCAACAGGCTGTTCATGGCGTTTCATGCCCTGTTGTACATCGCCACCATGCTCGTGTGCGCGGGCATCATGCTCGTGAAAGCAGGCTGGAGAATCCCCGTGTGGCAGGAGCGTCGCAGGCGGCGGAAGACGAGGTTCGCCCTCCGTTTTTCTTTGGGGGGGGGCCAATGGATTCTGACCCGAGCGCTGACGCTGTGCTAGACGCCTCCACATCGCCTTCATCCGAGACGTCAAAACCTTGGTCAAGCTTGCTGTCCTGGCGACCCTGACGGCTGCCGTCGAAATGACCATTGTCTGGAACCGCATACCGGACGTGAACGACGTCGCCGATGCTGCGCAGATGATCCCGTTGGTTGTGGTCATCGGGATCATGGTCAGGGCGGTGTTCCTGCATTTCGCCAGGGCAGAGACCGCGTCGGAGACGTCGTCAGGTTCGAGAAGCAGGGGCCAGTTGTCGAGGCGAAGCAGCGTGGCCGAGTCGCGGCGGTCTTCGGCTTCGCGGCATTCGGGGTCGGAAGGGCCGGATATCACGAGACGGCCGCCCCCTGTGCATGTTCATTAAGGAGACTAGATCGTCGAGACCGTGGTGCTCAAACGCGAAGCATGTGACTTGATCGTCTGGTTTGGGTTCTCTGCCAGGCTGATAATTGGGGCCATAGGGAATCTCTTGACTTGCAGGAGGGGATTGGTTCGGCAAGACTCATCTACCATGTGGATCAGAGGTTGACATTGATCGCTACTATGCACTGAAGGATGCCCGGTGCTGATGTCAAGTGATGATAGCGTCCAGAGGCAGTCATGCCCCGGCGTGCCGTGCTCTGCGCTCAGGTGAAGTCGATTGAACTTGGGCAGATCAGTCTTGTCGAAAGCAACATCACACAAATCCGCAACCTTCACATCACTGGTGGATAACCACCAACCTGCCCAACAACCTAGCAGGTAATGCAACCAAGCAGTAATGCAACCAAGCAGGAATGCAACACAGCAGTAATGCAACGCATGCGTATTCTGTCCAGTCTCCTGAGTGAAGTCTTGTTGATCTGTACATGTCCACCGTCAGACCTCCAGCAACAGCTGTCCTACCAGTCGTTTTGCAGCCTCATGCGACTCCCTCGCTGAGGGGAGCCACAAGCCAATAGCAAATGTCCGCGAAGCAGATGAAATTCCATGTTGAATCCAGTTTCTCCCTGTAACTCCGGTATCATTGAACCTTTCCGTTCGGCAGCAAAAAAACCACAACCACCCGCCTCGCCATTCCAAACTCCCGTCCCCAAGGCGACGCACGCACACACAACCATCTTCATCATCGTACAGCAAAGCAACCCGCTCAGGCGGTGGCGGCGACGGGGGCGGCGGCGTCGGCCAGGGGCGTGGTCTTGCCGGTGCCGGCGAGGTTGGTAGTCTTGGCCTTGGGGTTCTTGGTGTAGTAGTCGGCAATGGCGGCCTTGATGCCGTCCTCGGCGAGCATGCTGCAGTGCAGCTTGACGGGGGGCAGCTTGAGCTCCTGGGCGATCTGGGTGTTCTTGACGCGGCCGGCCTCCTCGAGGGTCATGCCCTTGACGAGCTCGGTCAGGTAGCTACTTGAGGCAATGGCGCTGCCACAGCCAAAGGTCTTGAACTTGACGTCGGAGATGGTGTTGGTGTTGGGGTCGACGCGGATGTTGATCCTGGGCAGGTTAGCATGTGCCGATGGGCAGGAGCGAGCGATGGTGACGACTGGGACATGCCGCGGTGTGCATGGTGTCGGGAACGGAAACGTCAGAAACAGGAAACGTACTTCATGACATCGCCGCAGGCCGGGGCACCGACAAGACCGGATCCGACATCGTCACCTTTCAGGGTGCCGACGTTGCGTGCTGCCCAACACCGACGTTAGCCACTGGTTGCCAAGTGTGATATCAGGGGTCGGGGCAGATCATACGCCTTGAGTAGTGGTCGAGGACCTTTTCGTGGTAGGCTCTCGTCGCGTTGACGGAGACGGCAGGGGCGAGCTGGCGAGGGGCGATGGTGGTCGGCCGGATGGGCGTCGAGAGGACGGAGCGCGAGGCAGCGCGGAGAGTCCTGGAAAGCATTGTGGATATGGGGGGTGTGTGTGTGTGTGGCTTGCTGTTGTGTTTTAGTCTCGCCTCAATGATCAAAGAACTAGAGCGATGAAAATAGGTGTCGGACTGATGGCGTGGTTGAGTTTCCGGCACGAGGCGTAGGATGTGGTGGTGTTGAGGGGATGTTGGAATGGCAAAATCCTAGGTCCGCTAGCAGGAGGCGTCAGAGGGAGGAGGCGAGGATAAGAAATTATGGGAGTGCGGGACTTGCAGTGACGGAGAGGCAGCGCGGCGATCTCGGTGGTGGACAGCTGCTGTGGCCAATCAACACACCCGATTATCGGTCATTAAGTCATTATTTGCTCGGCCCTCGGGCGTCGATGACGGTCACGTGGTTCCAGGAGAAGATTCCCCGGATTTTTCTCACTTGCTTGATAATCTGATAAGAGAGCTTCTGCCGTGATAGGATGCCTCTGTGTCCACTTGATGGCCGAGTTGAGGCTAGTGGCGAGGAGCCCTTCATGCAGGGTCGAGCCGAGAGAAAGCTCAACTGGCCGAAGTCTGTGAATGTGAAGGCTTATCGTGCGCGTGCATCTCCGTTGATGCTCCGTGACAATGCGACATCGGTCTTGACCGGAGGATGACTTTTGATATGGAGTGCGGGGTACGATTGCTATTGTTCTCTCTCTTCTGTTGCCTCTGGCGGTATGGTGAAATTGTATGCAAGTTTTTTGTCGTGGCTCAGATGCCATGTGCCTCTTCCTCTGTGTCATGAAGCTAGGCTAGTGCTGGTACAACATGTTTGCGCCAGCTTCATCGTCCCCGGAATTCATTTCTTGTGTTTTGAGAGCAACAACAAGGGAGTCGAAACAGAAACAAGAGGCATAAAATGATATTGGTACACCTTGGTATGTGTGACTGAATTATTTGCTGTCCTGGAACTCAGATAGGGCATATCCATGCCGAAAGTCAGTAGATACCGTCCTCGAAGCATGACATGAGCCACAATACGTGTCGCTCGAATCAGGAGACTACCTTGGGCTGGGAAGAAGAGGATCCTGGAGTGCGTCGAGAATAGTACACATCGTGCGTCGACCTGCGAGCAAACTTGATATCAAATTGAGCACTCATCTGACACAAAAGCAGTGAATCTGGTCATGGGAAAGCCGAGACTCTCTGTGCGGTCGAAACCAGGTGGCAGCTAGTGCACACCTCGACGCAGGGCGACAGCTCTGGCGGCTGGCGGGGTCTCGAGCTGTCCAAGCTGCAGCCCTGGGGCGCATTACGTACATGCGGGGCACTGGCATCCACCACGCAGACAGACAACCACCACCGTCACCGACAAGCCGTGCAGCAACACCAGGCTGACAAGGCAACGTTCGAACCTGCTAGAGCTCTGCAACTTGGTTGCCTTGGAGTCTGCCTACCGTCTTATTCTACCCGATTTCCTCCTCTACCCTGCTTCTTTCCCCGACGACTGTCCCTGCCGCCTCTCACTACGCAGAACGAACCCCCACTACTAGGCACAAACCATCGCCACAGCTGGCAGCGCCTTCAACACAGAGAGCTGCACAAACATGGCGTGTCCTCACCTTGACTCCCTGAGTACGTCAACCACGTTGCAGCAACCGCCTGTCATCCTATACCTCGATCGTGACTGACATCGTGCCCCTTGCAGCTCTCAGGCCCCCCACCGCCGCCCAGTTCGTCTATCGAGAGGACTGCACGCAATGTTTCGACTCGATCGATGACGCCGCCGGCCTCGACGTCTGCCTGCAGTGCTTCAACGGCGGCTGTGCCGGTGAACGCAACCACGCCGCGCTGCATCGTGCCTTGTGGAGCCACCCGCTCGTGCTCAACATCCGTCGATCGCGCAAGGTCGTCGTGCGGGACGAGCCTCCCTTCAAAATGTCCAAGCTCGCCATCGCCGCCGAGACGGACGAGGACAGGTACGACACGCAGACGACCGTCAGGTGCCTCGAATGCAGCACCGAGCTGGACCAGACGAGCGAAAAGCTGGCGCCTGTTGTCGAGGGCATCCTCAAGGCGAACACCTTTTCGCGGAAGGAGGAGGTCAAGGCCTGGGAGCAGGAGCTCACGAGCTGTGAACACATCCTTCTGCTCCAGCAGTCTGAGGGCCGGACCATCGAGCCCGCGGGCCTCGGTCACTGCTCGAGTTGCGATCTGAAGGAGAATCTCTGGCTCTGTCTCGAGTGCGGTGCGCTCGGCTGCGGCAGAAAGCAGATGGGCGGCGTGGACGGCAACTCGCACGCCCTGGCGCACGCAACCGACTCTGGTCACGGCGTTGCGGTGAAGCTCGGCTCCATCACGCCCGAGGGAACCGCTGATGTCTACTGCTACAAGTGCGACGACGAGAGGATCGACAGCCATCTCAACCAGCACTTGGCGCACTGGGGCATCATCCTGGCCGAGCAGCAGAAGACGGAGAAGAGCTTGACGGAAATGCAAATTGAGCAGAACCTCAAGTGGGATTTCAGCATGACCAACGAGGACGGCCAGGAGCTGAAGCCTTTGACCGGTCCGAGCCTTACGGGTCTGAAGAACCTGGGAAACAGCTGCTACCTGGCGAGCATCATCCAGTGCCTGTTTGATATGCCGTCGTTCAAGACGCGCTACTTCCAACCCAACCTCGACCTGCCCGTCGTCGAAGACCCCGCAGCCGACCTCGAGACACAATTGCGCAAGATTGCCGACGGCCTACACTCTGGCCGCTACTCCAAGCCCGACCCCGAAGCGCCCGTGTCGGACGAGACACCCCACCTCACATACCAAAAGGGCTTGGCCCCCGCCATGCTCAAGCACCTCATCGGCCGCGGCCACGCCGAGTTCTCCACGATGCGCCAGCAGGACGCATTCGAGCTTCTGCAGCACCTCTTCAAGCTCATCACCCGGACGAACCACCCCGCCGGCCTCCAGGACCCGACCCAGCAGTTCCGCTTCGTTCTGGAGCAGCGCCTCCAGTGCACAGGATGCAAGAAGGTGAGGTACACGACCAACGAGCAGGACAACATCTTCATCAACGTCCCCCTCGAGAAGCTCCCCGCGGCAGAGGACGGCGAGGCCAAGGGAGACCAGTACGCGCCCGTCACGCTCAAGGCGTGCCTCGACAACTTCACCGCCGAGGAGGCGGTCGAGCTGACCTGCTCCTCCTGCGGCAGCAAGGACGGCTACACCAAGAGGTCCCTCTTCAAGACGCTGCCCGATGTGCTCGTCGTCAACGCCAAGAAGATGGCCATCATCAACTGGGTGCCCGTCAAGATCGACGTCCCCGTCATCGTGCCCGACGAAGCCTTCCCCCTGGACGCCTACCTCTCGCCGGGTCTCCAGCCCGGCGAGGAGCAGCTGGCCGAGGAAGCCGAGAGCAGAGCACCGTCCTTTGAGCCCAACGCCGAGGCAGTCGTCCAGCTCGAGGCCATGGGGTTCCCGCGGAACCGCTGCGAAAAGGCCCTCCACGCCACGGGCAACGCGAGCGCCGACTCGGCCATGGAGTGGCTCTTCGCCCACATGGAGGACCCCGACATCGATGCGCCCCTCGACCTCGGAGGCGCCGCGGCCGGCGGCGACACGGCGGATCCCGAGAAGATTGAGATGCTCGGCGCCATGGGCTTCGGCGCGCCCCAGGCCAAGAAGGCGCTGCGCGAGACGAGCGGAGACGTCGAGCGGGCCGTGGAGTGGCTGTTCAGCCACCCCGATGACCAGGGCACCTTTGACGACGAGGCTGCCGCGCCTGCGGCGGAGAGCGCCAAGCCGGCCGAGCCTGCGGGCAGCGCTGCCGTGCCGGCGAATTTCCAGCTGCAGTCGATTGTGTGCCACAAGGGCACGAGCATCCACGCTGGGTGAGTCGGATTGCTACTTTTTCTACGTCGTGTAGGATGCTAACTCGTTGTAGTCACTACGTCGCCTTCATCCGGCAGGCGGGCGATCACCCGTCGTGGGTGCTCTTCAACGACGAAAAGGTGGTCGAGGCAGGCGAGGTCGAGGAGATGCGCAAGTTTGCGTACGTCTACTTCTTCAAGAGGGCGTAGGGGCGCTGCGTGTGTGTGTGTATGTGTGGGTGTGGATGGTTGACATGGCGTTGAGGTTGCATCTGCATGAAAGCAGGAGGGACAGGAGGTTGGGGCAGCATGAGCAGCGGTGCAGGGGTTCAAAAAGCAACAAGCATGAATGATGAAGTCGGATGGCAAACACGCGGGCAGAGGGAGACGGTGGCAGGAGGGCCTTATTTTTTTTTTTCGCGCATAGGCTCGATCCATTTCACGGCGAGCTGCGCCGTCGGTAGCTGTGATAGACATGTGATACCTTTCCGTCGAGAGATGATGGCCTGTCCTCGCGTGCCAGTTTGTGGAGAATGATAGAGATGAACATGTCAAACCAAAATGGTGTCAACGCCGTACGCCTGCCTGCCTGATTCCTCTAACCCAAGCACCTTTCAACCTATATCCTCCCTTATTCTTCGGCACTTGGCAAGCCCATACCCGTCCGTCTGTCGAGAACTAGAAATAAAACAGCCCGTGGCACTCCCCCCCACGCCCCCATCTACTCGGCCAGGCGGTAGCTCACGAGCGTGTCGACGCGGTGGTTGCTCGTGCTGAAGCCGCGCAGCTGGACGCGCTCGGCGTTCTCAATCTCCTTGGCGTCGCTGTCGCCCCACTCGACGGGCACGTCGCTGTCGGCGTCGGCGTAGACGAGCACGTTGAAGGTGCAGTCGCCGTCGAGCTGGGGCAGGAAGGTGACGGAGGCGGTGATCTGACGGAAGATGGCGGCGATCTCGTCCTGGATTTCCTTTTCCGTCTTCTCGGGCGCGTCTTCGGTGCTGGCAAGGGACGTCAGTCTTGGGTGACAGATGATTCCAGCTCAGGAAGGAAAAGGAAAAGGAAAAGGGACGCTGAACGGCATGGTGCCGTCCTGGGGTCGGGACGTAACTCACACGGGCGCGGCGTTCTCCTGGTCGGCCTTGGCGGCCTTGGCCTTGGACGACTTGTGCTGGTTGAAGATTTGGACGTCAAACTGCCAGCGCTCGACGTGCTCGCCCGTGTCCTTGCTCGTGATGACGATGACGAGCTTGGAGATCTTGCCGTACTTCATCCAGCGGTCGAGCTGGCCCATGATCTTCTTGATGTAGGCGCGGACCTGGTCGTCGGAGGAGACTGCTGTGGCTTAGCAAAGGAAGGGTTCGGGTCATTGGCTATGTGTTTCTGCAGACGGACCGAGCATGTTGAGGCCATATTTCTTGACGCTGGCGGAGTGAGGGTCAGCAGGTTGTCGGCGAGGTCGGGATGGAGGGGCCGACATACACTGAGAAGTCTTCGGCGGGGTAGACACCTCGTTGGAACCTGGCGTTGGTCAGCGGTCAATCTCTGCGCGAGACTAGACAGTGCTCATCGTACAGAATGGTGTGGATCGAGTATTGGAACTGCAGGTGAGGTATCGTCAGCGTTTCTGCGTTGCAAGACGAGCGGGAGCTTCGAGTGTGCGACGACATACGAATTCGGCAACAAGCTTGGCGCTGCCCCTCAGGGCGAGCTTGTGCACCTTGGAGGCATCTTTGTCTTTGTCTTCCTTGGGTGCCATGGTGTCTTTTTTTTTTCTTTCTCGCGCGGCTGTCGCTGTCGGAAAGGGGCTGCTCGGGGCGGTGAGTCGCGGGAGCTGTCAATGGACAGGCAGGTGTGAGGTTTGGTTTGGCTCGGTTTATTGACTTTGGGTGGATTCTCGGAGGCCAGCAACGACAACCCAGCGGGCAGTGGGCAATGGCAGTGGGCAATGGCAGTGGGCAGCGGTCAGCGGGGTTGGCCGCAGGGGCCAGGGCCTTCCGCTGTGGGGCGGCCCCTGGTACGATCGACCCTAACCCGGGCAGAGCTCTGGACCTCGACGACATCTTGCCATTTGCATCTGGTTGACTGGTGAGCCATGGGCTGAATGGATGCAACACAACCACATGCCTATTTCTATCAAATCGTCCCATCTAGCATCGCGGCAGACTACTCTGAAGCTCAGCCAGCATTCCCGCATGCCCATTTTCACCACCACTTTAGTCTACAATCGGCAAACCACGCTCTCCAACCCCACCCCCACCACCAATTCTCGCCATGACCGCCCTTTCATCCCAGAGCCAGGACTACAGTATCCTCCCAAGTCTCTCGTTGGCCAAAGCAAACTCGAGAGTCTTTGTCTTGAGAACAGCCTCATCCCGACGTTACCTTTTCCGGATGCCCAAATTGATCGAAGCCAGACGGCCCTTGTTGTCGGGATTCTCGACGAACAAAGGATAGCACATCCCCCATTGTCACGCCTTCCTCAGAAACCATCCTTTGCCAGGTGTAGCCTACCCGAGATCTCGCTGGAATGAAGGACAAGACGCCATGTGCTTTCCAAGCTCAGGCGATTCAACAAAGGTTCTTCTAGCATTGCATGTGCCCTCCGAGGCCCAGCAGCAGCTCGCCATGACGGCGTCCAGGTGATCCTCATAAGACCATTGGTCCTGCCATTGGTATCGGAACCCAACGATTTCCCTTGTTCCTAACAGTCGTCTCACGAACCGAGCCATTTTTCTACAGAACGGCAAGATACCACGGCTAACCAATGCGGCCATGTGCATCCGAGACGTACGCATCTATACATGCCTCGGCGAGGAGGAGCGCGACGTCAAGACGCACGTCGAGAAGGTCAATATTCTCTGCGCCGCCCTCGAACCCTGTCCCGCCGACCTCTGGGACCGCCGCGAAACCCGTCATCCCTACGGCTGCCCCTCATGCACCGGCCGGTCGTCTCTCGTCACGCCCGCCGGCCTTCCCGACGTTGTCGTGACCTGGACAACACCTCGCGACGACGACGTTGATGCCCAGTTTGCCGACCGCTACGCCAGTGACTGGGCCTCGTACATGCGGCCCCTCATCGGCTGTCTCCTCACCCACACCTGGGGACCCCGCGGCGCTCTCTCCTGGGACGACATTTACGCCGCCTACGCCTGGCTCACGCGCGAGACGGCCTGCAAGGAGCACAGCCACTGGCTCAACCGCTGCCGCTGCGACGCCAACGCTTCCGACGTCAAGCGGTTCCTCTACAACCCCGCCATCGCCTTGCGCACCATGGCCGCCACGCGCGCAGGCCAGCCGATCCGCGACCTCGTCTACCGGCGCGACGCCGTGCACCCGAGCCGTCATGCAGAAGTCATCGAACGGGCGACTGCCGAGGCGGCGAGCGAGACGCGGCTGCGCAGGGAGCATGCCGAGCGCAAAGAGGCGTTCCCGTTCTTCCGCGACGGCCGGGCGCGGTGCCAGCCGTACTGGGAGGCGCAGTTCAAGTTTCGCACGACGCTGCTCGAGCACCAGGCGCGCACGACGCTCCTGCTCGAGGACAGAGCGTCGCGGCCATGGCACAGAGCGCTGGTGGGCGACGAGCCGGAGATGCTCGACATGGAGGCGCACGACAACGGGGTGAGGACGGCGGTGCTGCGGTACCTGGGCCACATGATGGTCGAGGACATTGGGCTGTCGGACGCGCGGCTCCAGCTCGTGCTCGAGCGGCTCTTCGAGGTCGTGCCGGCGCCGTGGCGACGACGGCCGAGCCTGCCGGCCCTCGAGCAGCTCGCGAGCACCATCACAACGCACATGACGACGACGACGGCGGTGCGGCGCGGCCTCCAGGACGTCGACGACGCGTGCCGGACGTGGCTCGTGCAGCAGAAGAGCGACTGGTTCGGCAAGGAGACGGTCTACCAGCAGAGCCAGCTTCTCTTCTGGTTCCTGACGCGCGAGGTCACGGGCGCGCAGCTCCGCGCGGCGATGCAGCCCCAGACGCAGGGCGGCGACGTGCCACGGGGCGGCGACGTGCCACAGGGCGCGCAGGACGTGCCACAGGGCGCGCAGGACGTCCTCTGCTGCCCGCTCTGCACGAACGCGTACTTTGACGCGGCGGACGGCGCCGAGCTCCTCGCGGCCAGCCCGGCGGGTCACGGCCAGGGCGAGAGTCACGGCACGTCGGTGCACTCGCGCACGTCGGCGGACGAGCGGTCGCGCGACAAGGAGGACTGGGCGTTCTACTACGAGCGCGACAGGTACTGCGAGGGCGAGGTGCCGGTGGAGATTGTGCAGTGCGGGCACGTGTTTGGGGCGCGGTGCCTCTTCCAGCTGCTCGTCCGGCAGGGGCCCGAGACGGACTGGTCGTGCCCGGACTGCCGTCAGCGCTTTCAGTCGTGGGGCCGCCAGCCGCGGATGGCGCAGCGGCTGCTGGCGGCTGTCAGGGAGGAGGAGGAGCAGCCAGCGGACGACGGCACGGTTGGGTAGTCGGCGCAGACGACACGGGGCAGGTTGGACAGAGCAAGGCGGCACGGGGCAGGTTGGACAGAGCAAGAGACGTAGCGGCGGCGGCGGAGAGACACAGACTCAGTAGGCGGAGCAGACTGTTGGTCAGGTAGTGCAGCACGAGGAAACAAGAAGATGCGTGTTCCAGATGATCCGGTCCGCATAAGGACAGTAGGTTCGCGAGGACAGCACTGGCGTTGCTTGGCCCGTTGGCCTCCGCGGAACGAGGCCGCCCTCTGTCTGCCGCGCGATGCAGTCCTGTCTGCCGCGCGATGCAGTCCTGTCTGCCGACGAGATGCAGTCGCCTCATCTCAACGACATGGCGGAACCCGGCTCGCTGGGCTGGCCTTCGAGACAACAGGACAGTGCGGGCATCGGGATTGGGCGCGCGCAGGGATCGGCCATGTTCTGTATTTTCTTTCGGAAGCGAGACGCTCGTCAAAGGGGTCCCGTGGCGAGGACGCATGTGGCTTGCATCGGGGGGGCGGTGACACGTTGGCGGCGTTGGGAGGGACGATGATGGCTTCGTGCGACCTACTCTACCGAGCGGTGCGAGCGGTACTACCGAGCGGTACTCTATCGAGCAAGGGATGGGGGAGAGGCGGTCAAGGGGCGATAATGTGGCGCGCAAACACGTGCTCTGGTCAGGACGCGATGCAATCACCTTAGGTAGCTAGGTACCGTACCTAGGTAAGGTAGGTAGGTACCGTAGGTAAGGTAGGTAGGGTAGGAGGTACCTGCAAAAGGCTCTACAAGCCAAGATTCACAGCCACGGTACCGTACTAGCACCTGGCACTGAATGAAATGCTGCTCGCTACGAACAGCCGCTGATTGGGCCCCTCGACGCAGCATCGAGAACGCTGAAGCCACGGCTGCCGGCGCGCCATTCGCCCATGCGCCCATTCGCCAGGGCGGTGATCAGCTAATCTGCCCGTGCTCCAGTGGCTTCCCCAGCGGCTTCCATGCGCTGGAGAGCGGTAGGGTAGCGGTCCCGGCACTGCTGTCCCACGCCCCGCTGCCCTACCTGGGCTTGGGGGGGCACTTTGTCAGTCGCCCGCCGTCTCGCCAGACCACGACGGCGATCTAACCGTGATGAGGCTCGCCCGTTGCTAGGTCAAGCGAGACGACGGAATTGCCTCCATGCTGGACGGTCTTGCATCTTACTCGCTTGCCCTCTCCCTCCCGTCGCCCGCCAGCCAGCCAGTATAGCCAGTTGACAGTGGACATGTCCCACCGCATCCAGAGATCGATGACGATGCCATGAACGGATGCACCGGAGGGCAAGGGATGGAATGAATGAATGGTGGGACCTTCACGCAGCCAAACGCCCTGCGCCTTCGAGCCACTCGTCTTTTATTCCCCGAAGTCCGAACCTCCATCGACGGCGCCCTCCTCTCTCGGCCAGCGACCCGCCCCGGCCTCAATTCCGCCATGCCCAAACCAAAGACGCACATCGCAGGGCAGCCCACTCTGCCCGACCGCCTGGTTCGGCCTGTGACCATTTGCCAGTTCGTCCTGATCTGGCCCGGTTAGCTCTCCTCAGTAAGCGAGAGACGTGGGCCACCCCCCCCCTCCCCCTCTACCACCCTTCTTCGAGAAGGAAATCCTGCCTGCAAGCCAACGAGAAGGAGAGAAGAGCAGACAGGGGGGGGGATGCAGGTCCGTATGCTCTCGTGCATGCAGCATGTGCGAGTGCGAGCGACCATGCCCGTGTCGTGTCAGGGCCTCATCACGACTATGCATCATCACTGCCATCGTCGAGTCGACGGTACCGTCACACAGGCAGGGTCCGCCTCTATGAGTGCAGCCATATCCCTCTATTACCCCCGCCCCTCCTCTCCTCTCCTCTCCTCTGCTCTCCTCTCCTTTCCTGCCACCCTATTGTTTAGGCATGACCATTTCGTCTTCTACCGTGCGTGCATCGTGAGGTGACCAAGGCAGAGACCAGGACGCGGCAGGCGCCATCACGCACAAGACACTCGTGCGACTCCCTCTTTCCACATGTAGCACTTTCTATCGAGAGGGTCAACTTCTTTACTTCTGCACACCTTCAAGGCAGGCAAGTACCCCCATCTTGGCCGAAGAAGGTGCCTTACCTCGACTGCCTTTTTCCCAAGACGCACTCATGTCGACTTCATCACTCTCTCTCTCTCTCTCTCTCTTCCCATCCTCCACCCTACCCTGCTGCTACCTTCATCCAAAAGGGACCACGCCAGCCGCATCACGCCTTGCCCCAAACCATCCACAGCCAAGACCACGCTACGCCCTGAGACACCTAACCGCCTTGAGACCTGCCAGCCGGTCCCTATCTAAGGACCGCAGCCGCTCTCCCAACTCGCCAATCTGAACCCTCGACCCGTCACCCGCCAGCTCTGCCAGCTTCGAAGGCGCATCCATCGTCGTCCCATGGGCTCTGCCGCGAGGCTCGCAGAGGCGGCCGCCTTGCCGGGCACGCCACCCGCCCTGCGCACCCCGCACGATGCCGAGGCCGACCGGAAAGAGTTTGCTCAGAACATCGCCAAACAGACCTACAAGGAATGGCCCAACGAGGCCGGTGTACGTTGGATCCCCCCCCTCCTCTTTTCCCGCCCGACGCCTGGCCATCGTGCCCCCGTCCGTTCTGACAGCCCCAGTTTGATGGCCTCACCGAGGAACGAGGGCCCCTCGAACTGACCGTCCGCGGCCACATCCCCGACTGGGCCGCCGGCTCGCTGTACCGGACCGGCCCCGGCGCCTGCAAGGTCGAGAACAGCCCCAAAGGCACCCACTACGTCACGCACTGGTTCGACGGCTTCGCGCACACGCACCTCTTCCAGATCGTCCCCGCAGACGAAGCCGCCGGCACGCCCCTGCGCGTCGTCTACTCGTCGAGGCGCCAGGCCGAGACGCTCGTCAGCGAGATCAGGGCTCAGGGCATGCGCAACGCCTACTCGTTCGGTCAGCGCCGGGACCCCTGCATTGGTCTGTTCGGCAAGGTCATGAGCATGTTCCAGAAGCAGCCGCAGGGCAGCAACGTGTCCGTCGCCGTCAACACGAACGTGCCCGGCCTGTCGCCGCCCAGAGGCCCGCCCAAGGGCGACGAGGCGGCCCCGTCGGGCGGCGGCCATCGCAACGGCGTCCGCAACGTGTGGATCTCCACCGACGCCAGCATGCTGGTCGAGGCCGATCCCGACACCCTCGAGCCCGTCGGCGTCGCCCGGCAGGCCAAGCTGCATCCGGACCTCAAAGGCCCCAGCTCGTGCGCCCACGCGCAGCGGGACCCCGAGACGGGCGACCTCTTCAACTACAACCTCGACTTTGGCAGGACGGCCACGTATCGCGTGTTCCGTGTCAGCGCCGCCACGGGCAAGACGGACATACTGGCCACCATCAGCGACGCCGGCGCCAAGCCCGGCTACATGCACAGTTTCTTCCTGACGCCGAGCTACGTCGTCCTCTGCATCCCCGTCGCGCACTTTGGGCTGGCCGGGCTCAAGGTGCCGTGGAACCGGAACCTCCTCGACTCGATCGAGGCGTTTGACGCGACGCAGCGGTGCAAGTGGCTCGTCGTCGACCGCCGGGGGAAGAGGGGGCTCGTCGCCAGCTTTGACACGCCCGCCGCCTTTTTTTTCCACTCGGTCAATTCCTTTGAGGAGACGTCACCGGATGGGTCCGGCGTGGACCTCTTCTGCGATGTCGTCGAGTACCCGAATCAAGACGTCATCCGGAGCTTCAACTACGACGTGCTGCTCGACAGGAACGACGCCGCCAAGAGGTTCTGGGGCGAAGAGAACAGGCTGCAGACGCTCCACCCGCGGCTCGCCCGGTACCGCCTCGGCGTGCCGCTCACGTCGGGCAGGAAGCGGGGCCAGTGGGAACTCGTGTCTTCGATTCCCGGACCGCACGCCGGCGAGCTGCCTGTCATCAACCCGGCGTACCACACGAAGCGGCACCGCTACGTGTACTCGCTGGCGAACCGGGGGCGAAGCACGCTGCTCGACACGGTCGTCAAGACGGACACGGAGACGAGGGGCGCGCTGCTCTGGGGGTGTCCGCGGGGGCACACACCAGGCGAGACCATCTTTGTGCCGCGGCCCGTGGCGGCGGGGCAGGTGGCGGACGAGGACGACGGCGTGCTGTTGAGCGTCGTGCTCGATGGCAGCGCGCAGAGGAGCTACCTGCTGTGCCTCAACGCGAGGGACCTGACGGAACTGGGCCGGGCGGAATGTCCGTTTGCCATCGGGCTTGGGTTCCACGGCGTGCATGCGCCGACGGGCTACCTGTGAGTTGGGGGCGTCGTGTCTGGCGGGCGCGCATGTCGGGTTGTTGCATCTTGAAGGCGTCAGCATTGCACCGGGGGGCGGCGGGGGGCGGAAGGCGTCAGCATTCCATGGGGGCGAACACGGCGTTGGGCGGGCATGGGTTTGTGTATTTGGGTAGAGGGCTTTCGGGCCAGCAGCAACGGCTGCGTCGTCATGATACCTTGTGTTTCTTCTTGTCTGCCCATGCCTTTCCTTTGGGCACACGTTCATCATGATGGCAAGGCAAGTGAAAGCCCATGAGTTGGGTCGAGGCCGTTGGCAGCCTGTTCATGAGTCGTAGAGATCCAATCAGACGGTCGGGTAACTAGATCCGAACCCACCTGCCGCGTCGTGAAGTGACCCCGCCCCGCAGTGACCAGTGATCGCCGTGGGGACGCGAAGGAGTGCAGGAAGTACCGAAGAGAAGGAAGGCTCCACCCCCATGACAGTTGCCTGCCTTGCCTGCCTACCTCAGGTACTGAACCCATCAGACTTGACTTGACGACAAGGACAGACAGCTTCAGCTTCGAGTCATATTGGTGAACATTTGGTTGGGATTCCTTCGCCTTACGCCCACCTGGTCTCGTGGCACTCTGCAAAATTCCAGCATCAAACGCTACGCTGCGTGTCTCGACCAAACTCTCATACACACCATCAGGCTTCAGCATCAGCTCGAGCCTGTATTTGCATCGCCCTGAGCCTGATGATGGCCACTCCACTGGCCTTCCCCTCCCAATGGCTGGCTGCCTGCCTGTTGCCGTTCGGGAAGACCAGATCCCACCCTAACGATCGTCCCAGCACAACATCAAACCCCTGACGCGGGCGCCCTGGCGCTGGGTAAACGTATCCCTAGCGCGAGACGTCACAGGGACCTTTCAAGAGTGGGGATGGCTTCACCAATGGCCGACGTCCTGATGCCTCTGACGGGCAGTATATGAGGTTCAGCCTTGCTGGCGCGGGAGGACATCTCAGCATCGACTGTACAGAGACGATCACCGCGGTTCGACCAAGAAGAACCATCAGCGAAAGAAAAATGGGTGCGGTTCAGCTCCTGTACGACTACTCCGGCCTGGCCGGCCTGGCCCTCGTCGCGTTGGTAAGTCGTCTGCTCCGAACGTCCACGTGGCACGGCGGCCAAGCTGACGGCCCCGGACAGCTCACCATCTACACCCTCTGGAGCGGCGTGTACAACTACTACTTCCACCCGCTGGCCAGGTACCCGGGCCCCTTCCTCGCCAAGATCTCGCCCGTCTACAGCATCTACGGCCTCTTCCGCGGCCGGTGGCCCTTTGACGTGCACCAGCTGCACCTCCGGTACGGCCCCATCGTGCGCACCATGCCGTCGGAGCTCGCCTTCACGGACCCGACGGCGTGGAAGGACATTTACGGCCACAGACAGGGCCATCCGCAGTTTCACAAGGACCGTACGTATCTGCCTCTGCCCCTGCCTCTGCCCCTGCCTCTGCCCCTGCCTCTCGCCCCTGCCTCTCTTCTCGAGCCCGACAGGCTGAACACGCGCAGCCATCCACGTCGGCTCCGTCCAGGACCTTCCCGGCGCCACGACCCTGACCATGGCCGACGACGCCAACCACGCCCGCCAGCGCCGCACGCTGTCCCACGCCTTTAGCCAGAAGGCGCTGCTCGAGCAGGAGAGCATCATCCGCGGCTACGTCGACCTCTTCGTGCAGAAGCTGACGCCGTTGGCAAGGTCGGGCGCCGCCGTCAACATGTGCGACTGGTTCAGTACGTATTCCTTGCCAGGCTCGGGCTTTTCTGCCAGGCTTTTGCCAGGCTTCCTTGCCAGGCTTTTCCCAGGCTTTTCCCAGGCTTTTCCCAGGCTTTTCCCAGGCTTTTCCCAGGCCTTTTCCAGGCCTCCTTGCCAGGTTCCTGAGAGGCGGGCCCTAGTACCATCGGCTCGACGTGCAACCAAAGCTGACCGGCGCAGACTTTACGACGTTTGATATCATCGGCGACATGGCCTTTGGCGAACCGTTCGGCTGCCTCAAGGACGGCGTGTTTCACTCCTGGGTCTCCCTCATCACCGACACGATCAAGGCGGGCGCCTACGAGCAGGCGACGCGGCGCATGTTCCGCACGGGCAGTTTCTGGCAGCGGACGCTCGTCAAGCTCATCCCGAGCGACCTGCGCGAGAAGCGCGTCAGGCACTTGCAACTGAGCCAGGAAAAGTGCCTCCAGTGAGTGCCCCTCCTGCCAGTCGCCGTCGCATAGCCCCGTGACAAACGAAGTAGGAAGAAAAGAACAATCAGAAAGCTGACGACGTAGACGCATCGACGAGGGCCTCCGCCGCGAGCACCGCGACTTCCTCTACTACATCCTGCGGCAGAACGAAAAGGGCGCCGTCTCGCAGAACGAGATTATCCTCAACTCGGCCCTCTTCATCGTCGCCGGCTCCGAGACGACGGCGTCTCTCCTCTCGGGCCTGCTCATGCACCTGCTGCGCACGCCCGCCGCCCACGCCCGCCTGACGCGCGAGGTCCGCGACGCCTTCCCCGGCCCCGGCGGCGCCGCCGACATGCAGTTCCTCGCCCTCCAGGACCTGCCCTACATGAACGCCTGCATCGACGAGGCCCTGCGCATCTTTCCGCCCGTGCCGACGGGCCTGACGCGCACCGTGCCCCGCGGCGGCGACACGGTCGCCGGCGAGTTCCTGCCCGGCGGCACCACCGTCTCCGTCTACAGCTGGGCCGCCACCCACTCGCCCCGCAACTGGGCGCGGCCCGACGACTTTCTGCCCGAGCGGTGGCTCGACGGCGACGGCGACGGCGACGGGCACAGCGGGGCCGCCGACGGGCCGTCCCCCTTTGCGCGCGACGCCCGGGACGCGAGCCAGGCCTTCTCGCTCGGCCCGCGCGGCTGCATCGGCAAGCACCTGAGCTACCTCGAGCTGCGCCTCATCCTGGCCAACCTGCTGTGGCACTTTGACGTCGAGCGCGTGCCGACGGCCCCCGGCGAGGTCGACCTCTGGGATGTCGGGGGCGACTTGCGCCACGTCAAGGCGTTCAACACGTGGAACAAGCCGCCGCTCATGTGCAGGCTCAGACCTGTCGCGCGGTAGACCGGCGTGCGGCGAAACCGGGAAAAAAGGGGGTCAGGGGTCAGGGTCAGGGTTCAGGGTGGCAGAGTGGTAGCGCTGATGAGGCCATGCACAGGTGCTGCTTCGATCGAAAGTGCATTACCTACATACTCGGCAGAGGAGAATATACATGGCGAACATGACAAGGCAATCAATCGATGACGCAGAAAAAATCGAGTTCAAGGCTAAACAAGGTGGTATCATCGCTAAATCTAAACACGTTTTCACCTCTCCATGCGCTCGTCGTGAATCAAGTCGACGTTGAACCGCTCGTCCCCCTTCCACACCTTGCCGCCGTCGTTGCAAGCCGCAACCGCCGCCCTCGCGTCCGTCATCAGCCCGCCAGGCCCGCTCGCAAACACGACCGTCCTCGCGGCCACAGTCGCCTGAACAAACTCACGCACGAGCAACGCCAGGTCCGGGTGTCCGATGCCACCAGAGCGGACACTGGCCGCCGCGCCACGAGCACGCATCTTCTGCACGGCCACAGCACCAGCAACGCGCTTCTCTTCGTCGGCTTCGGCTTCGGACGAGCGATCGGCATCAGACGAGCTTGAGGCGGCGTCGCGCGTGGCAAAGATGCGCACCGTCACATCGAGGGCCTCAAGTGCGGCGAGTTCAGGCTTGACCCAGTCGACATCCTTGGCGTGGCGGACGACCCAGATGAGCTCGAGCTTGCGAGGCGAAGCAGGACTGGCGGTCAGGCTCAGGAGGGCGGGCAGAACGTAGGTGATGCCGGTGCCGCCGGCGACGCACAGAATGTTGGCTTCGGGGGTGATGTTGCGCATGATCGGGTCACCGTAGGGGCCGGTAAGCACAACAGGCGTCGTTGGGGCCGAGGCAGCCGTCATCACACCGTTCTTGTCTTCTGACGTTGTCGCAGGTGCAGTAGCAGCAGCAGCAGCCGCCAGCTTCTTCGCGGCGATCTGTGCGATCTTCTTGGTTTCGCCGCCCTTGGCGCGGAAAACGTACGAGTGTTTGGTGCGCCCGTTGACAGTGACGGCTGCGTTCAGCGGGGTGAACGGGTGAGACTGGAAGATGCTGCTCTCGGTGAAGCAGAGGTAGAAGTGCTGGCCGACAGCCCAGGCATCGTGAGAGTGTTCAAAATCGAGACGTACGACGTCGCCGTCCTTCTCGTCAGGGAAGGTGGTAATGGCGGCGTGAGCGGCAACGAAACCACGCTTGGTGCCGTCTACAAAGTTGTAGTGCAGCAGGAACGTCCTGGCGGCACGGGCGAAGCGGTCGATGAACCACAGCAGGATACCGGGGATAATGAAGCATTGGAGACCCTCCCAGTGGCCGATGCAGGCGCCCATGTAGACCAGGGCCAGAACGTAGTGAGACTTGCGGAAGAACTCGTAGCCGGTGAAGCGGATGACGGGAGGTAGCGTGAGGGCGTAGAGGATGAGAAGCAGGACCATGGCGACGACACCCCAAATCATGTAGAGTTGCACAATCCACTTCTTCGCAACCTGGGGCTGGGGCTGGTAGAGCTTGACCTCGATGATTGTCCAGCCAATGGTGTGGACAATGGACTGGACCATGATGATGTAGCCGAGCCAGCGGTGCATAAAGTTGAAGTTCTGGTAGGGAATGCCGGTCAAGACGGACAGCAGCGACTCGCGGTTCGACAGGAGAACGGACAGCGGCGTCAGGGCGTAGGCGATGACACCGACACGGTCAGAGAAGGGTCCCAGACTGCTGCGGGTGTTGTAGACGCCCTCCATATTCTTGACGGGGGTGATCCAGATGCCGTAGACGATGCCGGCGAAGGAGAAGATGGTAAGATAGCCGGTGAGGATGGCAAGCACGAGAACTTGCAGGCGCGTGGTGCGGCCAAAGATGGAGCGGATGGAGTCGGGCAGGAGATAGCGGTTGGTGTAAGACCAAAGAGTATGGCGAATCCTCGTCGTCGTGTCCACCGTCCGCTTCTCGCCCTCAACCAGCGCCTGAGGGTTCCGGTGGGACTGGGGAGGCATCGTCCGCCTGACAATGGCCCAGATCAGGAGAATGCCTCCGATAGTGGCCCAGATGACGCCGGTGTAGATCATGCCAACATCGTGGGCGTTGTAAACGACGTCGAGGTATCTACAGGACCCAGGATCGTTGACGCAGGGTACCACACGGTCAGCGTAGCCCCAGTGATGGATGACAGACTCGGCGGCATCGTGATCCTGGATATGCTGGCGCGGTGCCAGGAGGCTCTTAGTGGCCTCCATTGTGTAGAATTGTGAACGCGTCTCTACTATGTGCGCCGGTAGTAAATGAGAGACACCTTGCCAAGGGGCGTTTATGAGTCTGTCTTGGGCCGATGCTGTGTCTCGGGAGAGATCTCGACACAATCGCAAGACAGCAGGAAAAATCGAGAAGGCGTATCAAGGCCTCGTGGCGATCGTCGGAGGGAGATGGGAGCACCTTAAGAAAGACATCCTCGAGCAACATTCCGAGTGGTGTTTCGTGTCTGCTTTATCAGGTTGGTGGGGTGTCTGGCCCCTCGTCTCGACAATGGGAGCTTGGGTAGCCAAGGCGGCGGGCGGCGATCCACAGTGAGCAGGTTTATTAGTCTGGAACTCGGCGATGCGACGTGGTGGGTGTAGCGCGTTTATTCCCCGGGCTGGCCAAGGGTCCAATGCCCGCCCCTCTGACGGGGGTGGTCGAATTGGATTTGCATGCTGCAGTTTTGACTCGAGCAGATGACAGGACGTCCATCTGATCGATATTGGTGCCCAGGCCGACAAGCTGCCATGACGCTCTTCGCTGCTCTCTCTGCCGGCTTGGTCAATAAACGTATTGCCCGATACAGAAGACGAGCCAACGGAGGCATACCTCCTCGCCATATGGGCACGGCAGTGGAGAGGCGTGCCATGTGCAGGAGTAAATCTTGGAGAGCCCGCATGAGGCAACTCGGAAGAGGCGTCGTCTGGGCGTCAGCAGGCGTCAGCGGGGATTCTCTCGATCGTCTTCTTGGTGGTTTTCCTGGTCCATATTGCTTCGAGGCAGTCGCCGCCAGCTGTGACCGCCCGGGCGACTGAGCACGATTGAGCAAGTTAGTGGGGCCGCTATGGCGCCACACCTTGCATCTGGAAACAGCGACTGACCGAACCACGGTGCTTCTTCGACCCGGGGGGCGCTGCGTGCGGATCCGATCCACCGGGGCCGTTCATCGGAGCGAGCAAGTTTTGACCAACCAGCAGCGGACCGTAGCTGCTTAGCCCCGTCCTTCTCCCATTTCCCAGTACCAAAGCACACCAGATCTCCCGCGCGACCAGCGCGTCCCAAGACGGCCCAGGGATTTGATCTTTGTCCCAGGGTCTCAAAGTCGCCACGACTCCAATAAGCTCAAACATCGTGCCCCCCCCCCTCCCCTCTTGCCCCTGCTAAACTTGCGCAACGCCATGAACCCAGGCCCTCTTGGAAAACCTGCGCGCCCAATGCTGCGCCTTCAATGCCTGTACACCATCCGGGTTAGAGCTCTCCCTCTACCCCACCGTTGCCCGACCAAGGGAAGGTGACCAAGGGAAGGTGGAAAGGAGGGGCGCAAGAGCAAACATTGGCGGGCAGTGGGTAACCTCCGCAGCCCCTGCCACATCTTATCTACCCCGACACGCCATCAATGTTGGGCAGGCTCGGCTCTGAGAGCAGCTGCTTCGTGACTCTCGCAATTGGCAATTCACAACCTGACTTCTTCCTGACTTCTTCCTGACTTCTTCCTGACTTCTTCCTGTCCTCTTCAAGTTGCAAGCTGCAGCACTGCTTTTGACGGCTTCCTTTCGACTGGTCATCATCACCTCATCTTCATCCCCGATCCTCACGCAGCGTAGAGCATTTTCACACTCCGCCGCCATGTCGCACAGCAGCGGCCACGGCGCAACCGCCGACTGCAAAGTCTCCGTATGTCCAGCTGCCCCTCGTCTTGCATGGCCATCGCTCGCTCGCTGACCACCAAACCACTAGATGCTTTGGAATTGGTACACCATTGACTCTTGCTTCCTCGCCGAGTCCTGGCACGTCGGCAGCAACGGCGCCTTCGCTGCCAGCTGTATTGGCGTCGCCCTCCTCACCGTGACCCTCGAGTTCGTCCGCCGCCTCGGCAAGGAGTACGATGCCCTGCTTCTGCGTCAGTTCCACGCGCGCGCGGCCCAGATGGCGGTCGCCGCCGCCGTTGAGCCCTCGTGCTGCGACGACACCGGCGCCGTCGCCCCTGTCGCTGTCGCCCGACCCAGCGCGCCGCTCATCTTCCGCGCCTCGCCTGTCGAACAGCTCATCCGTGCCGTGCTACACACGACCTTCTTCGGTCTGGCCTACATTATCATGTTGCTCGCCATGTACTACAATGGCTACATCATCATCTCCATTCTGCTCGGTGCCGGCCTCGGCAAGTTCCTTTGCGACTGGCTCGTCTACAAGGTGGAAACTGGGGCCGCCACACAACAAGCGAAGGGCGTCGAGGAGCCCACTGGATGCTGCGGATGAGCAGCGCGAATGTTCCATTGGCGACACGCAGAGGAGGGAAAAAAGAATCATCTGTCATTTAGCGAGCATCCATCTTTCGAATTGAATACCCACGTTCCGACCGAGACGCGATCCATTGCAAGGTTTCATCATGCAGTCTATTCGCCTGCTGAGCGAGATGTAGGTGATTGAGCATGCCCGGCTTCGATATCACGTCTTAACCTTGTCCTCTTCGGTCTTGTATTCATTCCCATCGCAATACTGAACCCACCCATTCAGATCCAACCCTTTCATGACGGTGCTGAACCGGCCCGCGCCCTTCGCCTTGCAGGCCCGTCGCCGCGCATCCTTGTCTTGCACCCCGTTTTTCGTCATGTCCGGGTACTCGATGTGAAACACGGGCTTGCCGGCGTCCGTGACGGCCTTGTACAGGTCACACTCGCCGTACGCGGCGCACTCCTCGTTGACGGAAAAGTCAATGACGGGGAGCACATTTTTGAGGATGCTGCCGCCATTCTTGAGCCCCATGGCCAGTCCGTGCCTACGTGCTTCGAACGCGAGAAAGGTGATGTAGTCAATCGAGTCGGCTGCCGTCAGGCCGAGCCCGTTACGGTTTGTCTAAACAGGTCAATAAGTTCATGTTCTCCTCTGCCACGCAAAGTTCGGATCCCAAGACAGCCGATGACGAGGGCTGGACGCAGCAAGCCGGAAACAAGCAAGCACATGGGGAGAAGGCACATACAAACCCATCCACATTATCCGGGTCAACCCCATCACACCCCTTCTCCCTCGCCAGCTCGATCCGCCGCCTCATGACTCCCCTGACCGTCTCGCTGTTCGTGTCGAGCCAGTACTCGCCCGGCCACCCCTCGAGCTCGCGCCCGAGATCGCCCCCCGCGCCCGTATCGAAGTCCCCCGAATCGGGTCTGCCGTCCTCGTACGACCCGGCGCTAAAGTAGCAGACGACCCTCTTGCCGAGCGCCCGCAGCGCCGCGAACGTGGACGCCGGGTTCTCGAACAGGTCGACGTCGTAGACCTCGACGTCGGGCGTCACGGCCGGGGCCTGGAGGTCGATGGCCAGGGGCGCGTCGAGGAGGATCTGCCACGTCGTCCCGGCCGCGGGCTGCCAGGGCGCCTCGTCGACGGGGTGCTGCCTGTGGCGCGCGACGCAGGCGTTGAAGGTTGCGAGGGCGGCGGCGCTCGCGGCCGGGGAGGAGGGCGCGAAGGAGAAGGCGCTGCAGAGGTCCATGGGTGTGGTACGCCGCGCTGGACGAATAGACCTGTCAGGTATTCGAGGGGGGCCGGGTGGTGGCGTCGCGTGCGTTCAACTGCGAGCTACGATGAATGAGCGGCGACGAGGACATGGGGTCGCCGTGTATGGGATGTTCGTATTTTCGCATTATAAAGACCTTCCCCTTTATTGATCTATGTAATTGCGTTTTGTACGCAACGTCCCAGTTCCTCTATCTAGACTAGCAATAGCCTCATCAGCCGCAGCCCCCCCCCCCGCGTGGCCTTGAAGATTCGCCTTACCCACGGCCCAGCCGTCAGCCATGGCCAGTCGGGCTTCTCCAGATGTCAGGTCTGGAACACAAGCGACAGAGACCGACGACGGAACCGCCTCCAAGCCAGAACGTTATTTTCTTTCAACACATGACGCTAGCGAGTAGAGAGCAGAACAGGCGCTCGTTCTGGACACTGCATTTCGACCATGAAGTGAACACTGAACCATCGTACATGTATTATCCTCATCCCCGCCAGCGCATTATCATTTGACATCAGTAACAACAAGTAGGTATCATATGGCCTCTCCGAGCCTTTTTTGGCCAAAAGGCCTTTTGTGTTCCTTGCCCTCCCAGCTGAGCCCAGCACATCCATCCATTCATTCTCTCACCGCTGCGTTGCCGTCTGTGGCCATTCATCCAATGTACACAGCCCGCCCAAGCCTTCCCACCGTCGCGCCTCAAACTCCGGAATCAATCAAACAAGTGGTCGCAGAATCGCATGACCAAGATCAAATGACCAATCAAGACATGTACTTGCCACCCTCTTGCTTGAACAGCCAGTCACTGTTGGCATCGACCATAAAGTTCGTAATGTTGAACTCGTTGCTCGGCGGCTGCGGCTGCGGCGGTGGCGGTCCTTGAGGCGCCTCGCCGCTGCTGCCATCCATGCTTGGTGGTGCACCGTTGTTCTGGGGCATTCCTTGCACACCTGCAATCTGCTCGCCAAAAGGCAGCCTTGGGACGTTGAAGAAGTCAAAGACGTCTAGGTACTCGAGCTCGTTGGGCGCCGGCGTTCGTGCCGGCGTTACGCTCGGCATGCGGCTGTGCGTGATGACTCCATTGGGTCCCGGCTGCCGGGAGATCAAGAAGTCGAGGTCGAACGCGGTGCGCCGCATGTCCGAGAGGATCTTGACTGAGCTCGGGGTCACACCGTCTCCGGTGCGCTCGCTGTCGCGATGCTCATCAAGCACTCGCTGCAGCAGCTCGCAGTATCGCGCCGCGACAGGCCAGTAACGCCCCATCTCGCGCAGGCTGTCTACGAAGAACTGGATCTGCGGTGACAGCTTGTGTTCGACCGTCGAACCATGGACTAGGAGAAGACGGGCCGCTACCCACAGGGTGAAGGCGAATGGAGGCCCCAGCTTGGGGAGTAGGCCGTTGTTCACGACAAATTCGCCGAGCGCGGCGATGTTCTCGACGGCACCATGGCATCGTTGAGATGCGCTGTAGGAGGGCGTGAATATGGGAGATCGGGTTGTGGGGTACGCCGCCGACGAGTGCAGCCGGATGACGGCCGTATGGTAGGTGGCGTGCAACATGACCCATCCGCAGTTGAGTGTCTTGTTTCCGGGCTGGAACAGTTTGGCCATGTTCCCGTACTCCCCAGGTAAGCCAAACTTCCAAGACGTCAACATGTTGTCCAGCTCTTTGTAGCGCATCTGCCACTGCTCGACGTCGCTCAGCGCGCTGATGTCTACGGGCAGCTTGAGAAACTTGTGCACCTTGGAAAGGATGGCCAAAATCTCAATGTAGTAGGAGAAGGCACCAAGGTTCTCCGGCTTATTGACATCGTATTCCGGATTGGGCTCCTCCTGCTCCTGCAACCTGAACCATCGCGTCTCGACCTTTTGGTTCTTGATCCACAGGTCGTCGCGACAGGGGAGCGTCCTGTCGATCTCCTTGTCGTCGAGCGCAAACTCGAAAGCCGTGGCGATGGTCGCGTAGCGGTCAAGAAGGTAAATCATCCAGAACAAGCGTCGCCTCGACTCCTCTTCGATAAAGTCTTTGGGTTCCGGCAATATCATGGCTCTGAGCGTATAGATCGAGGTGAAGTTTGGAGAGACGGAGAACGAGGTGCTCTCGACTGCGAGTCCCAATTGAACGACGGAGCGCGTGATGAGAGCCATGATGTTCCAGCCAGGTGGCCCATTGCTGCTGCCCACCAGATCCAGGGCCAAAACGACCAGTGCCTGGAGCGACTTGACCGACGAGTGCTCCATGCCGTAGAGCAAGACGCGCTGTTTCGCAATGGAGTGATAGTGCTCTCTGCTCTCTTCGGTGAGCCTCGAGTCGGTCGAGTATCGCAGCGTTGTGGCCACGATAGCATGCAGAAGTATGCGATCCGTCTCCTCGACGGTCGTGGGCCCGAACAGCGAGTCGAGTGTCGTCTTTCTGTGGAGGATCGGGCACCACGTGTTGATGTGCTTGAAGTACAAGTCGACGAGCGCATAGAGCAAATCGTATGGCGGAAGATCTTGGTCCGGCGTAACGTTGCTCTGGCCGGCCTGGGTCATGGGCACGTCGGGAGAGTGAAGCTGGTTCGTCTGGTTCGGGTTATAGTAGGCCTGCGCAGCCGAGCTGGGCTGCTGCATGTTGGCGACCTGGTTCGGGGCGGGCATGGAGCCCATGGGCAGCTGAGGCTGGAATTCGTGCATCGAGGGAGTGGGCGGCGGCATGCCAAACTCCATGGGCTGCGAGGTGGAGGGGTAGGTAGAAGGTTTCTGTAAGAAGAGGGCAGTCTCAGCTTGCGGCGTACGAGTAGGTTCCGAGGGTCGGAATACGTTGTTCTCCCTAGGGGTGCCATGATCGCTAGGCAGGCTGGGGTTGCTGGCGCGCACGCTGGGGGTGGCATGGCTATGCGGCGCCCCGTGGTGATGCTGGTGCTGGCCCGAGGTCAGGGAGGCCTGGAGGATCTCGGCGTGCGCTCTGAGAACCTCCTCCAGCTTGTCGAGACGCTGCTCGAGCTCGCGCCCGTAGCCGGCACGCAAACCAGGCTTCTTTCTCTCCTTGTATTCGCAAATGGCACCATTGCGACTGCACCAGCCGCAGGAAGGTTGGCCACGGTCACATTTCACCTGTGGTACGTGTTAGAAGGGGGTCATCGTCTTGTTACGTGGTACTGAGAATGGGGTCGCGTGTCGATCAGGGTTCAAGGGGAGGGCGGGTACGGTAGCTCACCTTTCTCTGCTTGCAGAGCTCACATCTTGGGATCGGATTAGCTTCCTGACCTTGGTCGGAGGGGACATGTTCGGGCGAGGGTGTCATTGGGGAGGGTCATGAACGAAGATCAAGAGGGTCGAGAGGACTCGGGCGAGGGCGAGGCTGGGAGGTCGGAGGAGTGGGCAGACGCATTGGGGAGCGAGATGACGGGCGACGAGATGTGACGAAGATGACCAAGGAGAGGAGCATGTGGAGATGGGAGCAGAGGGGGAGGGAGAGCAGAGGCTGAGGCTGTGGGGAACAGGAGAGGCAAGGTAAAGTGAGGTGTAGTGAGATGATGGGGAGGGGGGCAGAAAGGGGAGGGAGGGGTGGTGGCAGCGGGAACGGGAGGTTGAGGACCGAACCGCCGCAGGGCAAAGGCAAGGCAAGGCCAGATGAGGCCGGGTGCGTGAAGCAGAGCTCGGGCAGAGGGAAACAGGGCAGCAGGCTGAACGTACGAGACGGAAATGGGCCTCTTGCGCTTTCCCAGGCGCAGAGGGTCCTGATCGTCCTGGTCGACATCGTTGTCATTGTCGTTGTCGTTCTCGTCGGCACTGTTGAAGCCATGGCCGTCTTCGGAGTCCTGATCGTGGCGGAGGAGCTGCTGGTGGTGATGGTGGGTAGTAGTAGCGCTCTGAGGCGACGGGTTGTGGCCGCCGTTGGAGGTCTGCATGCTCATGCTCTTCGGTGCGTCGGGCGGCTCTCGACGAGGCTGCGACGTCAAAGAGCGACACGTCGAGACGTCAAGCTCGGTGGGAAGGGACAACAGGGCCCGGCGCCGATGCGGGATCGGATGCGATGATCGGGGGGATCAGGGCGAGGAAGCGCAGACGCGAAACAGGTACCGAGCAACCAGCAGCACGGCAGCAGAGGTGAATCTCGGCGGGCGGCGCGAGGCAGGGCAAGGAGGATGCGTATGAGCGACCTGGGGCCTCGGGGTAATGTTGAGCAGAGGAGAAGAAATTAGGAGAGAGAGAAGAAACCTCGGGGCATTTGACTCGGAGGGGGGAGGGGAGGGGGGGGGGTGCCGGCGAAGGCGTTCGGGGGGGGGGACACTCGTACAGGGTTCCGAGGTCCCTCGTGCTGGTACTGTCTATCACTACTGCTGCTGTTGCTGCTGATCAAGGTGGAGAGGATGGGCAGTGGGTAATGGGGAAAGCAGTAAGATAGGTGAAGGTGATGTATGGATTGTGGCCAGCCCCAGACCCCGTTCGTTCTTTGTTTCTCGGCTTGGGCTTGTCCTTATTTTTTCTTCCTCTTTTTGATGGGGCAGATACAAACAAGACAGGTGAGCCGCCCCCCCTTGGCTTGGTGCCGGGATATCCTCTTCTGCGTTGGAGACCTGATTCAAGAAAAGGATCAGGGGACGAAGCGGAAAGGGGAAAGGGAGTTGATCACAGAGAATCGATCAGCCGAGCCGAATGAAGCGGGAGATTGAGGATGGAGGGGATTTGCGATGGATTGTGTGGGGAAATCCATGGTGGCACACCAACTGGCAGGCGAGACGGGCTTTGGGCTTTGTTGGAGGCAGGCGCGATGCGGAGAAGCACCAGGGAAGAAATTGCGGAGGGGGGCTTCTGGAACACTCTGTCCAATCAGAGATGCTGCTGACCCAGCAAGGCCCGTATTGTGTGCACTGTGTTTGCCAAGCACACACGGTGTAACTGCACCGCAGTTCTTTCCCCATTCCCATCAGCTGCCATTGGTCCTTCCCTTGCCCCGTCCAGCAGCAGCAGTAGTCCGGCAGGAGTGCTGGAGCCGGAGTCCTGCAGCACTGCAGTCACGTTGGGGCGCTGGCGCATCCGAGGGAAAAGAAGCAACACGACGAGAGACATAGGACCCATCCCGACGGCCTGGGTACACAAGCCCGCCAAGTCAGCGGCTACAAGACTAGGAAACTGTAAAGAAGGTGTGCTTGTGTATGTGTGTGTGTGTGTGTGTATGAGAGAGACACACACACAGAGAAAATGAGGAGACCAGACGACTCAAGTCTAGCGACACGCACCTCGTTGTCGGGGCTCGGCGATACCACTGCCGTTTGCATACATGGTCAACTTCCACCCCTCCCCCCCCCCCCCCCCCAAACGCATATATGTTCAGCTGGCTTGTTGTGCCCTGCTCGCAGCGATCGTCGCCATTGGAGATCCTTCGAATTGGTGGTGGACAAGGCGTGATAGGCTCGAGGGCCACCTGGATCCCAACAAGGTCGGACGATTTGCTTGAATCCTACCCGCCACCACCTTCTCCAAGGTACGGGTACCTCACTTGCTCACGTATGGTTCCCCTTTGTGGTTCATCGCTTCGGGGGCCTCGGGCGTCCAAGACATGGATGGCTTCCACGTGACAGCGACACGGGGCGGAGTTCTCGGTCGCCAATCCCCCTTTCCCGGCACTTGCATCAGCCTCCGCCCCGCCACCCACATTCGTCCCTTCATGCGGCAATGTTCATGTTTGACTCGCCTGGCGGGCACAACAGCGCCGCCGCACATGGCCGACCCTTGATCAGGCGCGGGCCAGGCCAGACTTGTGCATAGGGGCTTGTTATCTCTGAAATGTTTTTTTTTTCTGCTTGGCGTCAAGATGCGTTGCTCATAGGCAGACTGAAGAGTCCCGGTATTGCATCCGTGAATTCATCCGCAAGAGCAGTCTTTGGCCGATCATGCACGCAAGGTCAGGATAAATATCCCATCATGTAGTATCAGATTGATCAGTGTGGAGGGGCACACCCCTTAGGTAATCACTGGCAATCGAGCACATGACGATGTCTTGTCCAATCGACATGTCGAAAGTGACCCCCGCGTTTGCAGAAATGTCCGACGGGGAAACTCCAGTTGGCCTGGTCCTCGATCGCGCGCCCTCGAGCCCCTCCCCTCCCTTGTCTTGCGCCAGCAGAGCCAAGCATCCCTCATCGTCGCGCATACCGAACAGGAGAAACAACCTTTCCGACAAGGGTACCAGCGCCAGACGGACCCGACAGAGTGCGGCCGCTGAGTCTGCAGAACATCGGGTAGGGTTAGGAACATCAGATCATCAGAGACACACAGGTACTTTGTGCTAAGGTAGGTAGGTACGTACAACGTAAAATGCACACAGACATGGAATTCACAGACAACACAAGGGGGCACGCCAGCAGAATGCGATTGGCCCCTCGGATCGAGAACGGCAACACCACACACCGTGACGGCTGCCCTATTCGGCTTTTTTCAGATAGTCCAGACTTCTGTCACCTCACCTGCCTGCCAGCCTGCCTGCGTGCTCAGCTCGCGGGCTCCAGCTCCAGTGCGGGTGGCTCTGTCTTTCGCCCTCTGGCCCTCTCGCCCCCAGACCGGACCGGTTCCACTATGTCGGTGCATCTCTTCCCGATGCACGAAAAGCTTCCATCAATCTCTCGTGATTCCTCGATGGC